AGATTTGCAATAGAGCGCGTTTTGACGAAAAGAACTGCAAATTGACGCCAAGTGTTGGCACATTCTCTCATGTTAGCACACTCTCTGCTCACCGACGCGCTTTCCCGATCGTCGCCGTATTGCGCTAGAGCGCAATTGTCTCATGAAACAAACGCTGGGGGCGGAGTTTAGATTGCGCATTCATGACTACCACAAGGCTATTTCAACCCGAATAACATTAAATAAATCTAGAAATTCAATTTATAGAAATCGTTATCAGAAATCAGATTTTGAACGAGAAATTCGAAATTCGTTGAATTCGCGGTACGCGCTTCCAGAATTTTTTTCCGAATTCTACATACATGCCGTGTGTGCTTCAGAATAATCAGAAATACTACCAAAATTTGATAAATTGATATTTTTTACAGTCTTCGTCCGGCGATTGCTGTATGTGAGTAGATTTAAGGGTATTTAAGCTTTCTCTTGTTCTCGTGCAGACTAACTGGTTATTCTAGATTTTGTGGGTCAGTTCCATAATTTTTTAAAATCCAATGACGTTGGAAATTCAACGCAATGCGAATCTCCTCAAGAAAAAACAAGCGTTCACGTGAAATCAGCTTAATAAGGGTTCACACGCGACGAGACCATTTCGAAACGCGCTCACGTAATTCTACCCGAGTGCATCAGTCTCCGGACTCCGAATTATAGCCTAGCGAATTGTGAATATATGACAATACATTTTGAATAATTCTGAATCTAGCTGTTTATACGGAATATCCAAAAATTAGTGATTATTAGACAACTTTAATTTTAAGAAAACTTGATTGGAGTCTGCCGTGTAGATTTATTTGTAAGTCTCTAATTCGACGACGATCAGTATTTCACTATTTTATTGTCGGAGTCAATTCAAGGCACCGCCTCCATTCAATCGTTTGATGTCAACAATATTTAAAGGCAAGCGAAGAAAAAAACAATACTCTTTATTAAACGGACCATAAAATATCTCATAGCCCTAAAGAGGGCCGTTAGAATTCGCAGTATTTCAGTATTTTGAGGTGTAAAATTTTTATTTTATGCGCTTTCAACCGAAATGATTTTTTTAAATCCCAGTTTTTTTCTATTAGATTCGCTATTATTTAATGTTCTAATTAAAGGCGCGTACAATAAAAATTTTATGATTCTTGCAACGATCTTATTATAGAAAACTGTGTTATTGTAGATTTCGAAAACCGTAGGTTTTTTTTTAGTTTTTTCCCCCAAATCTGCATAGTATCATCAAATAGGCAAATTTTTAGTAATAAGCATGTTTTTACTATCGAATAAATTCGCTAAGATTCGCCGATCAGACTGCAAAATTGTCGAAGTCTATTGGTTTTTTCGACATTTTTCTAGCAGTTTGAAAAATTTGTTCAATTCGATTCCCATTGGATTCAAGTCTTTCAGATGATCCAAATTATTCGAATTTCCGAATGTTGTCTGTCTTTATCAATATTTTTTTCAACAATTTGGTTAATAATCATTCATCATCAATTATGGAATATTGATCCCCTTAAAAATTTTTTGCACAGAATTAGTCTGATTTCAAGGAACTGAATCATATTTTGTTCTTAAAAAGCAAATCTTGAACTTTTGTTAATAAATCAAAATGATTTTTTTTTCTCAAAAATGATTTATTTATGAAATTGTAAAATAAATGCATTTTAGGCTTGAAATTTTATTTTCAACGTTTGAATTGCGCGGGAAAATATATTTGAATTATAAATATGTCAAATTCATTTATTGAAACAAAAAAAACGATAATTAATTAGATTTGTTTTTTCACTGTGAAAGTTTTTCATAATATCTCATTTTTCCTTTCATTGCATTTCACGAAAAACTCAATTTTTGCTTCACTTATTGCTTTATCTGATAGGAAAAACTCGTTTTAGGGTTAATCGAGGGTTAATCTCATTTTAACGAGGACATACAGACAAGGAGAGACGAATCAACTGCACGAAAAACATGTGTGGTATTTTATTTATTTTGCCCGCAATGTTAAAAAAAAAGGAAGAAAAACGTTTAAAAAAATTAAAAAAAAAGAAAAAAAAGAGAGAAAATATTAAAAAAAAAATAAAAAAATAAAAGAAATTTTTTATTCTTGTACCTTGATTGTTGTAAAGTTATTTTAAGTTGTTAGTTGGTCCACACTAATTTTGTGAAACTTAGCCATGTTATTCTAATATTTTTTGATATTATTTCCCTGCCTTCTGACAACTCGTCCCAAATTCAACTGACTTTATAGATCTTTAATGCTTATTTGAATTGTATCCTTTTTATTTTTAACTAAGACTAATTAATTATTTGATTGTATTAAATTTGTCTAAGTGTTATTTATTCCCCAATTTGCCAATTTTCCTTTTCAAATGGTTTCTTATTGTTCAGTCCGTAAATAACTCTTATCATTGAATTTTTCCCTTCTTCGACCAGACAACCTGTTTGAGAATTTGCCGGTTGTCTGAAAGTCTCTTCTAGGCTAGAAAATTCTCGCGCATTTATATGATCCACTTTACGATCAACATGGTGACATTTTAAGTATAGATTTTTGCTGACGATAGAAATTTTGAGTTTGAAATTTAGTTCGCTAGTCCATAGAGAAATTTCAAGTTAATATTTTGGTTGACAAGCTTGAAATGAGGTGGAAATCTAGTTAACAGTTTTCAAATGTAAGTGTTTTCGAACAGTGATTGTCGCTATCTGTAATGTTTTTTTTTTCAGATTTGTTATATTTTCGTGTTATTCATGTTTGATTAGTACCTCAACATCCTGTCATTTGGAAAAAATTTCAAAAAAATTTCGAATTCGGACCCCCCTAAGACCCCCCTATACCACTTTTGACAAGTTTTAATTACATTTCCTGAGATACCAGACCACTAGGGTCATTTTCTGAAATTTTTAAAAATTTCGAATTCGGACCCCCCTAAGACCCCCCTATACCACTTTTGACACGTTTTAGTAGCACTTCCTGAAATACCAGACCACTAAGGTCATCTTCTGAAATTTTCAAAAATTTCGAATTCGGTCCCCCCGAGGACCCCCCTTCGCACTTTTGGCCAAAAATTTGGCTGTGGGCCTTCCTGACACAATTAACAACCATTTCCCAAGTTTTCACAGTCGCAAAAAAATTTTGCGCAAGGGGGACTCGAACCCACGACCCCAAGTGTACAGAAACTAGGGACCAAAAAGGCAAAAGGTCCCTCAGTCATCCCCCTTTGGATATATTTTCTAATAATCGCCATATGTACATGTTGGTGTGCCACGTTACCACCTCTTGGCCCGAGGACTCATCCATCATTGGGACGTGCCGGTGTAGATGTCCACAATCCACGATCAATGATCGCACATTTTAACCACTACACCACACCGGCACATTTCGCCAAGGCTGAAATCGCATATAAGAATTCAAGAATTTTCAGAGTGGTGATGAGCTATGTTAGAGCTCTAACTTTTTCGTTTCTGAATCAAATTCGATGATCCAAAAAAAGTGAATGGTCAGAATTTGATGCTTTACAACGTGAAATCAACCAATTTGCTTGAAATGCAATGGGAAATGAGATGCGATGAAAAAAGTGTCAGACTACCAAAATGTTGAATTGCACTGCTCTTTTTCTGAAGCTGAAAGTTCTAAAATTTTAATTCAGCTATTAAAACGATTTCTGAAAATTTCCAGTTTAAATATTATCTGAAAAAACACTTTTATTAGTAACACTTCCTTAAATACCAAACCACTAGGGTCATTTTCTGAAATTTTCAAAAATTTCGAATTCGGACCCCCATATAACCCCCCTCCCCCTATAACACTTTTGACAAGTTTCAGTAACACTTTCTTAAATACCAGACCACTAGGGTCATTATCTGAAATTTTTAAAAATTTCGAATTCGGACCCCCCTAAGACCCCCCTATACTACTTTTGACACGTTTTAGTAGCATTTCCTGAAATACCAACCACTAGGGTCATTTGTGAAATTTTCAATAATTTTGAATTCAGACCCTCATAGGACCCCCCTCTGCACTTTCGGCCTAAAATTCTGCTGTGGGCCTTTTTGACACAATTAACAACCATTTCCTAAATTTTCACAGTCGCAAAAAAAATTTGCGCAAGGGGGACTCGAATCCACGACCCCAAGGGTACATAAAATTATGAACTATAATATTACTCATTTACTATTGTTTTTACTCATCTTGGAGATTGCAATGATAATGTAGATATAAATGTTCATTTGCTTTCAAGCAATTTCGAGATTTCTAGAAACCGTTCTGCTTTCTTATCATCATTCTCATTTCCCTTCAATCGCTCTATTTAAGAATATGAGAAAAATTGTTCACAAGGTATGAGACCTATATACAAGTGCGCTCTACTGCTCAACTTTTTTTAAAATTCAACTTGATTCTCATCAATAAGAGCATATCTTTCTGTATGAATCAGTTTTTTCCTTCGGGAGCCTCGTACCATTTCAATCCAGCTCTATTTATTTTCTTCTGAATCCATCTCACGTGTAATTGATTGTTTCGTAATTTGATTTTTTTTAACACACATAGACTTGAATTTTTTTTCCAATCATTATGATTGATTTGAACCATCCACCATAAAAAATTTCTCCTACACTTAATTAACTTCGAGAATTGTGGAGGTCTAAAATTAATGAGGAAATGAAATCTGAAAAAGTCATCCAATTAGAACCTGTCGCAGTAGAAATTGGATTTTGAATCTCAAAGCATATTAGACAAACTCAGAAATAACCTTTTTTGAATTTTATTTCTTTCTAAGCAATCAATTATTGTTAACCCAATATTTCGAATTACTTTTGGCTACTAGCCTCAACATAATAATTCAAAATTGACAATCTTGGTAGATTTGAAATTTGAGTCTTAATGAGATTAATAGAATAATTATCGTTGGTTAATGTGCATTTTTATATTATTATCTTCATATTAGTTTTGAAACTATTTTCAGCTTACAAGACTAGCTTCAACACTCAAAAAAATGGAAAAGTTTGAACGAAGAAATCTCGCTCGTCAAGTTCACGCTATACTCTCCAAATGCGACAAAAAAGGATTAACCATTGAAGATCTTGAGAAAGAAATAATGTAATCGCTTTTTGATTAAATCGAGTTGATATTTTTTTCCAGGACTTTTGAAAACTTCAGCTTGGAGAGTGCTCTGGCTGACATTGGTATCTCAGTTCTCCAATTTCTGCAAGGTTTCCCCCACAAGTTTCGGAGAAATGTAAGCAATTATAATAATGGTGCATTATAAATTTCTAGAAAAACTTTTTAAAAAAACCTGCTTAGGTATATTTTTTACCGAAACCCGAGTAGTGGTATTATAAAAACTTTAATACATACATAATTGTCTTAGGGAATCGTATGGACTGCATTGCGACAAAGCACCATGGATGAGTCAGGGAGAAAGAAATCGAACCCACGTTCCAATTGGAGTATGAATTAATGTTTGTCTCATTTTTTAATCATGAAAATTTAAGAAAATGGTCGAAATGAGATTGATTTGAATGCAACATTCTCTTTTAATAGATCATTTCATGGCCAAAGTCGAGGTAGTATATTATATAATGATCTATCAACTCGTTTATTAATCTTGTTTTCTAGGTGTTAATTTCCATTCTTCCTTTGTTGGACATTCTTGTCGACAACAAAAAAATATGTCTTATAACAACGAAGATGCTAATAACGCCGAATCAAGTTCCCGTGGAAGAGTCCCGACGAAAAGCTCATCTTTTCATCGCCCGGTAATTAAATCAGAACATTATCAGTAGTTATATTGTCGAAGTCAAACGACTTGACGAAATTAAAAAAAAAATTATTGGCTATTTGCCAATGTGTCTCGAAGCAGTGAAATTGCGTACATTGCGTACGCGCATTGAATATTCAGTCAACAAAAAATTTAAATCTACACTGACTTTGCGAATTTGAAGGCCAAGCCTTCCTTTAGTCGTTTGACGCCGACAATACATGTACAAAAATTTGGAAATAGCAGAACTCGCGTAAAATAATGACAGCACAATTTTTGATATAAAAAATTAGCACACCGAAAAACCAATCACGGAGAAATTCAGGATTAATTTCTGAAATATTTCTAGGCGGCATTAAAAGAGAAAAAAGGTTCACAATCGAGATATAAGACAGCGTCAAGTGCATCTTCTGAAAGGGTATTGATTGAAACATGTGAAATTGTAATCAAAATTCGTTGAATTCAGGCTGTGACGAAAATTTGCAACTTGAATTTGAAATCCGAGCCAAAGAAGAGCATGGATACAAGGTTACGAGATAAATCTCAGAAACCTTCAGAGCAACCTCTTCATTATTCTGATTCTGATGAATTTCACAATGTTATTAAAGCTAGAATTAACGATTATATTACTGATGGAATCGAGTTACGCAAGCTCTTGCAACATCTTGATCTTCCCCTTTCCCAGAAGATAATAGAATGCATTGAAAGAGTAGTGCATAGTACCAAACGATTCCAATTGTTGGATTTGAATGATAGTGAGTATTCGTTCTGAAATATCAAATCAAATATTAATATTTTGACAGTATTTGCCAGGATTATTCAAAACCAATCATTCGAGGTTTTGAATGTTCTAACCAATCAGAAATGCATTTATGTTTCTGATTATCCAGAATTCAATTCCGAACTGTTTTGTCATAGATTGTCAAGAGTGGATTTATTTGCTGCTAACACGGATTATCGAGTATATTCAGACTTGGGCGTTGTCAGCTTCGAATGTGTTGTTTCAGATGCAGCGAATAACCAAAATAGGTGATTTGCAGCGGTCCTTTTATGCGCGGCTTGAAACAGATGCGGACGAATTCGTTCAAGTGCAAATAGCATTAAAGTGGGTTGTTTCGTTTGTGTTGAAAATACGACAAATCGAGCTAATCCCTTTTTTTTTAGTTTATGCGCCGAGCAATTTTCCAAATTGCCGAGTCCACCATTTGAGGCCTGGAAAATTGGGCACGCGTGCCTGATTCCCGTGTTCGCCGATAGGAAAATTGGTGTTTTTTATCGTCGCGCCGTCGTTGTCGATATTGACAAATTTGATAAGATTATCATTGTGCGACAGATTGATTTTGGCGATGTTCGAGGCTTTAAGGCGGAAAAATTGATTCCGATGCCCGAAATTTTTGGCTCGATTCCGTGTTTGGCGATCAAACTGCGATTGCAAAATTTCAAAATCATTGATGAGGTAAATACTTTCGAAAATGATCAAATTCAATTTTTTTTCATTGATTTTTATAGCAAAATTTCGATACGATTCAAAAGGAGAATTTGGCATTGTTTCAAAAAATGGGAACCTCGTTGAAATTCCGTCCAATCAAATGGGTTGGTGATGTGGAATTCTTTACCAAAAACATCACATATTTCAGCTGCCAGGACATGATGATGAGAATGCTCTGCTTGTAAAGTTGTTTGTCAACTCATCGCCAGATGATGTGTTGAAAACCCTGGAAACCCAAGGAAAGATACAAATTCTCTAATTTGTTGGGAAGAGTTGAAGTAACTGTGTCTTATGTTTTCATTGTGCTTTATTTTTGTTCATTTTAATCTTCTCAGTTTTTTTGTGAATGTCTTATTTTTTTTGAGTCTCCCGGTTTAAAACAAATTTTCTTGTGATTATGTTTCGTAGACTTCAAGTCATAATTTTTTATATTGTTTTATTATATATTATTATATATTGAAAATTGAGGACCCTTACATCTCTTGACCAATGATTGTCGTAAAACAATGTAAATTCAAAATTTTTTAAGTGGAATTATCCAATATGGAACATCTGATTCGTTTTTAACCCTCTTGATTACTTATGAGAATAATTCCGTTCTTCGAAATTTATTTTTACATCCTGCTTTTTGAATTTTATCACATTCTGTTTATGATCACTTTGACGGCAGCTGTAATTTTTATAGTTTCTGAATATTTGCGTGGCATCTTCTTTCTACTAACTTTTCACGTGAATTTCGCGTTTTTCTTTTATTATTTTTAATCTTCTTATTGTAAACTTTGAAAGAAGAGCAAAATCAATTATAATTACTGACAAATTGGAAAAAGGCAGCAAAGGTCTCGAGACGAAAATTGGTATATTACACTCAGACCTAGATTTTTAAACATTTTCATTAAAAATATGTTTTGCATATATTTTTTTTGAGAAAACTATCATTTTCATTAAAAAAAAAAACGTTTTATTATCAAATGCTTATTATAAAAAACAAAATGCTAAAAATTGATTGGATGAGAAAATTGTGATATTGGGATCAATACTAGAACTGAAAGCTTGGATTCAAGAGATTCGGGCAATTCTTCAAGTTGAAATCGTGGAGGGAGGGCTTCATATTGAAGGCCGTTATTTTTTTAAAATTATATTGGATTGGATCCAAAGTGAGATACACTAAACAAAGGTGAGTGAAAAAATAAAACGTCAATTAAAAGATGAATAAATTAAGAGTAGAAAATATGAAAAAAAAAAGATTAGTAAAAAATGAAAAGTTAATAAATTATTTTGGTATGAAGAAATATATGTGTGTTGTCGTTGTTGTTAAAAAATGTCTTACTCAGATTAATCGATCGCAACTCACATGGCTTTTGATATCTGAACTCAATTCGACCGACAATAGTTGTGGTGCTGAAACTAGAAGCAATTTAAGAAAGGCTGGAAAAATAATTATTTTTAAATGTTAACTTTGACCATTTTTAGATATCTGCAATTTCTACTACTACTACAGAAATACTGACTATTTTTTTAAAATTATCGTAGATTGATAAAAATTATGATTATTAGCGTGTATATATTTTTGTTCAATTTGGGTTCATTACATGCTTACTTTCATTTTTGAAGTTCATCCTTAATATTAACTTCAATGTTTTTTCACTCATGCGGATTTAAGGCACTTTTCTTCGCTATGGGCGGAGCAATTGAGTCCTCGCTATCCGAACTATCGGCATTCTGAAAATCGTTTTTAGTAAATAAAAAGCAGCTTCAGAATATTATATTTTTTTGGTTTGCCAGAAGTTGTTTGAAAGTTTAAATTTTTTGAATTATATTAAAAGTCAAGAAGGAGACTTTTCAAAAAAATTGTCCGATTTCTGCTCAATATTATTAAAAAAAAACGTCAAAGTGATGCATTTGGCTTAAAAATAGTCTGAAATTTGTATATTCATGTGCAATTTTACTAGAAAATCCATCGAAAAATCTCACTATCTCAGCTTCATCGGCTGCACTTATTTTCGGCATTGTCTCTCTATACAATCTCCTTTGGAATTTTTTCAAATGTGACAATCTCTCTCTAGTATCGCATTTCTCGTATACCTACAATTAGTTATTAAACAATTAAGTGGTCAATAAATTAATTACCGCAATCAACTCGTTGACACCCTCAATAATCAAGCGCAGCTCATCTTTTGGAATTGCGCCAAATTCGATCAAGCTCAAAATCTGAAAAAAAAATCAATTTTTTAAAACAAATGCGCAAAAAGCTAGCTGAAACGCACTGCAAAGTAATAATTTGAAGCCGTAGACTCCTGATTTAAGATAAGTTCATTAATAGCGTCGCTTATCAATTCAACATGAGCAGGAAGCCGCTGAAAATTATCAAATAATGAAATTTGCAAAAATGCAAATCCTGTTTTGATCTTTTGTATTAAATTTTAAGATAATTTGTTGGTGAAAAAAAATTAATTGGTTGAAAATAACTGTCTTAGTCTTTCTGAAATTGGCAAATGCTGAAATGTTGAGCAATTTATTTATTTTTTTTTAAATTTTTTTTAATGACAAGAATTGCAGTTACATTTTAATGCAAAAATGATTCTTATAGTCAAAAGCCCAAAATTTTTGAAATTTTTACAGTTTATTATTCACATTCTTACAGTTTGTTTCATAAACCGACAAAACCTTCCAACCGCAAGCAAAAAGTTGTTAAAATCGTATCAAATTTTAAACATACAGTTTCAGATTGGGCCAATAACGAATGTCTCGTTATAATCGCAAACAGCTCAGCAGTCCTTTTAAGGCGTTTGTGAATGTCGACATTTTGGTCGACTTTGCCAATAAGCACCGGATTTGTGTTCCATTCGATGAAGAACTGCTTGAACATTTTTACAACCAACATTTGATTTTCCCTAAATTGTCAATTAGAAATTTATAAATTATTTTTTTTTCAAATTTTCTCACCATTTTCCTGCGAAGCATTTTAAAAACGCCGAAACCAAACATTGAAACACCGATTTAAAATTGTCATCGGCTTTAAAGATGGTTCTGAAAATCGATAAATGTCTTAAAGAACCAAAAATCAAAAAATCAATTTTTTTAGACAAAATAAACGCAAATTTGTTTATTAATTTCGAATAACTTTCCTAGAAAATGATCATGATACAGAATTCAGATCAAAACGCTTCATTTATACATATTATGTTATATTTGCAGGAAACACTGATTGAAAAGCAGAAGCTTGAAGAAAAATTGGCGAAATTAAGACCAAATGTAAGATTTGAAAATTTTCGTTTAAAAAACCCAATAATTAAATTTTTTAAATAAAAATTTCGCAAAAACTGAAAAATCCTTACACGGAAATCAAAGTGATAAAACTTTTTTGCCATTTCACATCATCAGGATCTATGCTTAAATTCAGAAGCATTTTGGCGAGTACTTCAACTGATTTGAGTACAATTTTCGAGAACTCAATTTCCGGCTGAAATTTTTTTTTCAAATCTCCAAAAATAAATTCATCGATAAACCTTTTTTGACATTATAATATTGCACAAAAATTCGGGAATAAAAGAATTCTGCTGAATTATTTCAAGATTGAATTCGCGAATTCGATTGCTCACAAAATCCACGTCTCGGTAGTGAATGCACCAATCGCCGAGAATCGTCACAATTGAGCACTGTGAAAAAAAAAATGATTTAAGCAAAAATGAAAATTTTCAAAAAGCACACCTTAATATCCATTGGCTGTTCATCAAAATTTCTCGCTATTCCAACCAATTCATTTTTGATATAATCAAAATCGATCATTCCAATTATTCCAACACATTCGATCGCATAGAGTCTAAGGTCAATATTGGCATCATTTAGATGCGGCTTGATCTGAAAATTGCAATATATAGGTGGACATTAAGAAAATGTCTTATCGATCATGGAAAACTTAAAATTGTTTCCTCTTTCTTTAAATATTCTAAAAAAAAAGCGTACCAGCGTGTTATATTTGAATTTCATTAAGGTATCCAATTGCTGTACAATATCAGCTTTGAGCGCAGAATGGAATAGTGGAAGCTCATAGTTAACAATATCGTGAAGATCCTGAAAAATTGCTATTTAAGGAATTTTATTTAGAAATGTTAAAATTTGTTGTTTTTCTGAAAATTTTCAAGCTTACATTCATTTTTTGTGGTGACACTTTAAGACGTGTCGGCATTTCAGTAAAAACGGTATCCATGTCAACGTCCCCGCCAAAACATGATTTTGTTATCAATTCAGCGATTCCCGATGATATCTCAGAGATCAGTCCATTTCCATGCTTTATTGCAACCAAATCCTGAGTTGCTGTGTCGACAATTTCCTTCGGATTGCCCATTGTGAAATAAACGTCGGTCAACATATCAACCCACGCTTTTCTGCAAAAAAAAAACGCAATTTTAGAAATTGCCGATTTGAAAATTGACAGAAGAATCAATGTTTTTGATATTAGAATAGCATTTTTAAATAATTATTGGCCCAATTAAGGAAAAAACTCACTCGCCATATGGCTCTCGGTCTTTATGCCTGATGATAATCAGATAACAGTGAGCAATCGCCTGAAAACTATCGAAATTGATTTTTGTTATCAAGATTGCAAAAAATTAGCTAAAAGCCGAAAAAACGGCCTTGATGCGCATTGTGCGCCTCTAATCTATTCTTTTACATTGGCCCGTAAATCTACAATATTAATTTTGTTCCAAGACCACTACTATCATGTTTTTGGCATTTAGCTAATTTTGCGCCATCGCGCCACGTTGATAATTCGAAATTTGAAAAAAAAACTCACCGTTTGGGATATTCGAAATGCTGGCCAATCGGTCACGATAGCCGTTTTTTCCATAAATTGGAATATATCGACCGTTCTAAAAATTTCAATTTCTATATAGTTTTCTCGGTTTCAAACTGCTATAGTCCACAAGCATGCCCTATCGAAATGTCTCGTCGTATAGCACCCTCTCTTTTTCTCTGTGTCTCTCACAGTTCGCAATATTTTTCTCCATGTTTTATTTTTATTTTTCTATTGTTTTTTGTATGATCCCGGAGGGCTATATAAGCTCGCGTTATCTTGATTATCAACATTTGCTCAAAAATTCCAAAATTTGTATTTGTTGCCGCTGAAGAAATAAAAGCCGCCCTCAAAGCCGTGAATTAGTTTAAGATGGATGGATCATTTTCAGGTAAAATTAAATTTGCCGATTCAAAATGAACATATACACTATTTGCACACATTTTTCTTTAGATTAATTAGTTTTATATGATGATTTTCTTCTTAATATTTCTTCTATGAACTGAACATTGTACACATACGGTCACATTAAAATTTATATAATTGTGCTCAATGTAAAAAAATCATGATAGAAGCCAAAAAAAACTCACTTATACATCAAAATGACCATCTTGAGAATATCCGGCACCATTCTGTCGATAGCCAATATACTATCAATACTGTTCTGCGAGTATTGGGCAAAGAACTCAACAATCATTCGCCAAAAGATGACATGATTCGTTAATTTTTCCATGTCGTACCCACTGAAATCAAAACTTCTATCAATTATTGAAAGTTAAGAAACGGAAAACTGCTCAGAAAAACGAATGACGTCAATATAATTAGACTGAAATTATCAATTTTCATTAATTTTGACAACAGAATTCTTCGGGTCTTCGACAGCGGAGATTTCAGGCCGTATAAATAACAATAATAATTGTGTACTTTTTTGGTACCCTTCCCCCCCGCCCAAAACAATTCTTTCGTGAATTTGGCCAAATGCTGCCCAAGCAAAAATTTAAGAATAAATTTGCAAAATTAAATATTCTACCTAGGAAAATCAAAATCAGGTAACTTACTGGTCCTCGAGCACCTTCTCATAATTGTCTCTATGAAATAGCAGGTCTTCCGGTTCAATATCTTCACATATTGCCTTTCCAAATGATTCCATCGACTCGCTTTTCATATTGTACAAAGTGCGAACACTGTCAAGAGCTGTCATCATTATCACATGCACCTTTTTATAAACCTGAAAATTGTTAAAAATTATTAGCTTATTGTTTCGAAAACAATAATTTATGTTCTTTATTTTGTTTCTTATAACAAACTATTCCAACTTTCTTATAAAAATAACATTGGCAAATTTGCGTTTGAGATAACACAATAAATGTTCCTCATGGTAGTAATTTACCTCCTTATCGCACACATTTCCAAAATGGGTCATCATACAGCTCGCCGCTTGAATATACCCGGCATGTGTCCTTATTGGTATCGGTTGCTCTTCAACAACCCTTTCCCCGGTCAGAGTCACTTCTAATAAAAAAATGCCGAATTTGCGTAAAATTGGTGAAATTACCAATAATATCGGGCTCTTCTTGTTGCTGCTTCTTCTTTTTGTATTCGTCAGCCAATTCCAATAGCCACTTCTCAATCACGTGTTTTTTGACAACATCACGTATGGTTTCTAAATTTTATTTTCATATTTTGTTCGAGCAGAAAATTGCCAAGTCTCTTACTGTCATGGTCCGTTAAACATCTGAAAGCCACGTTGAGCTTTGTTTCCATATCTGACATATGTATTGAGCGCCTGCCATAGCTATGAAGAGCAACTATGCGCACCTAAAATTGAACAATTTATAAATATCTTAGGTCTACTAATTTTTTTTATTAATTGCAAATGTAAAACAAAAACTTGCAAATTTTCCTTTTTTGCTCATACTAATTATTTTTTCTTTGAAAACTCAATTTTGTGCAAAATGGATGAATCATTTTATTAAAATAGTTTTGTTATTTCGAGGAGAGCGAATTATTATAAGACAAAAAAATTGATAGGCTAAAAATTAATGGTAGAGTTCAAAAGCTAGACAAATAGTTAATTAATTAATAATAAAACAGTATATATCTAACTATAAATATAATAACAAAACGAATAAAAATTCCAGTTTTGGGTAGATCAGAAAGAACCTCAAAATTAATAATTTGGGTTTCCTGGACGCTGTGTTCAAAAATTAAAAATAATTTATAACCCCATGGATTTAGATGAACCTACTTTTTTAAAACTGAACTTATAGTAAACCATTTTCTGAAATCTTTTGAAAATCCTATGCGCGCCCCATATCATGTTTATTTCCAAAACTTCTATCATTGTTCAATTCCTAACCTTCAATGACTTATCAGACAATGCGTAACGTGCCAACAATTTGACGTGCTCAGCTGTCGTTGGAATGAACCCTTGCACCACTGCCTCTCGACATTCCCAAGAAACATCGCGAAATGAGCGCAACAATACTATAATAATTTGAAAAATTTTGGAAAATTAAGATGATCATTAGAATGACATACATTCGGCTGGTGGCTCTGCAATCGCCTCGTGAAAATCGCTGGGAATAGTTTCATTTTGCATCAGCAGAAGAGATCGTATTGCCATTAAGCGGACATTGGGCTGGAAATAGTTCAATTTTGAGTCCAAACTTCTGTCATTAGTTTGTACCTGATCCAACATCAATTTGCGAAGGCACATGTAGATTTTACCCGCATATTTTATGTCGAAAATCAGAAAGTCTTCTTTTTTCCGTCTCAACGCAATTCCCGACTCAAATAAAAATCCAATAATCGATGCCATGAAGCTTCGAGCCGTTTGATTGGTGCTGACAGCCCACTGGAAAAAAACATAATTTAAAATTTTTGCTGGTTGTTCATTACATGCCTTTGAGACAAAATCATCGTACAAAAAATTCAATGCGCACATATCGCCGACCGATTTCAAAAGCGCGCACGCAAATCGGCAAACTACGCGAATCACACGATGACGGCACTCGATGAGCACCGTATCCTCAATCTAAATCTAGTTTTCCTCATCATTTTCAGATTTTTAATCTGATTAACCATCATGCACAATCTGATGTCAAGCTCGTTGAAAAATGCCGCCAGAGCTTCTCGGTCATCCGTTCTTCTTATCTAAAAACAATCGTTTTTTACAATGGAATAAATGTACTTAGAATCACATGATTCATCGCTGACAGAAGGAATCGAATTGATGTCGCCGTGTGCTCTGGAATGTTGCCCTGCGCTTGAAACGCGGTCTTAACGCATTGCAAAACTTTGTCCCTGAACAATTTTCCATTCGCTTTCTTTTTTTCAACAATAAAAGTCACCTTATATGTTTATAAGGTCGAATTCGAATTGTCGGCTGAGAGGCACTTTGAATTTCAGTTCCCGACGAAAGAATCACCTTCTAAAACTGTGAATCAAAATTTTTCAACATTTCCATTTCGCAACTTTTACTTCATTTCCCGATGTTGTCGATTGCACGGCATCATCTCTTCCGATTGATGATGAATTCCCTTCTCTTATCCGCTTTTTTGGCGGCATTCTGTGAAAAAACCGGAGATAAAATCAATGAAATATGCAAGTGAGACGAGCAACAAAAAAAAACATGGAAATTGGTGCGTGTTGTGTGTCTTCTGTGTGCTGCATACTGCTTGCCATCCATGAACCACAATCTGCGTCTCCGGAACGATAAGCGCTGAGCGCCGCTGCACTCCCTGCATGTCTACTGTGAGTGTGCCTCCGCTTCATCGTGGCCCAAGGTGCCGTGTGGCGCCTACACTCTATGTCTCTAACATGGGCGCGAGCGGCCCATCCGAACGGTTGGCCCATTGCTTTGAACCCCCATTGCACTCTGCGTCTTTGCCGCCGCGCCAGTCGAATCCCACCCCACTCCCTCCGTTCCCACTCTATTTCACCACTGTTCCTTGAGTTCTGCGTCCTTGCCACTTTTTCTGTGCGTTCGAAACTGGTCAGCCAGCTGCGAACACCACTCTGCATCTTTGCCGAGCGCCACGACGGGGGCCGTGTTTCACCCTAGTCTGCGTTTCTACTCAGCATTGTAAACCATTCGGGTTGTGATAAACTTCACCCATTCTATTTCTGGCCGCTGTCGGCCTTGCGAGACGTGTTCCACCTTATTGAATATGGTGCCAACGACCTGCCTGAATTGCGCCACAGTGATTATGAATGAACCCTATATCATACCGATGATCTTTTGAGAGCAACCTACTCTGCGTCTCTACAGTATGCCAAAAGAATGGGCAGTGCACCTAAAACTAGATGTATGATTCAAATCACACTGCGTCTCCGATTTTCGCCTATACGCCTGCGACCAATCAAACGAACATCTTATTTGCTATACCGGCAAACAGTCAACAATTTATCAACATTATGCGTTCCCGTACTCAAAGCGTATCTGACGCCAAAATATTTTGGGGCATGCGTCCGGTGCGGAGAAGAAAATTGCTAATGCATAGCATATTTAAGGAATTCCTTTTTTTCAAATTAATTTGAATATTTTGTAGTAATGCAGAGAAAATTTCAATGCAGAAAGCAAACAATAATGCTTTTTCCATTTTTTAAAATTTTCTCTGCTTTGATCCGACAATAGTGGATTTTCAGTTTTTTTTTTCTATAAATCTCCAATTTCATTCTCCAAAATTTCTTCTCCAAGCTCATAACGCTTCTCTACATTCTCATATTAGCAGTGTATTCATGTCTTCGTTGATAAACGATTTCTTGAAATCACGATAACGATTTGCCATTTCGAATTTGATCAACAAATAGAAAAAAGAAGCGAAGTTCGCATTAGCAAATCGTGTGACTGATAAAGTGTCGCCTGATAACGTTCTTTTTTTTTCTTTTTTTTTAATTCTGTTAACAAGAGAGTTCATCATTTTTTCATCTTTTGGCTTTTTTTGAATTACACCTGCGCGTTTCAGAATTGAAAAAAAAATATTGTTAGTTCCCACGAGCTCTTAAATCATTTCCGCTGATACTAATCAATCTGTCAATGATTTTTTTAAAGATATTTTTTAATTATAATTTTGTTGAATCGACTTTTTCTAACAATTTTGCTAAACTTCGGTTTATTTTTTAGGAAGTATGACACCAGATGAAGAAGATTGTAAAAATTTCTGGAAGCAGTGCGAACGACATATCAGTACCATCAGAGGCATTGTGGTATTTTGTAGAATTTCTAGATTAATGATATGCCCTTGGTTTATAGGGTCGTCTTCCAAAACCCTACGACGATGAGACAAAATCCGATGTTGATTTCATCTTGAAGTCACTGTTTCCGGTCCAGCGGTATAGCTACGTTGACTGTACTCAAGGCACCCACTATCACGAGCATCCGGTGGTAAGCAGCTTGCGTTTACTTCTGGGAAGGACATCCACAATTTTCAGCGTGTCATCGGAAGAGCTATTACAAGATTGGAAACTGTTATGGAACGCCTCAATCGAAACCTTCCTCAGAATCAATAGACGACTCGATTTTGATTTGTTGTATTTCTGATATTGCTCTTGTTTCTTTTTTTAATTCTAATTATTCGATTATCTTGAACGTTACAATTGTTGATTAATGGTCTGAAAGACTGTGTTCATTCCGATTCCTTTAAACGTCTCTCATAATTCTGAAAATTTTGGCAGTTTTTTTAAAAATAATGTTTAAAGCGAGGCGGGCAACAAAGCGGATTCATTTAGCAGAAAATGAGCTTATTAGGTAAATTGAAAAATACACTGTGATGCAATACGCATTATTATAGTTTCAATTGAATTTTGCTACCTCCAAAATTCTTAATATATATTAGGTATCCTTTAGGATTCTCCATTTTCCGCATTTTATAGGAAATTTTCCTAATTTGCCAACTTTAATCGACCCCAATTAAACCGCCTCAATTAAATTGTTAAAATCTATCATTTTTGAGATTTCAGGTTGTCTTTTTTAAACCATTATGCGATAACTTTGAAAATCGATGTTTTTTTCTGTTAATACGAATTTGAATAAAAATCAAAATGATATTGAATTTTCCCAGAGATTTCACTAGAAGCTATAAAATGATCCACAGATGATCCAGATCAGCATCTGATTTTGAAAAGGTAAGATGTGTGAAAGTATCTTAACAAATTTCCATGCAAGAAAAGCTTCAGACGCGAAATGCTCAAAAACGGTGGAGTATTGCTAGTGAGGATTTCGAGAGTCATTTCAAAATAGGGTCAAGAGCGTGTGGGCAAAAATTTGAGAAAATTCGTAGAACTGCCGTTCGATCCCAAAAAAAATCCCAGACTGAGTTATGCTCGACAGTGGCCACAAAAATTTTTGCCCGATACGCTCTATTTCATTATATTCAAGACTTTTCATTTTTTTTAAAGTCTTCATTGCCGATCTCATTATCGCCATCTGTTTCCTCAACACTTTACATTTTTATATGGTCCTGAACAAAAAATTTTAGCAAAAGCAACATTTTCGTTCTATATAGTTATTTTTTATTTTAACACTAACAAGGGAGGTCATTTGTCCGTCTTAAAATTTTTTATTTTTTGCATACAGATTCTTTAGAAAATTTCCAATCGAATGAACTAGGTCCCTACCTGCGCAAACTTCTAGTTATCGAGATATGGACCTTCAAAGTATTAGCCCCAACCCACGTGAATTTTGCATACAAATGTGCGGAAACTCGAAATGAAATAGTGCGATGTCTTATATCGCGCATAAATCCCGTTTCAGCAAGCAGTTGTGGTTCAGTGGTGTGTAGGTTATGTTGTCATGAAGTGGAGTTGCGGATTCGGTCCCGGTATCTTTAAACTTTTTTGCGTATTTTTTATAGGTGATACAGTAATTATGACAGTGCAATTTTGCGTTTTTCTATTCAATTTTGCCATTTTCATCATATTGAAAGGTTATATATACGAAAAAAATAGTTTTTTAAAAATGTTCAAAAATTGAAAAAATTTTTATATTCACGTGGGGTGGGGCTAAAACTTTGAAGGTCCATATCTCGATAACTAGAAGTTTGCGCAGGTAGGAACCTAGTTCATTCGATTGGAAATTTTCGAAAGAATCTGTATGCAAAAAATAAAAAATTTTAAGACGGACAGCAAAATGACCTCCCTTGTAAGCTTTATTCATTGATACTTAAAAAACGACATTAAACAATAGAAAGAATTATTTTGAACACAGAAGATTTGAATAATTAAATTAGCATAATAAATAAGTATATCTCAATTATAATACAGACATTAAGATACAAACAAAGTATTTCAACAAAAATTACTGAGAATAATGAATATGGAAATTGTTTGAACGACACAATAATCTTGATATAACCTTCGTAGTCGCACTTGAAGAAAAAAAGTAAAAAAAAAATGATTTTTTAGTAGAAAATAATGGATCAACAACAAAATGAGACAAAGTCAACAGAAAAAAAAACAACTCTACTTCGAGTCTAACTCCGATATGGCTGGAAATCAGGAAATCATGAAGATCGTTATATATTTATTGACGGAGACGATGGTCGTTTTCAATACGGATTAGAACTTCCTCCATACGGAGATGGGCTTGGTGGAAGTAATTCTGAAACAATTTTGTACATACTCAAGTTTTTTTTAGCATTCTTAAAACACTACTATCAAGTTTGTCAATTATACGTTACCAGGGAATTTTACAAGGGTTTGTAAATCTTACATCATGGAGGAAATGGTCGTGGTTTCCATTAAGGCATTCATTTCTTCCGCGGACAAGGTATTCTTGAAAAAGTGGAACCACATACTCAATGTCGTCATCATTGCGCTCGGCAGTGCCCATTGCTCCGAGAATTACGAACTGAAAGAAGAAAACAATAAATATTCGAAAATCAATTAATTTGCTCACAAATGCGTAAACAGACTCCTTTATTTGATGTTTTCTCGCCCGCCAGAACTCCTGACATTCAGCCGGAAGCTCGTTCATGTTCTATAATGCAAAATTATTGATTCAATTAATCGAAACGAGCGAAAACAAAATTGCGCGTGCATAATAATAAACAACGCCATTTCACCCAGGCAACAACTCGTACGCGAAATTGCACACTCGGTGCTTGCGGAGCGCGAGTTGCGGTGATTCGAAAAATAACCAATTTTCGCGGTTTCACATCGCATTTGAAATAATAAGTTTTAATTTTTATTACTGAAAATGCAATATTGGTAAATACAACTATTTTTATTAGAAAACAATGTTGAAAAAAAACAATTATAATAATTGGAGTGGGGAGAAAACAATTTCTCCTTTAGTATAAAACGTTTAAATTTTTCCGAAATTTGGTACTTTTCATGATAAGAAGAGTGATGTCTCAAACTGTATACCATTAAGGCCGGGAGACCCCGTTGTGAATGCGCTCTAGCGCGAAAACCCTTATACAGTCCGCGGTGGCAGAGACTGTACAAATAAGGGCTGCTTGGATTTGTTAAAATTTCGAATGTTGACAAAAGGAAGGAAATAAAGGTACGAAAAGGAACATTCTGGATTCTCCCTTATCAATGAACCAGTGAAAATTCGGAGAATTTCTGTTTTTGGCCATTGCCAACCAATTATTGGGCATTTCGCGCTTGGAAAATCAACACTGGTCCAGAATAACAACAAAGTGGGATAGAGTAAGAAGAAGGGGTACTTGAAAGAAAAATGGTCGACATCAATCACCATCTCCTTGAATCGAGTGATAGATTGAATTTACAGCTCTGGCCTCACTTTGCTTCACACCTAATAGTTGACAATGGACACACAAGTCTCATAATAAGTAAGTCAACTGTTCAAGTGGTGGAGGAGTGGGTTAAAAAAAATCCGATTAAAACCTGCAAAATTGAACTGAAAGCAATGTACTAGCCTCAAACATTGAATTTAAATAAGATAGGCTTCATAAACAGTGTTAATGAGTCATCATTTCGTAATGGACAAGTCAAATTTTGTGCTTAACTATAAACGCATAAGCTTAAGGGCCACGTAGGAAAAATCTTGAAACTCCGTAGAACCAAAAAGCTGAATATAGGTGAGAATTTTTGACTTAAAAACAGTAATCCGAAGATTGAAACATATTGAAAGTTAAACATATACTCTCCAATTTTGTGATGGTAATATAATAAAGAGAAATGCGATGTGGCATGGTTCATTCGTTATAGTGAAAATATCACGTGAGTTATTTAATACATTTGAATCGGCATGGGTTTTTGGTTGAGCAAATTAACAAGTTGGCTGAGTATTAAATGCATTCACAGTAACACCCAAATGACGCCATGCAATTCTCAGACGTCTCAAGACTTTTACTAGTAATCCAAATTTTTTTAATTTTGCTGAAAAAAAATTAAAATTGAATAAAAATAAATTTTCTCAAAATCATGAATCATCGAATAATTTATGATTGTTTTTGCGAGTACATTATGAGCAATAATCATAAAATCAAAGCGAAACACATGTGTCGGATGTGAAAGTGTATATGCATATAAAATTCAATACGTAAATTTTTTGATATTTTCAGAGAAATCAAAAAATGATATTACGGGTTATTTAGTCTTGGATGGTGCTCTGAGCTGGCTCATTGTATCAGTCAGAGACTTCTACCTCATTTCAGGCTAAGGTCATGTACCCATTTAAATCATCAAACGCGTTAGCCATTTTTGGTCTTAGCGCGAAATCAACCAATTTTTTGTGATCTTCTCGTTTTCATTTACTCAACAAATGTGCGTCCCCAATTAATTTTATTAAAAAATTATCAATTCTACTAAATCCTTCTTTATTTAGTTAGAATCTGAGAATTCTCCTGAAAACATGTCTAAAGGATCAATTTTTCAAATTTCCGAAATTCTTTTTCAGATTTTTCTAAAAATCTCTTTTGCAATTAAAGCAATAAATCAATAAAAAGATTAAATATGCGGACGGCTTGCATTGTGCTTGCGAACAATGCGTGCGCAATTCGCGCCAAAGCCGCTTTTTTAAAATTTTACCAATTTTTTTCAAAATTTGCTTTTGCTCCCATAATTTTTTCGCTTGTCAATTAATTTTCATCAATAATTTATATGGTATAATTTTAGATCGAAATGTGGAATTGTTTTCGATGTCGCTCAAGTTGCGACGCATTCTGGCACCGTGTTGATTCGCGTTTGGCACGACTTCGCCATTCAATGGTTTTATCATTTCTCGATTATAATTTTTGAAATAATTCGCCAATTTTCAAGAGCGACATGATTCAACAGACGGACTCCGAATATTTGTACGACGTCAACTATATCATCTACAGAATCATGAAAATTGACGACGCGAAACATCAATGCCGTTGTTTTGGAAACCACGATCATGTCAGACCAATGGTACGGTAATAATGATGAAGTTCGAGTAGTAAAATTTGGCAAGATTACAGCAGCTCGCTCGTGAGGCAAAAGCAAGATTCAAGACTATTGAGCATCGCTTCGATTTTCAAAATTGAACCGCCACGTCAAGCTTCAAAAGATGAACTTTTCAATATTTTAATTTTTTTAATTTCAATTAACAATTGCTTCAAAACTACTCCTTTGTGTTATCTAACTCGCTAAAGCTGTTTTAGTTGTTGAATGGCTTTCATTTTTTCCTGGAACAGTTAAGTTTCAGTCTTAACTTCTAGAAATGTCTTGTTTCATTTAAGACAATGTAATACTTTTGGCTATAATTTTCAGCGTAAGAACGCGAAACTATTAATCAACATCATTGCAAGATTAGAAATGCACGAGTCAAAAAATGCAATGCTTTCAAATGTGAATCTTAAAGTTTGCAGAAAATCGAATTGAGCTTTTATAGTGCTAATCCACTGAATTCCACCGTCTTGGCGAAAATAAAAATGTTGCTTGGCATATTAACCGTTGCTTTAAATCGAGCTTCTCATTGCAAAAAAACGTACCGATGTGCATTACTCTTCGAATTCATTGAGATTTACCATCAATTTGCTGAGCTTCGGAAAATTATGGGTCCCCGTGCTTCTGTAATACAGCAGAAGTCTATTAAAATGAAAGGATAATTTATAAGTGTCATCGCTTTCGAACGATTTTTTCATATAAGCAGTTGTCATTAGTCCTGTCGGATCGTCCTAATATCAAATGCAATGTCAAAAATTGGGAAAAATTTTTCATTTTAAATTGGATTTCATCATTTTTAAATGGAATTTAAAAAATTCAAAAATAAACTAACGGACCATCTTTCTCAATTATGAGAAAAAAATCCAAATTACATAGAGGTGTATCTATCCTAGCAAGTGAAATTCAATATTGAAACTGGCGTCAAATGACAAATAACGCTTCTTTACCGTACAGTATACACCTATCACCTTATCATATCGGTGGAGCGCGTTTGCTTTGATAACTTGCTTAGTTTCACTGATAAAAAACATCAACTTATTTAACAAGAAAATTCTGAATCCTACATTTCAATGATAACTACACGAAATTATCAAGCAGGTTATGGTATTAAAAAAGGTTGATATATAATTTTTGAATTGCTTCATCAACATGACAATTTGACAATTATTTTCATAAAATTTGACGTTCCAATTATGATCCAAACAATCCAAAAAAAAACGTTCCAACAATTATTCAACATAAAAGTATTGAAGAATATAGTGAATCGGTACTAAAAATGACTTCGTGTTCATTCGATGGAATATTGTCTTCCCTTTTCATTTTTTTCATGATATTTTCTTCAATTTTTAAAAGAAGAAGTTTCAGAATTTTAATTATTTTTTCGAAATAAGTTGTATCTCTGTCTCTTTTTTAGTAGTATATTCATTTACATTCTCTTTAATTTTTCCAGACTTTCTATTTCAATTCCTTGAAAAAAAAACTTTTATTTGAACACAACTCAAATTTTAATAGAAAATTTAGAATGCATTGAATTGATGAAACGGAGACGATTCGCGAACCTGAGAATAATTATTAGAAATTAAAATATTACTTATTTGTATTTACTTTCGTGTCGCTTCGCCCAAGGAGTGAAAATTGGTCTAATGTGGTCAGCCCATTATTGTATAGAAAACGAATATTCTTCACTGAAATTTATTGCATGTAACCCCCTATAAAATTGAGTAAATTGTTACCATCTATCACTGTTTAGTTGTTTCTTCAACTGAATTGTTGACAGCAATCGCGATCTGAACATACCAAAATAATAGTTAACTGAATTACCCGGCAAACCTTATTTTAGCGTAAAATTGAAAATATTATTCCGGAAAAGCAACCGGCGTTGGTTCGATCGCCAACGTGACGAAAATGAATCAGCTACGAACGGTTTCACAGGCCAGACAGGAACAAGACGATAGATAACAGAAATTTCGGAGAGAGGGTTTGTGAAGTGGGCAAATAAAATTCGGCGACTGATATTTTATGATATGTGGTTTATGGGATGTACATTTTCAAATTATCGCGACCGAAAATCGATTTTTTCAAATTAAAAATTAGCCAAGAGAGTAACGAAATAAAAATAAAATATTTCATTGATTTCGTTTTCTTATTAAAGTTCAAATGAGGTTAGAAATTTTGTGAAATTTTCGCAACTATGGTTCAGTGGCAGTTTTGTTGAGACCTTAAATTTTGGTAATTAAACTTTATTGATAAAAGAGAGGTATAAGAAAATAAAACGGTGAAAATGAAATGAAAAATAACGAAAGGGAAAATGTGAGTGTGTGTGTATGCTGATCTCTCTTTTTATAAGGGAGCTTAAATGGCAATATTGGATTTATTAAGTTTACAACAATCATCTGGTGGTGAGTGTGTGGGTGGCTTTATTAAAGTTGCAATTTAATAAAGTTTTGCAATTAAATAAAAAAAATGAGTCACATTTGTGACAGAAATCATGTAAATTTATTTTTCCGAATAATTGTTCTTAATATCGCTATAATAAGTGGTAATTAACAAAAACTATAATCAGATATTATTCAAGATTTTTTTGGGAGCAATTATAATTTTCGATGGAAATGGAATTATTTATAACAAATTAAAGCCAAATGAAATAATTTTCGCTTCCAATTTTTTTTGATTTTTATGTCGTAAGTTATTTTATTGTGATGCATTGAAATTATTTTCAATTTTTTTAAAATCATCTGAAATATTTGCGACTGGTGTAGAAAAATGATTTAATATTTTTTACCAACTTCTACCGAAAAATTGGGCAAGCTTTTATCCCTGAAGCAGAAGTAGGTAACTGAAGATGAAATAGTGAAAGCCGAATCTATAATAAATGTCATTCTTTTGATTATCTTAAATTCAGAAAATATTTAATAACGCCAAAATTTCAAACCGTGATTTGAAAATAAACGCCATTGTCTAGACATTAGAAAATCTTTTTATTATTTGTATCATGTTCAAAAAATGATAAATCAAGAGCATTCCGAATTTTTCAAGGTTTTCTCAAAAAGCTATATCGCCACACTGAACAGTGTCCTAAAAAATTGCCGCGAAAACTCGGCCAGCGTTGGCGGCCAGCAGAGAAAAGATAGCACGCGAACGGAAATAGACGAATACTCACATACACGCTTTGCTTAGTTTCGACACAACCCTTTGCCTGCAAGTGGCCGCGTGGCGCAATGGATAACGCGTCTGCCTACGGAGCAGAAGATTGTAGGTTCGAATCCTGCCGTGGTCGGAAATTTTTTACAAATGAAGAAAGACTCTTTGCTAAAACTCGCTTGGCAAAAATTTTCAGGATACATTAGCTTTTTTTTAGTTTCTTTTTGTCACTCTAATTTCTACCGTTTCAGATTTTTCAAAATTTTGCACAGAAGAAAATTTTAAACCTTCAATCTTACTGATTTGGGATGTCAAAAAAATAAAATATTGATAAATGTATTCAAAAATACGGTTTATTAAACTTGCGAAAAATATTTCCCCTGTTTCCTTTAAAGGATTTAACGATAATTTAAAAATGTCAAATATCTATCCAGATGATTATTGTTTATTTTTTATCTGTTGAACATCTGGGGGCTGCTTTCGCGACATATGGTAGAATAGCGGATTATTCCTTCGGTAAATGTGGAAATCAAAAAAAGTCTCAAATATCAGAAGTTACCAGCTGTGGTTAGGCATGATTTACGATTGTTGATCGGAGGAATCGACTAGTCTTGTCGGAAAGCGGCAGCCAATCTCAAAGCGGCAGCCAATCTCTCTTTCCGCTTTTTCTGTATTTTATAATTATCCCTTTATTTTTCTTTCTATTTATTTCAATTATATTCAGGTTTGACTCAAACAATGCCGCGTATTCCCAAATTCAAATTGCTCTTTTTTGGGAATAATCATATCTACGATCATTGGTGCAACAATTTGACGACATCAATCCTTCTGGCGTTCGCTTTGATCCTTTTCATCAAAAACCACAATGGCACACCAATTAAATGCGTTTCGCGAATTCCTTATTCGGCGCAATTTGCGACTACCTACAATCGTTCGGCAATCGAAATTTTAAAGTCGAAATGTTGGAAAATGTTCGAAAATAATCTTTATCTGATTGACAACAAGGAACTGAAAATCTCCGAATACGGCAAATTTGGCGATTTCTTGATGCTCATCTCTGCAATGCAATTCGTCATTGTCAGATATATGTTTAAGAATTTCGAAGCAAAAATTGGTAAGCCAACAAGTTAAAATTATTAATAAATTTCAAATTGTAGGATCTTCGCTAAGCTATTACTGGAAGACAACCAAGAAGATCAAAAATGTGGCAATGGAGAAAAGAGCCGAGAAAGTGAAGCGAATGTCAAGAAAAATAATCAAATATAACACAATCAAAGGTCCCAATGAGTATGCTAATTCATCCAAATATCAGCTCAAAGAAAACATTTTCCTAGGCTCTTTTATTCATTCATCACTGTCAAGTTCCTATATTTGGCGTTGCTGACATGGCAATCTTTTGCCTTTAATTTTTTATTCATTAGCGAAGGCTTCCACGGCATTTGGGGATTCAAGGTGGGCGAAAAATGACGACTCGAATCAATAATTATTTGTAGGCGTTGTACCAACTTTGTTCGTTGCCTTCAAATGGAAGTGCGTCATTGCTGCCCCATCAAGCGATTTGCCGATTTGATGGCCATCCTCATCTATATTTCAGCTGCTTCCTCGAATTCAACGCATTGAGCGAGATTCTGTATGCATTGCTCTCAATCTGGATGACGTTTATGATCGTGATGATCATTTTGGACATTGTAAAATTCGTTTGGAATAATGGCCAAGACTTGTACGTCAAAAAGTTTCTCAATGAGGTATAATTGAATTTTGATAATTTCTACAAAATCCCACATTTATTCTAGACGTACAATTTCGGCATTTCGGATTCTCGAATCGAACGAATGAAAAACTACCTTGGTTTTAATGGTTTTGTCATTATTAAAATCGTTTTCGACGTCTCCGAGTCGGTCAGCCACGAATTGATTCAAATGATGGCGTTGAACGAGATTGCTATTCGCTATCAGGAGGAAGATGATGATATCATGTTGTTGGACAGAAATAGTTTCAGATATCGATTGCAAAATTAGATGTCACCATCTCTTGAAAAAAAATTAATAAAAACTAATTATGCTATTCTGACGTTTCCCATTATAATTCTCAAAGTTACTGTTATATCTCTTGTGTTTGTTGTAATTTCTTCAGTAAAAATATTTTTCAAATGTCTCATTTTCTGGTGAGTATAATTTTCAGATTATTTTTCATTTGGTTCTGCATAGTTAGATTAGAACAGCTGGGAATAGATGATGCTGCGCGTAGCCGACAGACGACGTTTACGAATGCCCATAAAAGTCTCAAATATCAAAGGTTCGTTTAGAACTCTATAAAATCCGATAGTTTCGTTTTGATTTGCCACAATGCGATAATTGATGCGAAGAGTTTTGCTGAGATTTATAGTCTCCCACATAAATGCATTTAGCTGCTGACGCGAATGTATTTTTCCAGCAAAAAATTAAAGTTTTAAGAACCGCATCACTTCGATATACAAAAAAAATATATCTCACAAATGGGACACCCACAAATATCATTCATGCACGCTCCAGGCACCTGAGGAAATTATAGCGGTCATATGGGAGGTCCGTTGTCCCTAACGAACCCATGCGTCCCAATGGTGTGTTACAGTGACTCTCGCAACTCAAACTGATCCGATGAAAGCTTCTTCCATTTTTCTTTGAATGAACGTATTGAACAGGCGAATCCAATTAAATGTAACAACTCTGAAAATGCTTCTGGCTGCATTTTTTCCAACAACTAACTCGAATAATTTGTTAATTGCAAGCTTAAAAAAATGTTTGAAGAAACAATAATTTATCAATCATTTCAGTACCCATAAAATTGGGCAAATTTAGGCAGTGAAACATTTTGAAATCAAGTAAATTAATGATAATTCAAACATCTCCATAAACTTAAAATTAATAATTAGGTAGTGACGAGGTCAATTAATCATATTAGAAAGATTAATAAAAAATTGAACGCAAAATGGGACCGAAGAATTGGGAATGACATCACACAAAGGGACTAGAATGTTGAGAAATGAACATGGGAACTATTTTGTGGTGCAAGTAAAACATGTACAAAATCTAATTGATGAGAAATTGTCCGCGAGCATTTCTTTTACGCTGCCCCTTTGGCAATTTATTGAAAGCTTCAAGATTCGATATCTGAAAATGTCAAAATTTAGTGAAATTCGATGATGTGTGCAAAATGGCCTAAAAATCAGCTTTACCTCGGTTTCGAGAGATTGCACTTGATATTCATCACCAGATTTCACCCAATATGGTCTTTTGAACAGAGTTTTCAATTTGGCGAGCTCCTCAGTCATATCTGCAGGGTCCTTAAATTTTTCGAGCCCCTTGGTCTGCAATTAAAAAGATAATTAAGGAAAAAAGCAATTTTAACCAATTTTTGCGGCAACGGAGTCGAAACGTCAAGAATCTTCATCTTCTTGCTTGTCACGGAAGAATCCAACGACAGCGATGGCGAAGTCGAATCCACACAAAACAGATCAACGGAAGTTGTCAGTCCCCAAAAAGCCTCCGTCGGTTTCATACATTTCTCATGAATGGAACCAGATTTTGCCAAGATGTCTGGCTTAAAATACAGACGATTCGCTTAAAATTATTCTGTCTCAAGATTCACCAATTCGATTCCAGTGGAAGTCTTCGAATCATCGGTGGATTTCTTCTTGCGTCTGGGAATTTTCCACGACAAAATTGGCAAAGTTTCAACCGGAAAAAAGCTCGAACCCGACCAGTAAGGAATTTTGCACACTTTTTTGAGTCTTCTGAGCTCATCATCAATGTCAACTGGATCGACAAAGGATCCCGTATTCGTGTTGCTCTTATCCTCTTCGCCATCATAATACTTCAAGAATTGCTCCGACCGCACGTCAAAATCGAAGATGACATTATGAAATTAAAAATGATTTAAATTAAATATATGGCATATAGTTTTACCGATTCTTTTTTTGTTTTGTGAAACGTGCAATCTCTTTCACCGTCTTGATCCAAGATTTTCGATTTGACGTTAGATGTCTGATTCACTAGATCTTCTTGTATCGAATCGTCATTAAATAACGTTGAAGGATTCTTCATTTTCAGTTAATATGCTCTTGTTTTCTCAAGCTTAAAATTGGCATAATTAATTCCGTTAAAACAGGCGGATGGCAGGATATTACGCATAATTATTGATTAAGGTGGTGCTAGTTTCGATAAAAAATTGAATTCAGCTTACTTAACCTAACATTTTCTTTTAACCCGGACAATATTTATGACATATTTTTCTAAACCTCTCGCTAGAGGTAATTTTTTTCATTTTCTAATATTTTTGCGAATTCTCATCATCCAAAAAATCTGCAAAAATTAAGTTCGTTCTCAAAATCGTAACTATTTTCCTTATAGTTATTGTAAGTGAGTCATAGGGGCAAAATCAGGTCGACCAGCGACCGGAAGGAGGCCAATATATATTTAATCAACCCTCCGACCGGAAGCAATAATCCAAGGCCTTTATCAATGCCACCAGCTCACCCCCTATATAAGCGATGCTCGTTAAACGAACGAGGAGGTAGGAAGCTGGGAGACCCGTTTTAAGTCCACACCCTTTTGTTACTCATTCCATTGTACATAAATAAACTCTTAGTTGTTTATTGTTTGTTTCCAACACGAATCGATGAACATGGAAAGAGTCGGGAATATGGCACACGAGGCCGGGGTTTGTGCACACCCCCAATTCCCGCACTGGTAGCAGCGAGTGGTTTGTCTCCCTCGTTTCCTTCCCTCCACCGGTACCATAGTTTAGTTTTATTTTTTGCTTTTGTTTTTAATTGAGTTGTCGTCTGCGGATATAAAGGGATGAAGTTGTTCTCCTGCGCAGGAACCGCGTCGACGTTTGGGAAGTCGCGCTCGCAGAAATTTTGCTTTGTTCGCCGTTTTTAGAGTACATTTTTGAGTTGACTGGGCCCAGTCTGGTTAGGCGAGCGCGCACTGATGGAATGCCGTCAGTTTTCAAAGAGTCTATTTTTGGCATCATTTTGGAAAAGACTCTATTTGAAGACGTTGTCTTCACCTCATTTCACCACATCCTACGATTTAATATCGGAAAACCATTTCTCTTTAATCAATTCACGCCTCTTCATTTTTCAATAAAAACGCAAGCGCTGGCTATTTTTTAGTTAAAACCCAACCATTGATTAAAAATTTTTAATATATAGCCTCGTTCCCGCATCTACCGCTATCAGTGCCTCTTTCATTTTACAGATGGCTCTAGCAAAGAGTCTCTCTCTCAGCGATCTTTCCGAGATTCGCATTTCTTGTGCCAAACCATTTTCGCGTATGCAAGATTCCGACACCGTCAAGGGATCCCAATTTAAGACTCTTCAATCCGCGTGCGTTACTGACTTCGAAGTCACACACGGAGTTATGAGATCTCTTGCCGAAAGAGCTGAAAACCGCATCAAAGGCTTTGCCGAGATTCCGAGAATCAATACGGTAACAGCCTCGATGCGGCCAAGCTCGCAAGTCCCAATTTTTGGTGGTTCACCAAACGACACCTTCTCCGCATTTTTGCGATCCTTCAATGATCATGCTAATACAGCAAAACCTCCTTTGGGAGACCTCGAAAAGAGGAATATTTTCTTGACTTATTTGACAGACGCAGCCAGAGACCGCGCAGAGGAGTTCCTGGAGCAAGAGAGCGAAGCCTCGTTCGCAACCTTGGTTAACCATCTAAAGGTAAAATACGAAGATCCGGTAAGAGCAGAACTCTCGCGCCAGCAACTCCGAACAACGAAACAGCTTCCGGGCGAGTCTGTAGATGAGTTTGCAGCTAAGGTCAGAAAACTCGCAAATTCGTCGTACCTCGGATACTCGCGTGAATATATCAGGGCCAAAACCTTAGAAGCGTTTTTGGACGGGCTCAAATACGACATAAAATTCCACGTTAAGGCCAGTAACCCAAGAACCTTCGAGGACGCCCTCAATTCCGCAGTGAGGTACGAGATTTTGCTTCAAGAAGCAGCAAGGGCTAACACCATCAACCCACAAACCCTCCCCGTAGCACTCCTACAAGGGGTAGACAACCAAAACCGCGAACGAACGTCCCGAACCCTTCCCCCTCAACACCGTTTCAGAAACACCCCACGGCAAGTGAAATGCTATTTCTGCGGACGTCTCGGACATATGATGGCCAATTGCTTCAAGAAAAACCGTCAATTTGGCCGCATCGACCCAATTGATAATCACCAGATCAGAAACCGGAATCAGCCGATCTTTGGGAACCCAGGAAGACGGACAAACAACTACGAAGGTAACTCATCAGACGTACGTAATTTCCAGCCTGACACGACCGCTGACGATACAGTAAGAGAATTACGCGCTCAAGTCGAAGCGTTGACCATGCGCAACAACCAACTAACGAACAGCATGACGCCCAGAGTTAACACGGTAAGAGTCTCGAAATTACCTTTGTTCATTGCTCTCCTCGCCTGCCTGGCAAGTCCCACCACCGCGTTTAATGCTCTTTTATGTCTACCGAACTCTCCCGAATCGCTGATCAACTTTCCATCATCGTTCGATTGCAACTCAGTCAAACCCTCCCCATTCACCCAGACAAAGAAAGTTTCTCTCAGCGTTTACCGACCAAATTCCATTGCGTATGACTCTACCGCCACCCTCTGCAAAATCATTCAAACCACGTCCACTTTCTCCGTTAACCTTTTTGGATCCCGCTACATCGAAACAAATTCCAAGCAAGCAACCGTTTCGGCAGAAGAATGCAAACTAATGATGAATCATCAACGTTGCTCATTCGGTGACCTTCAACCAAGAGACGGCATTTTTAAAACCAATAACGCCCACAGAATCGAATGGCCAAACTTTCTAATCGGCGCGCTATCCCCAGCAAAAACTGTTGTAACAAATAATTGCCTCATGCTCACAACCAGAATTGTAATGCGTTTTAATCAAAAATTTCCCGAGTCTCCCGCGGGATCCATGAGGGGTTGCGACTACACAACGGGCTTCTGCAACCAACGCCAGGGAGCGGCATTCATGTGGAAACCAAATCCAGAACAGAGTTGCCGTTTCATCAAACTGCGGACCATGTCCGGTCACCAATCAGATAACATTTGGCTGTCTGAAAACAAAGAATTCGCACTATCTTTTAACTCTTCAAATCCAATAATCGAAGACTGTGGCAAATCTCTCGTAGTCACAGATCAAGGCTTCGCTGTCCCAACCAGACGAATTGCCAAACGAGAAATAGTCCCACCCTCTATCACCCACCTAACAAACTTTGTCTCGTCAAACCAACTTTCGGCCCAGCTCTTGGCAGCAGAGAAGGATATTTTAGAGTCCTCCTCTCTTTGGTTTGCTCACTATTTTTTATCATGGTGCGCGTCCTTCAACGCACTCGCAGCGTCTGCCGTTGCAGCAGCAGCAAGCCACCCCTCACTGTTCGCGCGCCAAATACTCAACCAATCTAACATTCAAGCAACCTTCCTCGGCAAAAACACATTAGCCATTAAAACTTGCTCAGTAATTCCACAATCATCCTTCTCCATCGTCCCTTTCACTAATATTTGTTACTCTCGACCATCAATCAAGATCAACTTGCCCAATAACTCCACGCTCAACACTTTCATAGACCCCATTACCCAAATCATCACCAATGAAGCCAACCAAGTGCCGTGCGCACTGATTTCCAACTTTGAATACATGTTCGAAAACCATCTAGTACGCATCAATCCCTTTTCAGGAACTATAGAAAATACACCAAGACACTTGCTTAAATCGATTTCCCCATTTAGCATCTCAACCTCCGACCTCGTGCCATCTCAACCCACAATTTTCCACAACCTAGTCATCGGGTCTCTAACGGAAACAATCTCCCCAGCCCACTATAACGAAATATGGGATGCATTAGAGGGTTCAGCCGACAAATTAACAAAAATCGTAAGCCGCAACGCTTTCTCAACCAGCGGTAGCACAAAAGCCAACGAGATTAGCGAAGTCATCAGCGCCTACGAGCAATGGCTTGACCTCGGTCACCGATTGTTCCAGGCCTGGACCGCTATAGTTTGCACATTTGTCACCCTTTACGCAATCTTCCTCGTCGTAGCCATATTCATCAAGCAACAGGCCGAAGCGCTGCCATTCAGCGTTTTCCATCGTTTTGGCAAAAAGACGGCTAATCCACCCTCCGAAGTCATCTTCGACTATTCGGACCTATGGCCGGCAACAACTACAATAGCTACCTTCCACTCTCCGCAAGCGTTATTCACCGCGCAAATTCCCATTAAAGCGAACAACATTAATCTCCTAGCCCTGGTGGACACCGGCGCCAGTTTTACCATAGCAGGCTCCGAGATATGCGCACTCATCGGCATCCACACGCTCAACAAACCGCTGACTAACAACGCTATAGGCTTGGGAGGCAACGAAGTGAAAATTGCGGGAACCGCGCCAATCAGGTACAAAATCGGATCATTCGAAATTCAACACATCACACACTTCACGATCAATAAATGCACTCCACCGGGTCCGTTCTCCTACGACATTATATTAGGTAACGACTTACTAGCTAAACTCCCAAAGTTCCAACTGGACTATAACAAAAACACTTTCGAAATGGGAAAAGACCAACTTCCACTAGGGAAATCTTACCAAGTGAACCCGGTCTTACCAACTTCAGAATTCCCAATACGAGTAGCAAAACACACACAAATCCCACCCCTTTCAGAGGCTTTTGTCACTTGTGTTTCCCCGCAAAATAAAAACGTCTTCGACGCCACTCTCATTTCTCAAGCCAAAAAGATCACAGAACTTGGACTTCTCATCGCACCAACAGTCATATCAACTAACCACATTGCTCTTCTCGTTACTAACCCATCGAATCAAATGGTCACTCTGTACCCAGAGATGACCATCGCCACCGCGGCGATGGTATTCTCCGAAGGCACACCTGAAAAAGTGCTGACCTGCCATTACTCTTCAGGGGGTTCCCCTGACGTTCTGTCAATAGATAACGAAAATTTCAGAAACCCGCAGTTTAAGATCGACCTGACCAAGGCCGAACTCTCAGATGAGAGGAAGGAACTACGTGGAAACAATCGGTAAGAAACCTGGCAAGGGAGTCCGTTCAGATCTTCATAAACCTTTACAAGCCAAGAAGGCTGATCGCAACAGCAACTTCCGCGCTATCCTTGTTAACCACTACATGGAAAAGCTTAGGTGAGATCGCCACTCTACAGATCGACGAAGCAAGTCAGTTACCACTGACAACCTTAGTTGCTCTCTCAGCCAGTTTCCCAGACGCAAGGATGGCACTGGTAGGTGATTTTCGCCAATTACCACCTTTCAGTCATTCCCGAAGCACACCAATGATCCGATCCACCGCGGTTTCCGAACCGCTACGAGCTCTGGTCGAGAAACGGTTGGTACCGACCGTCGAACTCCGCCACGTATGGAGAACTCACCCGACCATCACAACCACGTTGAGTGATCTATTCTACGGTAATTCCCTCATTACCAAGGTAGAGGCTAGGGAGCGGTCAAACTTTATGACACGTACCCCGTGGTGGCCGAACAAAGAGCATCCAATCCTGTTCGTGCACCACACACACAGCCACACCTTGGCTGGTAAGTCACTCACCAACACCCCAAGAACGAGAAGTCATGATCGTATGCCTGACCAGGACCCACGGAGATCCCACCGACTTCTTGCTCGACGAACGAAGAATAAATGTGGCGATGTCCCGGGCGAAACAGTGCGTCATTCTAGTGGGCAACGCAAACATCATTTGAGAAGCCGGATACTGGAGCGAAATATTCCGCACATGCCGATACGCACAAACGATTCTCACCGAGTCTCAACTACCGGAAACGCAATAATCACGTTGGTTCCCCTTCACTTATGTATATTAAATTCATATCGCACACATTAAACCATTTTTCTCTACATTCACCGCCACATTTACCCTATCACAATTTTGATTACTTTTAAACCACCCGGCGTTTTAAACAATACCTCGTTTTTAATATTGGTTTTAATCCCCTCAATCAACCTTTCCCCAAAACAAAATTTTTTTTCCATCATCATATCTTCATATTTTCTGCTCTCTCCATATCATTCACGTTATTTAATTGCATTTTGTTACACTTTGCCTTTATGTTTCATATCATATCTTTCATTTCACATCTTATTAATTTTGTTTAATTTTCTTGTAAACGTTTCCCTTCCCCTTCCTCCGTACTCTAAGAGCAAAAATCGCTGCCCACTTCAACGATCAGAGACGATCTTGAAGAAAAGGGGATAGGTGTAAGTGAGTCATAGGGGCAAAATCAGGTCGACCAGCGACCGGAAGGAGGCCAATATATATTTAATCAACCCTCCGACCGGAAGCAATAATCCAAGGCCTTTATCAATGCCACCAGCTCACCCCCTATATAAGCGATGCTCGTTAAACGAACGAGGAGGTAGGAAGCTGGGAGACCCGTTTTAAGTCCACACCCTTTTGTTACTCATTCCATTGTACATAAATAAACTCTTAGTTGTTTATTGTTTGTTTCCAACACGAATCGATGAACATGGAAAGAGTCGGGAATATGGCACACGAGGCCGGGGTTTGTGCACACCCCCAATTCCCGCACTTTATGAAGTGATTTGAAAAAAGCGAAGAGGCACACCGTATTACACAGAAGGCCTCATGGTTTTGAAATCGAAAAGCTGATTTTCAGCACATAGCCGTTTAAAAGTTTAACAAAACTCATTGAATGATATTTTTGACAAAAATGAAATACAATGCCGATCCAAGAAAATTAACAGCTTGATCCAAAGTCTAGAATGCCATCGATCCCTAGAATCATTTTTTCTTTAGAAAAAAATATATATTCAAATTTCCACACGCTAATGTTTACATTTGTGAGCATCAAAGAGCCAATGCCGCCACTGACGGCTTCTCATCGCCTTTGTGAATCAAAGGCATGCGCCGAGCATTTATGATACAACGATCGTGCGCAAGAAGTGACGTCGGCACCTTCTAGAAACTTTGGCATTGTTTGAATTTCTGGCGACACAATGAAATGAGAACAACGACAAATTATTTGCCAAATTTGAAAATTTAATGGCAGATATTCCAGCTTCAATGTTGCCGGGATAGATAACAATAGAAGGATTTGAAAGGATAAGCTGATAGCCGTCGGTATAATTAACTAGGCACATTTATTTTAATTATTTTTCTAAAGTTTGTATGCTTTTTTAAAAACAACAATGCTGTTATAAAATTTTGCGTTTTTTGTTTTACATCAACTCGAAAATTCCTGTGAAAATCACGCGACATGAATTTCGTTGCGCGAAGAGGTCGATATGAGTCATTTCAAAATTTTTGCATTTTTCGAAAAGAAACAAAAAAGTGCAAATGTACTATTGAAATCGACAAATGTTTTGGATGAATGCATAACGGGATAAGCAAAATCGCGGAAAGGTAACACAAATATTATAAGAGGACAAGATTATTGAAATTTTTCTTTCTAATCTCACGAAATGGTTTTATTGCCGATAGTTCTCAAAGTTTGAAAATTGATTGGAATAAGTTCTATGAAATTTCTAACAAATTTACTAGTAAATTGAAATTCAGCAATCAATAAAAAACATGCAAAAAACAAAAATATTAATCAAAATCAATTAGCAATGCTATTTTGAATGTTTCGCAGTTGCCCCATGCACAATGTTTGTCGGCTATCAGATCTTATCTCCACTATTTATCCATATGAGTTACACACGGAGGGTCTAGAGAAAAAAACTTGACCCAAGCCATTTTCCAAATTAATAATTGTTGATACCTATAATAGGTTTTTCATCAATTTCAAAACCCAAAATTGGTCCGAATAATTCGGGTTATAATTTATTTTTAAAAAAATTATAAGGATCCATTTTTATTGTGTTTTTTTTATCCATTCCTTAGTGGAGAAACCAAAAAATTGAAAAATGTTTTATTCAAATCGACAAATGTTTGAAAATATTCCAATTTATAGTTAAAAATAGACAAATGAATATATGATTTTATTAAAAGTTGAAGCAAAACTTCAAAGAAAAATGAAAAAAAATTTAAAAATGAAAATTGATCATGGTTTGTTTTATAATGGTGATAATTGTTAATGTGAAACAATTAAAATAACATTGTTTTTCAGATTGCCTTATTCCTCTGTAAATCATTCATAAGAATATTGAGTCCTTCTTTCAAAAATTCATAATTTTGAATTATTTACATCATAAATATCAGAGGAAATTGAAACGGTACATTTTTGTCGCGCCGTCGCGCTTCTCTTACTATCGTTTTGGGGGCGGAGACATGGCGCGACGCGGGCGCGAGCGCGGCTCACACCCAATTCGTATAAAAGGAACGTGCGAGCCAGTTGGAAATCAGTCGCCTCAAGATCTTCTACTCGCCTTTTTTTCCCTATTACTACGAATTCACTAGTTTCGTATAGAGACAATGTCCTCTATCCGTCATGCCATTGAATTTCAGTCACCCGTCTGAAATCGTCGGTGACTAGATTCAATGGCTCGATGGTTCTGTGACAAAATTTTTCTGTTTGAAGCAGCTTAAAAAAACCAATGTATCGAGTTGTTTAAGGAAATTGAATATGTAACACTAATGCTGGCGAATTGGACTGAAAAAAATGATATACAGATCAAACCAGATTTAACACATATTCTTTTTTCTTTTATGTTTCACCGCACACGCTGGTCGATTTTCAGATATCATAATCGCATAGCTTTCGACACTGGTTCAACTCGTTTCTGGTGGCATTTCAAGCCAATTGGTTGATTTCACGTTGTAGAGCATCAAATTCTGACCATTCACTTTTTTTGGATCATCGAATTTGATTCAGAAACAAAAAAGTTAGAGTTCTAACATAGCTCATCACCACTGAAAATTCTTGAATTCTTATATGCGATTTCAGCCTTGGCGAAATGTGCCGGTGTGGTGTAGTGGTTAAAATGTGCGATCATTGATCGTGGATTGTGGACATCTACACCGGCACGTCCCAATGATGGATGAGTCCTCGGGCCAAGAGGTGGTAACGTGGCACACCAACATGTACATATGAAGATGATTAGACTATAACCTAAGGGGGATGACTGAGGGACCTTTTGCCTTTTTGGTCCCTTCTTTCTGTACACTTGGGGTCGTGGGTTCGAGTCCCCCTTGCGCAAATTTTTTTTGCGACTGTGAAAACTTGGGAAATGGTTGTTAATTGTGTCAGGAAGGCCCACAGCAAAATTTTTGGCCAAAAGTGCAAAGGGGGGTCCTAGGGGGTCCGAATTCGAAATTTTTGAAAATTTCAGAAAATGGTCCTAGTGGTCTGGTATTTCAGGAAATGATACTAAAACGTGTCAAAGGTGTTATAGGAGGGTCCAAAGGGGGTCCGAATTCGAAAATTTTGAAAATTTCAGAAAATGACCCTAGTGGTCCTGTATTTCAGAAAATGATACTAAAACGTGTCAAAGGTGTTATAGAAGGGTCCAAATAGCGTCCGAATTCGAAAATTTTGAAAATTTCAGAAGATGACCCTAGTGGTCCTGTATTTCAGAAAATGATACTAAAACGTGTAAAATGTGTTATAAAGGGGTCCAATGGGGTCCTAATTCAAAATTTTTGAAAATTTCAGAAAAGAAACCTTGTGGTCTGGTATATATACTAATACGATTTCTTAGGCATTTTTATCTTTCGTTTAAAAGTGACAACCACACATTTTCGAAATTATTTGCTAATAACACAAAAGAACGCCACAGTTGGTCGTAAAAATGTGCGAAAAATGGGTGGCACTGAGGAGGTCATTAATAGGCTGCGTGCGCACGCGGTATATAGCCACATTCTCTTACTAACTCATTTTATGTCTTTTATTTAATTTTTTTTTTCAAATTTATTGAAAAAATAGTCTTTTTAAATATTTGCTTTAAGAAAATATTTGCTAAAAATTAATTTCAACCAAAAATTGCAATTTTTGAATTTTTTTAAACCAATCTCCAAGTTGCGTAATTTTTCGAAAATTATTGTTGCTTCTCTAGACTCACTTATTTTTCCTCTTTTTCTTAAAAAATAATGATAATAATAGTTATTAAAGCAAAATTTGATTGTTTCTTTTCAGACTGCCATGGACCCCGAATGTCGTAGATTTTGGGATGAGACCCTTTGTGAAATCGGCCGATTCACAATGAACATGGTAAATTCAGTAACTTTATTTATTCATTCAAAATAATTCAAATTTACTTATTTATAAGTTCAATATTATTTCAGATGTCAATTCGGTCTCGAAACAATGTTGAGGATCTTAACGCCAGCTTCTATATTCATATGAAACTCTCCGAACTTGCTACCAATCAGATGGGATGCCTCATCGGCAATCATCAACACGCGGAAGCATTGGTATAGAATATTTCACCAAAAATATTTATTCAAGTTGTTTTTGCAGGAAATTTTCGAGGCTGCAAAGTTGCGCTATGCCCAAATGCGTCGTTCTATGGAACAACGCGGTTAAACCCGTCATCCTGCTTATTAACCTGCCCGTATATATTCATTTGTGTCATTTCTACATGTTCCTTTATCGTTTAATAGTTACACAACACGTCCCCGATCCTTATGCCTTTTGTGTTGCCAATTTTCACCGCTCATTTATCATCCAATTCGAATTATTTCTAATAAAGTGTTGTTATTTTAAATCAACCGTGGTAAATAGATATGAATGAAGAAGAAAAATCAATTGAAACTGAATATTACTACAATGTCGGCAAAAAATAATTGAATAAAAATTTTTAAAGGAGTTTTGCTATGTACCAGGTTGTTTCGAGAATTACGACTGTGCGCATTTCGCTACGAGGGATAACTGGTTATTCTGCATTTTATAGGTCAGTTTGGTAATAGTTAATTTCAATATCATTAGAAATTCGTGATAAAAAGAGAGTTGCTACGAAAATTTCGCATTAATGCTACGGGCACACCAAAGAAACATCACGGTTCTTCCATGAAATAAGCGTCTAATTTAGAACTGTTCAGAAAAGACCACTAGGATCATTATCTGAAATTTTTAAAAATTTCGAATTCGGACCCCCGTAGGACCCCCCTATAACACTTTTGACAAGTTTTAGTAACACTTCCTTAAATACCAGACCACTAGGGTCATTTTCTGAAATTTTCGAAAATTTCGAATTCGGACCCCCATTGAACCCCCTATAACACTTTTGACACGTTTTAGTAACATTTCCGGAAATACCAGACCACTAGGGTCATTTTCTGAAATTTTCGAAAATTTCGATTTCGGACCCCCTTTGGACCCTCCTATAACACCTTTGACACGTTTTAGTAACATTTCCTGAAATGCCAGACCATTAGGGTCATTTTCTGAAATTTTCAAAAATTTCGAATTCGGACCCCCCTAGGACCCCCCTTTGCACTTTTGACAAGTTTTAGAAACACTTCCTAGAATTTCAGACCACCAGGGTCATTTTCTGAAATTTTCAAAATTTTCGAATTCGGACCCCCTTTGGACCCTCCTATAACACCTTTGACACGTTTTAGTAACATTTCCTGAAATACCAGACCACTAGGGTCATTTTCTGAAATTTTCAAAAATTTCGAATTTGGACCCCCCTAGGACCCCCCTTTGCACTTTTGGCCAAAAATTTTGCTGTGGGCCTTCCTGACACAATTAACAACCATTTCCCAAGTTTTCACAGTCGCAAAAAAATTTTGCGCAAGAGGGACTCGAACCCACGACCCCCAGTGTACAGAAAGTAGGGACCAAAAAGACAAAAGGTCCCTCAGTCATCCCCCTTTGGATATATTTTCTATTCATCTTCATATGTACATGTTGGTGTGCCACGTTACCACCTCTTGGCCCGAGGACTCATCCATCATTGGGACGTGCCGGTGTAGATGTCCACAATCCACGATCAATGATCGCACATTTTAACCACTACACCACACCGGCACATTTCGCCAAGGCTGAAATCGCGTATAAGAATTCAAGAATTTTCAGAGTGGTGATGAGCTATGTTAGTGCTCTAACTTTTTCGTTTCTGAATCAAATTCGATGATCCAAAAAAAGTGAATGGTCAGAATTTGATGCTTTACAACGTGAAATCAACCAATTTGCTTGAAATGCAATAGGAAATGAGTTGCGATGAAATAAATGTCAGACTACCAAAATGTTAAATTGCACTGCTCTTTTCAAAAGAAGTTCTAAAAATTCAATTCAGCAATTAAAACGATTGCTAAAAAGTTTCAGTCGAAACATTTTTAAGGGTCCTGCGGTTGAAAAAAAAAACAGAAATGGTTTATTCTCGTCGCTTCATCAACATGACAAAAAAATACAGTTTTGAACATTCCAAATCCAAATTCGCTCTCTCTCTCTCTCTCTCTCTCTCTCTGTCACCGATAAGCAATTACCATGAATACTTATACTTCTTAATTCAATCTCGATTTAAATTATATGATACACAGTTTCCGGAACGTCATTCCTTGTATATTATCTTTGCAAGGAAATTTAACCGCTCTTCTTGAAATCATTAAAAATATTATTTTTTATTTTCTGAAGCAGCAAAAATTCATACAAAAAACCTAATATCATTCTAGGCGAAATAATTTTTAGAAATAAATGTGCTTGAAAATGCAACATTTCTTAAAATTTACGTGCAAGGAAACTTGAAAAATTTGGAGCGAGGTAGTGAGGGAGTTGGAGCTGGTCTGTGGGTAAGGTCGACGGCAATATTATATGAGCATCATCTGAAAAAAATTAAGAATGATTGATTTTCAAGTTGAATTAGCTAATACCTTTGCCAGATGCATAATTGATCAACTATGCTCTTGTATCCTCTTGTCACTCCGCTTTCGCTGCACGTATGATCCACCGAGATTTTAAATAACCAAACCTGACACGTATTGATAATTAGAACTGAAAATATCGTAACTTACAAATGAAAACAATTCATCGTTGGGAATTATCAAGCTTTTAGCAACTTGAACCCTCGAAGAATTCGATGTTCCAACAATTTCGCCCAGAAAATCATCAGGAGTCCTGTTAAATGATTCGCATTAAAATTTCGGCATTTAATGTGATCTCATCTCACCAGAAATCCATTTCGTACAGTTTAATACTGTACTTGAATGATTCCTTGTACGGGCACACCAAAGAGATGTTGAAATTGAAAATATAGCCCTCCGAAAATCGATGATTCAAAGCGTCGCATTTTTCAAATTGATTGAATTGTATATAAATCAGAATGGTTGGTAGAAGACTGAACGCCTTCATGCCTGGGAACATATGCACCTTCGAGTGAAGTAGCCGAACGGAATGGGTCTGACTATCAGCAAAACAGCTGCGGAATCAGTTGTCGTTTCAACCGCGAGATTTTAATAAAAAAAACCATTTGATTAATTACCGTGCTAGAGAATAGGCATAAATTGAGGAATGAGGCACAAAAATCAGTAAAAACTAGCAATTTTGTAATGCTTCGGGTCGAGTGTTTAAAACGTGGGTAGGCTCTTCGCGATTATCTGAAAAAGAAATGTGTAACACCGAGGAAAAAACGCTTTGCTCGTGTTCACGAGACGCATTTGAGATAATCTGCTGAGGAAGCTTTGGATCACAAAACATAAAGCACTTGATTCGGCGACATTAATGATTGCGAGTATACGTGTCTCACTTGCAAACGAGAAATGTGATAAAATTAGAAAGAATGTAGTCTTTATTGATTTTAACTCCAAAATTAGAAACCATAGTTATAACAATTCTTCTTTAACAATGTAGAAAAAAATCTATGAATAAATTACTTTGATAGGATATGTAGTGGTGAATGGGATAGGGGCTAAAAGGAAATTGTGATATAAAATGACAACACATACCGATTGGAATGATTAAAAGCGAGAATAACCAGAATCTGAAATTAATTTTCAGAGAATGTTGAAAGGAAAGATAAGTCTCTAATTGTTGAGAAATTGTCCGTTAGCATTTCTTTTGCGCTGTCCCGTCGGCGATCTATCCGAAGTTTCAAGATTCGATTTCTGAAAGTATAATAATTTACACATAAAACAAATAATGACATTTGATAAAATTTAATTTAAGCTTTTAAAAATTCACATATTTAGACGCGAAAAATTGAATCTAAATTGCTTAATTTTTTGAAAATCTGGCCTGAATTCCGGAATATATGTTAATAGACATAGTGGAATTTGCCTATACAATTTTAAAGGTTTTGTGAATTTACCTCTGATTGCATGAGACAATCATCCTGAGTAGCGACAGATTTTACCAAAAATGGCCTTCCAAACAACGCCTTCAATCTAGCGAGCTCCTCATTCACATCCACAGGATCCTTGAAATATTGGAGACGATTGGCCGGCAACTAAGAAGAGATCCAATTAAAAAATATAAGGAATCAATATTTCGAAACCAAATTTTGTTGCGAGGAAGGCAAATAGCCATGGCTGATTTTCATGTTCTCGTTGGCGCGTTCCAATGATAGCGACGGCAAACAAGCCGGCTGAATCGTAATTGGAGGTTCAATCAGTTCCGTAAATTCATTGCTCAATGATTTCACGCAACGTCCAAAAGCACCTGGCTATAATTCGTTGAAAATTAATAAATGCCGCTTATAAAAGTAATTACCGAATCCTTCAAATTATCGTACACCAATTTTCTATTCTTGGGAATTGGCCACAATAAAATTGGCAAATTTTCAGAAGTTTGCGATTCTGACCCAAACGGATTATTGAAGATCTGCTTTAGTCTTCGCAGCTCATCATTTGTGTCAATTGGATCCGTGAAAGAGCCAGAATTGTTGGAATACTGAGTTTCCTCAAAGTGCTTCAAGAATTGTTTCGAATTAATGTCAAAATCGAACATGATGGCCTGTAAAATTCAAACAGTATTTGAAAAATTCGAAAAAATATGCTACTGCTTTTTTATTTTCTTCTGAGATTTTGTTGAGTGACGGCTGCGTCATATCACATTTGCATAATTGGCTCAATTCGCGACATCTTTGGTTAATAGATACCATTAATTGGAACGCAGTCGGTTCGTCAAACTGAAATAAAATGCAGTTTGCTTGTTGTCCGATGACAAATCTTACGCAAACATCGGATGACGTTTCCATGCTAATAGTTGAGTCACTTGAAATCGGCCTTTGCAATTACTGAAATTAAACACACAGCAATTCTGACCGAACCGGAAAAATAACGCGCAAAACATTTTTTAATAAACCGGAGGAAAAAAATCAATTCGGTCAAAACAAAATTTCGCGCATGGTTTACCCCGATACGCTAAATTGAGGGCGACGTGTAAATGGAGTGTCGTTCAAAATTTTTGAAACGATCCGCGGCATCTATTGAAAAACCCCGGGGTTGGACCAAATTCATACCAAAACCACTCGCGGTTAAAGCATTGCTAAATTGTTTTTGAGTCATTTTCAGTCAGAAGTAGTTGAAAATGTCACAAATAGAATCCGAAGGAATGTATTTTTAATGACGCAGACAGAATTTAAAATAATATTGCGCGGTTTGCAAATGATGGAGTACTGCGAGCTGCGAAAAATAGTCGATAGCGATGTTAACCAATCAACCACAGTGAACGCGGCATATCATTTTTGGTCTTGTTGTCTTCGTCACTCATTATCGACTCATTTTGGTAAACATGCCAAATAGGTCTACCAAACTCCACATATTTGAATGTGATACGGTTTTTTTTGCTGTGAGAACTTGTATCAATGTACATAATTTTTTCAATGGTGTAGCTCAAGAAAAATATAGCTCAAGAAATTTTGGGAATGATTGTACAGATTCTAAAAAACTATTAGAAAATAGCACCTTATGGCAACTCTGATTGGCCATTAAGCGAAATACTATCTACAAAATGATTTCCTTCTCAGAATATTTTCGAGCAGTTTGCTTTGGGGTTTGGTTCGGAGAGCCCGCAACTTGACCTCAACGCCAGGACAAACTTTTAAAATTTACTGAGTGCTTCTAACATTAAGCATATTTGACTTGGTAGACTATAATACTGTATGCAACAAGCTCAAATGATTTTTGGTATTTTTTTGCCTTGCAATTGATGTTCAGTGTGTAGTAGAGAATAGTATTTCTCTTTTCATGCAGGAATTGGTCCTTTATTAAAAAACATTCAATAGCGTGGGATATTGCACATTCATGTGAGGGGATTAAGTAGGATTGCCAGATATTTCTAATATTTCCTTCTAATCTCAAACGAAAATTTTCTTGTTCAGTTTATTTTCAGAAAAAAAAACCCATCCTACGCTTTAAACACTTGACCCGAATATTACAAAATTCTATTTTTCACGGATTTTTGTATCTCATTCCTCAATGTTCGCCTTTTCTCTAGCACGGTAATTAATCAAATGGTTTTTTTTTTATTAAAATCTCGCGGTTGAAACGACAACTGATTCCGCAGCTGTTTTGCTGATAGTCAGCTTCATTCCATTCGACTAGTTCACTTGAAGCTAGTCATGAAGTTTTTCACCCTTCTTTCAATCATTCTGATTTCTATTCAATTCAATCAATTTGAAAAATGCCACGCGTTTGAATATCATGCTGGAATAAATGGCTACCAGTTTAAATTTAAAATGTTATGCCCATATAAGGAAACATGGAACTATAAGATTCAAATATACGAAAAGAATTTTCGGCAAGTTTTATTTACATATATTATATATTTTGAATTGATCAACAGAACAGCCGATGAATTATTGGGAGAAATTGTTGGCACGTCAGACTCGCCAAATGAAGTAGCTATAAAAAACGCCACAACAACCAATAGAAAACTGCTGGCAATCGTAAATTTGAGTAATTGTGATTCGAGTAATTAATTAATTACTGATTACAGCCTTGGATTTTCCGATACTCAATCGAACATAATTGCACCGAAGACGGAAAACAAAAGAAATGCTATAACAATATCGAAGAATATTGCATCTTCCTTAGGTTAAAACATATTCAATTATAGATTCATTCAACTATTTTCAGATGTTTTTATTCCATCAAAGTCGATTTTACTCGCCGAACCGAACCGAAACCTTTCTTTCCGCGCAGCAGATTTGTCGAGAATTTCTACCCCTACGCATCTTGCATTTAAATGTTTAAAACTCTGAGTAATTGAGTAATGTTTTTAAGGCAATCTGAATATTTTTTGAAATATAGATGTTTATTTTAAATTTTCAAAATATTAATGTTTTCATTTTATAAATAAAGCGTATTTTAAAGAATACTTGTTATCCAGTTTTAATTTAATTAAAAAAAATTTAAAAAAAAACTACTTCTTTACTTACTTATTATTCTTGTGGATTATGACTTCTGAACTAATTCACATTTTTCTCTTCTCTGTGCAATTATAAAAATGGATATATTTGAAATTCAAAACGAACTTGATAATTGTTTCTTCTTCAAATCCACTCAACCGATCCCAATTCCATAGAGCGCATTTGAAAATTCCTGACTTTGAAATTGAGCAGCTGAATTATTTTACAAACTTCAGGAGTCGTAACAAAAAAATGAACGTACCAAAGATATTTGTGTCTAAAAATTATTGATTGATGCTTCATCGATTTTTTATTTCATTAATTTTTCCTTAAAAAAATTTCAAATTATTCAAACAAATATACATTATTTTTAGAAGTAAGATATTACCTAGGTTTTCTGACGTCTTTTATTATTCAATTGATGCCAGAAGGTCTCTCTATCATGATAATCATCTGAAATATAATATAACAATTATATAATATTTTATATATAAATCAATAGAAAAATAGTTTAAAAGTAACTTTGCATCTTTTGAAAGAATGCATAGAAATCGCTTTATCTCAAATTTATAGAAAATTTCACAAAGCAATCCATGAAGCTGGAATTCGAATTTCAGCTTATAGAAAATGCGCAAAAAATTTGGAAAAGCAATTGTCAACGACATTACATTTGAACACCGCCTTCTGTTTATCGTAGTTGATGGAAAAACGTGTGAAATATTAAAGAATAATCAAATTTTGAGAATTGATGGTGAAAATGAAAAAGTTTTTACGATTTGGCATTATTCAAAATTGTTTAATGTGTTAATTTAGAAAATTCCAGCAAGATTTTGTCATGACTTTGATGATCTCTTGGCACGGTTACAAAATGTTTCAGCTCATAAATTTTAAGGTCATCAATTTTCAAATGCGCTCTGTGGCATTCCGATGAAAACGAAAGGAATCAATTATTGAGCGATTTCACAATTTGTCTTTTTTCATGCTATGATTTATTCTCTAGGATTTCTCAAATTCTTCTAGCCACTTTCTAGTCTCGTTTCTCTACTTCTCTATTGATATGAGCTGTGCTCCTTTTCTTGTTAATCACACTTCCAATTATTTTTTGGTAAAATTCAACTGATTCTCTGCTCAGCGTTCGAGCGATGTCCGACGAGTTATATCATTTGCTCGGTTTCAGATATCTCGACAACTGAAAACCGACCATAGAATTTCATAATTTAATTTTTCCAACCAAAAAGCCCTCCGATTGACCATTTCCCATATATTCTTTATTCTCTAGATCAAAACAGCGTATACAAAAACTCTAATTTATTGTATTTGCAAAAAAAACGAGCACACTGTGCTGATTTACGGCGAGTTTCATTCTAAGGATATCCAGAGTACGGCATCCAAATTCCAACTCTTAAAATTTGAATTTGAATTGCCGACTCGAAAAAGTGCAATGGTCCGCAATTTTGCAAGGCGATCGTTTTTTTTAAATAATTCTATGCGAAATAACTATTCAACAATAATCGTTTAATCAAATGCTCGTAGTGGTACATATGGGTAAGGATTCTTGAAGAATTTGCTGCGTGGAAACAATGGAGGCTTAGTAGGATCCGGTCTGAGAGTAAAGTCGACCTCGATGTTGTATGTGCATCTACTGAAAAGGGGAAACGCGTATTATGATCTGCTTCATTTCTTATGTCTTTACCCCTGGTAAATGCAAATTTCATCAATAACGCTATGGTATTTTTTCGTCGCATTATTCCTATCGCAATTATGCTCAACTGAATATCGAAACATGTATGTCTGTAATTAAAATTTGTTAGAATTGCTGCAATTGAAACATACAAATGATAAAAATTCATCACTGGGAATTCTCATGGTTTTTACAATGTGCTTCCGTGAAGTGTTCGAAGAACCAGCAATTTCTCCCAAGTAATCATCGGAAGACCTGTCAATAAGAAGGGGTCGATATAAGAATTTTGAAAACTTACCAGAGATCCATTTCCCACAAATTGATTTTGTAGTCGAATGAATTCTTATACGGGCACACCAGCATGAAATTGAAGCGAAATCCATATGGCGGTTCAATGGATTGCCCATGGCATTCTTGAAACTTGATGGCAATGAGTAATACAGCTACTAGAGTGAAGAAGGCGATGTACTTCATCTTGTTGGAAAGATGCAACTCTGTATGAAATATTTAGGGGGGAAATTGGGCGGACCATCGACGGGCAGCTGTGGGATCAGCTGTCGTTCCAGCCGCGAGAATTTAATAATAAAAAAACAATTGATTAATTACTGTGTAAGATAGACGGCGAAAATCGAGGAATGAGGCACAAAAATCAGTAATAAATATCATTTTGTCATGTTTCGAGTTGAAATTGTAGAAAAGATTAGGAGAAGCTATTATTTAGAATGATCTTAAAAATATTAACTTTCTGGAATTTCTGAGCTCAATTTAAGGTGTTTAGTTGAGAAATGTTGAGGATTTCCTTTATAAAAATCTGCCTTAAATATATATTTATAGATGAGCATTTCTTTTACGCGGTGTCTTCGGAACGGTGCTCAATTCCAGAAACATCTTCCTGAAAATGAACATTTTTAGACCATTTTTAATTTAAGCGATATGTGTGCAAAATTTATATAAACTTGTAAGTTATCATACATCAGATCCAGATGATTGCGCACGTAAATCGTCAATCACGTCGGAATCCACGAAATAAGGTCTTTTGAATAGAGCTTTCAATCTGGCGAGCTCCTCAGTCATACCAGAAGGATCCTGGAAATACAGACGTTAATATATCAGCAACTAGAAATCCAATTGAGAAAAAAAATTTTTTACCGAATCTTGTTGAAGCGAAGACGGTGAAGTAACAAAATTGATGTTCTTTCTTTTGTGTGCCACAGGACACCCCAACGACAATTTTGGCCATTTTAAGCTCAAATGCGACGGAAAATCTAGCTGAGATGAAGACGATTCGCTGATTTTTGGGTTTATCATATTATCTATGAAATCCGACGAAGCCGACGACTTATCGGCACCCTTTGCAGTTTTCGCTGATTTCGGAATTGGCCACGACAATGTTTGCAAATTGGGAACAGGAAGAAAGCTGTAACCCAACAAATATGGCCTATTGAACATATCTTTCAGCCTTCTGAGCTCATCATCATCGTCGTCAGCAGAATCAGAAGATCTCTTGTCATTGAAACATTTCAAGAATTGCTCCGACTCAACGTCAAAGTCAAATTGGATCTTCTAAAATTGAAAAATATACATATGACGGAAAAGGATGCCTAACCTCTCTCTTATTGACATTTTTTTGATCTGAAGTGTTCGACATGACTTTAACTGTCTGATTGCCGAGTCCATTTTTGGTCGAATCTTCGCTAATTGCAGATGGCTCCATTTTCAGCTTCGATATTCTTTATGTCTGGAATCAGAGCAATTAACGATATTAATTTGATTTAGTCATAATGAGATTCAATTTATACACGCAAGGAAAATCAAAATGACAGTGGACGCAACTCAAACCTCCAATATCTTTTCTTCTAGAGTTTTTGGTTATGTCGGGTAATGTTCTTGGCGAGACCTGAGTTGTGCGGGATGAAACAAAAAAATCAAAAATTAAAATTAAAATTTTGTTCTGTCTAAATTGAGAACGATTAGGCTAACATATGAAACCGTCATTAAAATCACAGGATGAGTGCAAAATATTTGAAAAATTGGGCCCCTCCACCCTTCAATTTTTACCTACTTATTTGTAAAGAAAATTGAATATATTCAAATTTCCACACGCCATTGTTTACATATGTATGCGTCAAAGAAGCGACGCCGCCGCTGACGGCTTCACATCGCCTTTGTGAATCAATGGAAATCGCCGCAATTTTTCAATTCCGCGAATGACAAGAGAGGCGCCTTCTAGAAAAATTTGGTATTGTTTGAATTCTCTGCCATCGACAATAGAGATTTTTAAAATTTAAAGACGAAATGGCAGAAATTCAAATCGAAATTTCGGAGCGCTTGAGAACAATAGAAGGATTTCAAAAGATAACGCAACAGATGTCGGTATTATTATGAGCCAAAAACAAAATTGAAAAGTTGCCTATTGAAAAATGGACAATAAGAAGAATAACCCATTATTCTCTCATTGTTCTCCGACACATAAAATTCGTATTAAAACAGTTTTCATATTGTTTTATTGGATGTTTTTACGAGGTTCGAGAAATATGCAAACGTCACACAAGAAAATTGAAATGAATTGAAAACATTGCTATCGATTTGAGAGCTGTTGTGTGGCCGACGAATTTTTGTTCAATTTCTGTAGGATATGACTAATCAAGCGGGGCAATTTTTGTTGTGAGATGCTGTCGATATAAAAATTTCATAATCTCGATTTTCGATCAATGAAACCAAAGGGTGCAAATGTAATATTAAAATCGACAAATGTCTAGGACATGTTCTAACATGGATAAGGGTGAAGGCAGATTTATAAAAATATCGCTGCTCGTATTAATCTCAACCAGTTTTAATTCACTAAGACCATTATTATTGTTGATCTAAAGGTCTTATAATTGCTCTTTGAAGCACCAGAGCATGTAGAATATAGACACAACTGTTAAGAATTTGAACGGTTATAGTCCGTTAAACAAGCTCCACTGCGAGATTTTTGAATTATTTCACTCGCATCCCTTGAATTTTAAGCGAAATCTATTTTTTTTAACTAAAAAGTTTTTTTGTAATTTTTAACTATTAAAACGATGAGATTTCGACAAAATTTTTCATTGGCAAGATTTTTTGAGCTTCGAGCTCAAAGATTTTCCGTTTTGCGTTTTGGAAATTGCTATTTCTCAGAAATTATTAATTAAATTATCAGAGGAAATTGAAACGGTACATTTTTGTCGCGCCGTCGCGCTTCTCTTACTATCGTTTTAGGGGCGGAGACATGGCGCGACGCGGGCGCGAGCGCGGCTCACACCCAATTCGTATAAAATGAACGCGCTAGCCAGTTGAAAATCAGTCGCCACAAGATCTTCTACTCGCCTTTCTTCCCTATTCCTACCAATCCATTATTTTACCGACACATTATCTATTCTGTCTGCTCATATTCCCATCACATTTTGACTCATCAAACATGGGAAATATATTTTTGCCATCCCCCGTCTCATCAAGGTTAGTATTTTCCTGGTTTTCAAATATTTTTTAGAAATTGACAATTTGGAATTGAAATAAAAAAAAGACATTAGGAAGGAAACCAATCGGAGAAGGTCCTTCACCCGTCACGCCATCGAATTCTTGGTCACCCGATTGACAAAGTAACGGTGACTAGATTCGATGACGAGACGGTTTTAGCGACACCATTTTCACGACAATATGATAATCAGCTGAAAATCGCAATGTCCACAACCCATCACATCAATGATTGTGATACACCAAGACTATGGATCTGGTCTATCACACCATTGGTGCGATGGTTGTTGCGACACCATTTTCTTGACGGAGGCGGCTCAATAATGATGTCACATGCATTCTCCTTGGTACAGTATAAACTGGATTCTGATGTAACATACAACTAGCAAATGACTAATATAAAATACCGTATGAAAAAGGAAGAAATTCACATTTATTCGTATATGAATCTGAAAACATTAAACGTTCCTACGAGGACAGTTGAAATAGTTGATATTTATTGTGAAGAAACCATTACAGAAATAAACAGCATCAAGGAAAAATATATTGACAATCGAAACAATTGAAATGGGGGGAAAACATGTTTTTTTTTTCGATTCGCGTTTCTTTCGAAAAATTGCCAAAATTTGTTCAACAATCAGGAAATATTAACAAACTGGTTAAAGTGAGAAACGAAAGAAACGGCATACAAACACCGAAACAAAAATCTATAACAAATTTTTAAAAAAGATGTGGCCTTATGCTTGGGTGGGTGAATAAAATTAAAATTCCAAATTGCGAGACAACCTTATTTCTGCAATCACCTCCATATTTTTCATAGTTTCATCACATTTTCTTTCTATGCGACATTTCTTTAAAAAACTACAATTTGTCTGGGGACATTGGTTATTTACGGTTTCCGATTTTTTTGGAAACAGACTATACCTTTAATTGACCAAGCCATTCTATATGTGTTTATGCAAAATGCCTGTGATGGAGGACGAAAAACTGAGATACGTTAAATTCATACACAATATAAGAGTATGCTGAAAATTTCAGAAAATTCTTCTTTGCTGTTCTGCATCACATGTTGATAAATTAGTCGAAGAAATCATGTATTACTGTGTTTGAGAGAAAAAAAGTAATTCTTAAATGCTCACGGCTGTGCTCTAGTTTATCTGAAAATTACAAATATTGACGGATTCATTAGAATAATCGTAACAGTTTCAAAAAAAATAATGGCGATTTTCGAAAAAAAAAAATTGGAGTTGAAATTATGAAACAAGCTCAGAATTTGTTCATGAGATTTACAATTTCCTAGAAATATTTCACAAAAAATTAATAGAACATTTTTATTTTTAAACTCATGGAGGAATATTTTCACTAGAATGTGTATTCTTTTTGCGTTCATTTTTGGCGTTTTGCCAAATTCGAGTTGATGGGAATGATAGCATATAAATTTTTTCGCCCCCCCCCCCTGGCAAATGCAGGCGAGAGATAATGCGATATAGAAAAACGCAGAATGCGAGGTGACCCCTTGTCATTTTTGTCGCTTTACAAACAATTTGCTTTTTTTATTCTCGTATTTTTTTTTTAATTTCTATTAAATAATCTATTAAATTTTTAAATCATTTTGCCAATAGGATAACAATTTGTTGGAAATGGTTTCCAGTCGCAAAAAAAACGAGCGTTCAGCGCCAACTTATGGTAGCTTCGCAGATTATCCAGAATACCATGTCTGAGGATCCATTGTTTTCAATTAAAATCTGAATTTCCGGCACGAAAAAGGGTTTTTTTTGTCCACCAACCATTTTATTGGTTATTTCTCAACGAAATATCTCCGATAATTTTTTTCAGACACACATTTCTGCAACAAGATGATACGAAAATTGCAGTATTGATGCCTAAATGAATTGGATATTGATGAAATTCAAGCGGTAAGGAAATCAATAGCAAGGTATAGCTAGTAACTTGGGGAAATTAATTTTGTGATTACTGAACAATTTTCAGTATTTCATAAATCAAGGATTAATTGAAACGGCGATTTTTCACAGTTCCGAATGATTCTTTTCAATGTAATTCTAGATTTTCAAAAAATAATCAATTTTCTTCACAATTTACTTTAAAATTTAATCTTCTGAAAAATTGCATAATTCCAAGCTTGTGAATTCACTATTTCCTATTGGTTAGACGTTACGGTATGGGAGGGGCCAATCTTGTTTAAACAGTCATGAAATGTTATGCGATGCTGGCAGGTATTTGGAATTGAACGGATCTATACTGTATCACATTGGTTTTTTTGTTAGTGAAATAAAAAATTAATTTATACAATAAGTAGTGTGACTTTAAGATAAGGCAAATGTAAAAATTCTATCAATTACGGATTCTCAAATTTTTAGAAATTCAAAATCATGTTTTTTTTGCTAAAAATCATGATATCGGTCTTTTCCTTCTCGCAAATCTTTTCATAGAATCTAAGAAAAGTGTCACTCATTATGTTGCGCAACACATGTTATTATCGATTTAGCGACACTATCCCATTTGTTACGGTTTTCCGGAGCGCAGTTGTCTTCTATTGACCCTTTCAACCGGACGGCATTAGATTATATCAATAAAAGCTCTATTTTTGGTGGTTCACATAGTTCATTTTATGTAGAAATTTGGAAGTGATGGACTGGAATTGTTAAGAATCACTCAATTTGTGTTTCAAATTTTTAATATAGCTGAAAATTCCACAGAAATCTAAAATGTCTGTTCGAATATAAACATATCTTCATCTTGGAGTCTTAAGAAAAATTTTAATAAAAACGTCCATTCCGATTTGGATTATTTATTTTGGTTATTTAAAAAAATTTGAGATTCATTTAAAAATTTTTGCCGGATCCGATCGGTCATCTTCGTTTCTTGATTCGCTGACAACGTCTTCTTCTTGCTCTCGTCTTCGAAGCCTTCCTCTCCTTTTTACGCGGCAGTTTCCAAGGGTGTCGACCTCTTTTTTTCAACTGCTTCTCCACAGGGGCAAGAACAATTAAAGGGTCTGGCTTCTCCAGATCTAGGAACAATTTCTGAAATTGTGACCATAGAATTATTCAAAAAGAAAAAATTTACCTCTTTAAAGAAATTCAAAATATAATTGAAGATATCGATAAAAAATTTAAGAAGCATGCCAATTTTTTCTGCTTCCTTTCAATTTTGTCGCAGTCTCCTGAATCGGAAAAAATTAAAAAAGTTTAATACAATTACTGTTTAGAATTTAAACAAAAATATTTTTAATGGATGCATTCAAAAACAAAAATTAATTCTATAATATATTTGTAAAATATATTTTTTTAAAAAACATGGGATTGGAATTAAATGAAATAACTCAGGAAGGTCATACGGTAGCTCACCTTTCTGTGTTACTGTATCCCAAAATTCTGATCATGACAAGGCCGAAAACCCCTTAATCCTTTTGCCCATCCCCTTGTTCTTCGGAAGATTTCCATTAGCGCGCTGAATACGAATTGAACAAAGCATACCCCTGTGGAAGGCAATGTACCACTTGATAAGCTATTTTTTTTAATATCCCAAATCTACAAACTGTAAAAAATTTTTCCTGTAGAATAGCATCAGATTAATTATTTCATCATTGTAATAAGTTTGCCAAATTTACACAAGATTTATTAAGAAAAAAAAAAACAATATTGGAAAGTGGAAGAAAAAAATTATAAGGGATTTCGATATGAGTCTGGTGTAGCCATCAGCCAAAAGTTGATGCATTTTCCAAATCTATTCGAGTCGGGATGTCTTTTTTTTCAATTTCAACTTCTCATATTCCAGCTTCTTTGCACGCCAATCAAATTTTTCGCCATCTTCCAATCTTCTTATTTCTTGCTTTCGAACTGATCTTCTCTTTCTATCGGTTGCATCGTCGAGGTTATTCATTTGATAAACTCGTTTGAATTGGCTTTTGGGATTCTTGCCCACCTCATTAATTGTTAAAGCACGAATTTCTACAATAAGACAATTAGATTATGCTAATTATATGTGTTACTTACTTTCAATGTAGAATTTTTCGAGGTTCAATAACTCCTCCACTTCTGCAAGAACAATTGTTGGCTCGGCATTGAACAAACGTCGATAAGCGCGCAATCGCATCTGTTCTACTTCGGATGCGCTTGGGAAGATGTCGTAACTATCCGAACGTTTAGCTTCACCTGAAACAATATTCAAAGAAAAGAAATGTTATATTAAAGTTACCTGCAACAAGGGTAATCAGTCCGACAAGAACCAAAATAGTGGCGAATTACATTTTTTGTTGAATGTTCCGTCCAATTTGCTCCAGCTTTTATACATAGTTTTGGTGGCATTTGGCGATTTCGCAGATCCCGCCCGAAAGTTCTCTCTCGTCTATGTATCCTGTAAGATTATACTTTTTTTCTTTTTGATTTTGTTGTAAAAAAATAGAAAAGAGCAATGCAGGACAACAAGATGAGAAAATCGTCGATTGGATGGAGAAAAAAAAAGTGTAATGGTTCAGTTTATCAACAACGTGCTGGCCAAGAAACAGGAAATTGACAATAACAATCATTAAAGGAATTTTTTTTTGAAAATTGTGGTACCTGAAATTAGTCTTCTTCAATGTGAATTATTGCCAATTAGTGGGCCCTTCAGCATGGTTGGATTCAAGTAAGATTGCCGTTTTTCCAGAATTTTAGAATATTAATTTATTAAACGTCAAGGATTAAAATTTTTCAATAAATTATTGTATTCATCTTGAAATTAATTATCATTAGCATTCAAATCGTCGTAACGCATTTAAAATTCATAACCCCTGAAAATCCAATGTATAGTTCTGATTTGCAAATTGCGAATTCCTGCGCCGACTTCACTATATCTGAATAATAGTCGACTATATTCTTATGTGAATAACTGACATTCACTGTCCTTCAATACCAATATTTCTAGACATGTTTTATTGTCGACGTCGTGCGACTGCGGAAAACTGGCTAAATGCCAAAAATTTAAGAAGAGGCCTCGGTGCGCCGTTGTGCGCCTTTAATCCGTCTTTGTAACTAAGTCCGTAAATCTACACTTAATTTTACGTCAAGACCGCTCAGTTTGTTTTTTTTTTTGGAATTTAGCCGATTTTCAGCAGGGAATAATGTTTGATTTTAAAAGTGTTCTGATGTTTCTTATTTTATTCTGAAAAAAGATGATTCTAGAAAAGAAAACGTCATCATAATTTTGATTCGTTTAGTCTCGCTTTCTCTTTTCACAAAAAAAGTACCCCGGTTTCCCCAAATAACTTTTCGCTCTTATTTCGTTGCGAAACAACTGTTCGATTCCATGAAACTGCCATCGCCGCCAAATGAACGCAACAAACATTTGAAACAGAACGAAAAGATATCAGGAAAATGAACGTTGTAATCTACCCACTCACACGCGAAGGCTGGCTTGCGAGCAATTGGAAACTATGATCATTAAATGGAAATTGGCTGATTCTGATTCAAATGTGAAGCTATATATATGACTCGATAGTTTTTGTCTTGAATTAAACAAATTTCATAATATTCAAAAAACCAACAATTTGACTGCAAAAAATATGCACGTATTCCCCGCGAAATCACTTTTTTCTCGCCAGAGAGCTATAATCCATCTGAATGAATAAAGTATGAGTTCATACAATCTTCACAATTCGTCTCAGAAGGTGTCTAACAACCTTCTAGAGTTGTTTTAGACAAAGTTATTGTTCAGGAGTGTTCTTGCCATTTAGCCTTGTAGAAAAAGGTGAATAGAAGACAAATGCGCTCCGGGAAACCGTAACAAATAGGATATAGTCGCTAAATCGATAATAACATGTGTTACACAGCACAATGAGTGACATTGTTCTAAGATTCTTTGATTTGAATAGGGGACGAGGTCAAAATAATTTTTAATTTGACTATTTTTTTTGGCTGATCTATGCTTGGAATGCTGTGGTTCGCGCCTCAACAGGCGAAGGATGAATCGACTAAGTCACTAAATGAGTAACGGCATTAACCATTTCGCATACTTGGACATTCTTCGAAATTTTTTCATAAGACTAAGTTTTCTAGTGCGAAGAAAATTTCACAATTTAATAAGCTGACTTTAAGCATATTTTAAATTTAGATATTTGTTGTTCCCTGAATCAGCTTGATATCTTAATTTCAAATTCATGCGCGGGCTGAAAACCCTCCATTCACAAATCGAATGTAGACAAATATTAGTAATCGAGAAAAATTGTTACATTTCAAAGCATAATTATTCATAAGAATTGTTTTAAAAAAATAAAATGTTATTTCTTCGCAGCGTGTTTGTTGGTTTTTTTCAAATTCTGAAATTTGTTTAATTCAAGACAAAAGCTATCGATTCATATATATAGCTTCACATTTGAATCAGAATCAGCCAATTTCCATTTAATGATCATAGTTTCCAATTGCTCGCCAGCCAGCCTTCGCAACTAGTGAGACATCGACGCGCAGCAGTGTTTTCCTCTGCGTCCTTCTGTCTCTTTCTTTCGCCGCACACTATTTCGCTCATGCGTACTCCAGACAGGCGAGGGTAATGTGTGAGTTTGCAGAAGCGCCTCGTAAATGCATGAATGACTAGAACGCTTTTCTTAAAATGGATACTAAACTAAACCCAATTGGGATTTTGGAAATTGAGAAAAAACGTTATAAAAAATAAAATCATGCAAATTTTTATTATAAAAATGTTATTACATAACAAATTTTTATTAATTGAACTGCCTACTATTTTAGCATAACCAAGAAACTATTTAATTTTAAAGCTAAAAATTTGAATTTAACATAAACAATAAGAAATTACTTGAAAAGTTTTTAGTCAGCAAATTCATTATATCCCAAAAATTCGATTCCAGTGAAAAGTGGCCAGCCGAATTATGTATGAAGTAACAACACCTTTCAGAAAATCTACCCTCAGCGTGTATATTTTTGAGTTTTTCGAATGAGAAAATAAAATATAGAAAGCATATTCGATACAAAATTTAAAATTTTTCTGCTATTTTTTTTGTTTCGCAATGGTTACTGATATTCGATAACAATATTCCAGTTTGGAGCCTTGAAAATTTTTTATTTTAATTTTGTTAATTGAATATCCAGATAGAAAAAAAAATTTAATTTTGTTAATTGAATATCCAGATGCTGTATTATTCATGCTTCAAGCTTAAAATGATTTGCTTTATTGTTATCTTCAAATCTATACATATCAGTATGCTGGTTCCAATGGTTGGTCTCTCGATATCTCTTCTTCAAAAGTTCAAAGGATATAGTGTTCATGTGGTTGCGTGCCATCAAGACCAGACCAGAACAGTTGTTTTATTACAAAAAAAAAGAAAATTGAACGTTTTTTGTTTGAAATAGAAAATTTTGTCTAGGAAAAAAGATGGGGAGTCTAATAAAGAGAGATTTCTACGAGTGTAGGGGCGAGAAATTAATTTCAATAGTACTGATGGGATGGTGAGTGTAAGAGGAATTCAACCTTCCAAGATTGAATTATTTTTTCAAACTTGGGTAATTAAACAATTTAGTTGATAAACGAGGGAAGAAAAAAATACAAGTAGGTAATAAAATTAATAAAAATACAGCAATTTCTCAAAGCAAGCCAAAATATTAATAATGGTTAATCACAAGGTTTATCAATCACAAATATTACATCCCTGGGTGTGTTTGAATAGTGCTAACGAGCACAAAATACATTTACTCCAACTAATTTGACTGAAACCGCCTGAAATTACCATTTCGAATTATTCAATTTTTTTTCCAAAATCTCACCAATTAAAAGAAAATTGGGCTTCTCAAGTGATTATATCATTTTTGATCTCATTTAAACAGCGTCCAAGGTCTCATGACGATATCATATTGGCTTGGTTTGTTATTATCGATTACCTACAAATTGGCATGTTACGAAATGCCACGTGGATTTAAGCAATTACCTCTGGTGGTGGTGGTGGAGGAGGGCGAAAGACTGGTGCATTTCGAGACCGGTAATCAACTCTGCCGCGATTTCTTGCGGTTTCAGTGATCGAAGAACCCATATGACCGGAATTTCGATATTTTTTGTTTTGTGGGTATTTCAAAAAAGCGAAAAAGATTACGCAACTTGGGAAAATTAAACCAAAACGACAATTTGACAAAGAAAATGAAAATTAATACGTTTCGCAACACCAAGAAAGTGTTGTCCTTCGTCGTACTGCTATGACATTATATATGGCGATATTTTGCGGACTGAAATTTCGCCGTTACTGTAGATTTTTCAAATTTGAAAAATGAAGATGTATAGAAAAATAATGAAAGAATACCACTTAAAAATAAGATATAAATTGATAGGTTAAAATTTTGAGTTAATTCAATCTAAAAAGCTTAAAATTAACAATTTAAAATATTTGAAATACGCTAAAAATTAAATAATTTAGATTTGATATTATTTCAGTCATTGTAAAAAAAATTATTTTTCAAAAGAACACTGTAGAACATGTGTGCTGTTCTACATTAGTGTCATCACCAGGTTTGCTTTAACAGAAAATTCTACTCAAGGAAATTTTTTAAAAATAAATTTCAGAATAGGAATATTTAAAGTTGTAATAAAAACAATGTCTTTCAGAGGAGTATGTATTGTTCAATTAGTGTTTAGTGCGTTAATGGAAACCTGCAAAATAACAAAGCGATGGTCAAAAGGATTATGCAATTATCGACCTCGTTATGATCCGGATTTTGGGATACGGTAACTCAGAACAGGAGATACAGTATGACCTTATTGTTTTCATTTCAATCCTATAACGATATTTTCGAAAATGTATTTTCCAAATAAATTAAAGTGTTTGTGTTTTGTTATTGAATTCGTCTATTGAAAAATATTTTTGTTTTGAGTCTCGACAAAAATATTTTTGTATTTCAAATTTTTGATTTTTTTTCTTTTTTAGGGACTGGGAACAAAATTGAAAGGAAGGAGAAAAAATTGTCATGCTTCTCAATTTTTTTTAATCTGGAGAAGCCAGAACCTTTAATTGTTCCTGCCCCTGTGGAGAAGCAGTTGAAAAAAAGAGGTCGACACCCTTGGAAACTGCCGCGTAAAAATGAGAGGAAGGCTTCGAAGACGAGAGCAAGAAGAAGACGTTGTCAGCGAATCAAGAAACGAAGATGACCGATCGGATCCGGCAAAAATTTTTAAATGAATCTCAAATTTTTTTTTATAACCAAAATAAATATTCCAAATCGGAATGGACGTTTTTATTAAAATTTTTCTTAAGACTCCAAGATGAAGATATGTTTATATTCGAACAAAAATTTTAGATTTCTGCGGAATTGATTGTTTTTCAGCCATATAAAAAATTTGAAACACAAATTGAGTGATTCTTAACAATTCCAGTCCGTCACTTCCAAATTTCTACATAAAATGAACTATGTGAACCACCAAAAATAGAGCTTTTATTGATATAATCTAATGCCGTCCGGTTGAAAGGGTCAATAGAAGACAACTGCGCTCCGGAAAACCGTAACAAATGGGATAGTGTCGCTAAATCGATAATAACATGTGTTGCGCAACATAATGAGTGACACTTTTCTTAGATTCTATGAAAAGATTTGCGAGAAGGAAAAGACCGATATCATGATTTTTAGCAAAAAAACATGATTTTGAATTTCTAAAAATTTGAGAATCCGTAATTGATAGAATTTTTTAAAATTTGCCTCAAAGTCCTATTCTTTAAACTGATATTTTTATTTTACTAGAAAAAATTTAAATATGATAATGAATTCAACGGTTTAGATGAGATCCTCCTTGCACCAAGAAGTCCTAATCTGGCACGGGACAAGTGAACCACGTGGATTGATTTGGTCTGCAGTTGCAGAGCTTGAAACAACGGACTTCAAAGTATTAACTCTAATTCGAATCTTTCACCATTTTCTCAATTTTCAGGCTTTCTTGACTGTTCAAACGAATTTTTTCTCGTTCCGTACAACATTCTCAAGCGAATAAGAAGTAGACATTTCAAATATTTGATTTTTTCCTTGAAATTATTTGGAGTAGGTGCAGACCTCGTATAGAAAAAAAATTATATTAAAAATTATGTAAAAATTTGAAAAAATGCGCTATTTATAGTATTATCCATAGAGCACACTTGCACCAATAGGCGCAAAATTTGTTGCTATTCAAAATTATTCAAAAACCAGCTAGTTTATTTCTATTTTGAAAAAAAATTCTGCAATCAAAACGAATTCTCAAACAAATGGCATATTTTCCTTAATAGCGATTTAGCTTATGAATTTGGCTTAATTTAAATTGGGATTCTCTAATTTTCAGGATGGTCAATGTCAAACAACACAAAGAATTGTAAAAGTTTGAATGAAAAAAATCTATCGATAAACATGCCTGTGAGTCTTATTTTATTCTCAGTGATTTTGCTGAAAATTTTCAATTTTTAGACAAAAAAGACAAAAAAGCTTCAAAAATAATATTAATAACTTTCTGACAACTGTTTTTCAGTGCAGGTTATTGCTGAAAGCGCACAAATATAATAAATTTGTGCAAGATATTGGAAAATTAAAAAAAAATTAGGCTCGAAGTAGGCTCTTCTATAATTTTGTGGTTTTTTTAGAAACTCTTTAGACAACATTTTTTTTTCAAAAATCCACATTATGTCAGTTAACAAAATCATAAGATCTCTCGAGAATTTTTGTTAATCTTTTTGGCTAATTTTTATAAAATATTATTTTTTTTAAAGGCAATTTATAGATGGCATGTTGGAAAAATTATTACAGATTCAAAATTTTGATTGAATTGGATAACAGCTTCTCCAAAAGCCAAGGAAAAAATTAAGCGAGAATCCCACGATATATTAAATATATTAAAAGCAAAAAAGGAATAATACGATTTCATAATATCAAACATGATTGATTACAGAAACAATTGGAAATTTCTAATAATGATGTAATATTACAAGATCGGCCGTTCTCCAACTGCAGATAGTTTTTTTGCCTTATCAATACCGATGATTACAACTTGAAAAAATATTGCAATTGTTCAGAAATCGCTGCAAACTAGCTTTTTTCCTATAATCACGTTCTATTTTTTTTTTTAATTAAGAATCGATCAATTGGATATTTCTGAAAATCAGAAATTCTTTAAAAAAATATAGAAATTAAATCCGGTGGGACATCATAAATCCAAATTTTGTTTGAAAAAATCTTGAAATTTCAGAAATGGCTTTAACCAGTTTCTTAAAATATTTTTTAGATAAAATTTTTATCAAAGTTAATAGAATTGCAAGAAATTATAAAAATTATTTTTCTTAACTATTACGGCGATGAGAGACTAAACTATATAATGATTTATTCAAGATTTTCAAGATAAAAGTCATCTATAGTGTTTCGTTAATTATATATAATTAAATGTTACTATATTGTAAATGTAGTTAGTGACTTGCTCAAATCGTCCAGGTCCCTCATTCGAATTCATTCATCAGTAGTCGCCGACTTGTTTACGCTTTTCCTACTACAATAATGTCTACAAAGTCAAGAAAAAACGTCTCGCGGTCCAAATTGGGTAGTACAAACGAAATCAAGAATTATATGTCGATTGTCTTTGCTTATCCTCATTCAGCCAATTTTTCTAAATCCCACAATGTCACTACGAAGTGCTCATCCTTTTTGCATGTGCTCTTTTGTTCTCCCGAGCACGCATTATTCATTACATTAAACGAATAAGCGAGATTGCGCATACGTTTTTAGTTTAATCATAAATGCGTCAGACGTGTGCTAAGCCTATGGAGAGGCGTTGTTTTAGAGATGAGCAGGGCGGCAGGAGCAACATATTGCGCATGGCCAATCTTGAAGGAAAAAAAATATTTTTTTTTCTGTTGGCAGTTAACAGTTTAGAGATGAGTCTTTTATATCATGTATATGGGATGGGGAACATCCCATTAACGATTAAATGGATTAGAAGCACAGTAGGAATAGAGTAGTTGAGAGCCATTTTAAAATATCCATGGTCTCATTTCAAATGACAATTATACATATGTAAAATCCAATTAGTGAATAATTCGGATCAATTCGCAATCGTTAAACTATATACTCTACGAAGAAATTATGGAGACTGGGAAGCCTCGATTTGAAAACTAATATCATATCAGTAATGAGTTTTGTTATATTTTTTGAGTTCAACAATGACAACACTTTTGATGAGGTACTTTCGAATCGGTTGAGCGCGCGTTTCGAAAAACCAGTTTGAAGTTCAGACATTGATATATCTTTGTGTTTGTTACACACTCTCAAATAGATACTTATCTATGAGAAACGATTTCTGTCATCGTGATGACGTTGATCCGCAGCGCGTTCAAATAGAAATTTCGCCTCTGCCATTACCCTCATCAATGTTTCCGAATTTGGTATAGTCATTTCGCGGCCTTGAAGACGTGGTTATCTAGACGACGGCTTCGTATACGTTTTTGTCGACTTTCGCTGCTGAATCAGAAATTTGCCGAACGCCAATTAATTCAGCCATGCATGCAGATCTTTCAGTCCAGGTGAGAAATATTCTTCACATTGTGTCATTTTCATCATATTGGCGTTAAAGATTACGGAATTTTCAACATTTTTTTGCTGAAAATCAAATAAAATATTTAGTCTAGTGAAACGCTGTAGGAGTCTGGTTTCCACCGGTTATCTACAATATACAACAGTAAAAGCGTGGCCCATCATCCAAAAGAAAACCACGTCGTTTTTATTGAGTTTCAGAAATCTGTTTTTCAAGAGCAGATCAAACATCGCGTTTTTTTTTCTGCAATATCTGACAACATTCTATATGGTCACAGAAAAACTTTTGAAATGCGCCAATGTTTCTTTCATTTTTAATTTGCGCGCTTTTCTTGTGCAAACATGGCATACGGACCAAGAGGGGGTCTGAGCTTAATTAAAACCCGGCAGCATTTTTTCGCACCGCCTGCACGATTCTAATGAATACGTTTCAAAATAGAAAATCTATTCAACAAAAAAGAATGTGCGCATTTCAATTAACCGACACCGCATGCGCATATGCATCGATCCTCAAACGTTGTTAATTTCCGTTCGGGCCGCAGAAAAAGCATTATTCACGATTGAATATTAATGTGCATCGGTTTCCCACAAGACGTAAGAGTACAAATTTTATGTTCAATGCCTTCTTCTTCTTTTTTTTTCGTGTCTCCTTCTTGCCATGTTCGTGCCCCCCCTTCGCCACATGTTTTATTTTCATTTTGTCTTGTTCATTGATTCCTGTGGCTTTTGTTCAGCTTTGATACGAGACCTGCTAAATTTAGACGCTAATTTTTATATCAAGGCAATGCTTGCGATTTTTAAAAGAAATTGTTGGTGTCAAATGTTTGACTCTTTTCCTATAAATGAGTTCTGAGATACAGTAATCCCTTATTGAGAATATCAGCTTTCAACGCAGATAAGAATTTGAGATTTTCTTAAATTCAAGGTTAAGAAAATTCAAGGTTAAGAAAAGGTTGCAACTAAAGCTTTCAAAAAAATTTTTTTTCGTCTACAACAATCTGAAATTTATTCCCCAATATTTTTAGAGTAGGTCTACACAAAGGCGATTCATCTTGTATCATCATTTCTATTGGTTGCAATGAAACATAACACAATTGCTATCGATTCACTAAATTCAGCGTGAAAATGACTAATCAAATGCTTTGTGTGTTTCAAGAATATAATCAGTTTGTGACGACAAACAGGAAACTGCTACCTTCCGCAGCTCAACCTATAATCATACATAATTTTGTGGCCGAACGGCTCCAATCTTATTTCCTGGTTTTTGGGCTACTAGAAAACGACATCAAAGGGGCGTGACAATTGGCTGGTGAGCCGGCGGCGACGGCACGGCGCCATCCTCTCCTATTCTAGTCGCGCATTGTTCTCTTCCACTGCCACATCTTCATCCTACATAGTAATCTTTATCTAGACATTTCACGTCTGGTTTTCAGTGCATTGATCATGTCAAACATCAGCAAGATTCCAACTCTTGTCTTCACTGACTATGACACTCAGCAGGAGGAATTGAACGCGCAGACGCTTGGCACCCAAGTAATTGATCAATATTTATTGATATTCTGAACTATATCTCTTCAGTATTCTCAAAATCTCGCTGATAAGAAAGAATGTGATTCGACGACTGACGAAAATGGAAGTGATTCAGCGGAAAAAGAGGAGGCCGATGAAAAAATGGTATTTGACCTTTGGTTTTTCAAAAAATGAAATGTTGAATGTTTGCAGGTGCATAATGCATCGAATCCGGAAATTGGCAACACAAGAATGTCGGAAATCATTGAGGTGATGAGAGTTTGACGCGAAACCAAAATTTTATGGCTGCGCATTTTAGGAGAATGGCAATGAATCCGCGGAATCCGTTATTCTTACAGTCGCTTCTGCTCAAGACGAATCGTCGGTGAAATCGCTAGCATGATATAATGAAAATGCTTAATTATTCTAACAATTAACCCGTTTGTATGTATTTTGATATATGTCTTGAAACAACGCAATCAAGAAAATTTGGAATAGACGGGTCAATTTGAATGAAGCGCTGCTGCCAAGAAACCAGGAGAAGGCAAGGTCTACGAATTACATGTTCCGAGGAAACCTAAGAAACAAAATATGAAAAACGTCTCAAACTGAAAGTGAATGTCATTTGTATCGTGAATGCTTCAGCGAGCCATTTTTTTGACTAACAACAGAATAACGTGGAGAAATCAAAATCGATAGAGTTGAAGCATTTTGCCACATGAAGCTGAGATAATAACAAATTAATGAAATGAATTCTAATACTTGCGAACTCATGTTTTACTGGAAAATTTTGGGTTTAGCACGCATTCATTCTCGCTTTATTGCAAGGCTTTTGCCAGTCATATAAGTTTTAATCATTCATAACCCATTGATTTGTTCAAATTCAATCTTTCAACATTTATTTGAAATACGATTTCGCAATTCATTGCATCGATGACAATGTGTGGCGAGGTGAGAAAGTGCGCTCCGCTAGCACTTTCCATTCTGCGTCCTCCATTTATCATCATGTTTCAATTGTTACCTGGGTTGCCGATGAGAGACATTTTTTTGCGTTTTTTTTTGCATATTTCAATTTTCGATTATTATAATGAACATAATCTTTTACTATTCCGAAATTTTGTGATCATGTATTAGATAACAGCTTCTCATAAGTAGGAGAAGGCGAAATTGGCAATATTAATCTGACTGAGGTAGTCTTCAATTACCAGCTAATGTTTTGGACAAATCTCAATTTTTCAAATTTTTCATAATTACTATTTTGCTATTGGCTCGATATTCAACCAAAACGGGCCAATTTTAGGCCAATAGTTCGCTCTCACTGGCTTACCTGAGAGACGCAGACGTCTCAGCACGCATTGGGGCGGGTTTGTCGTTCATCATCACAACATCGCTGTTCATTCAAATCAGTGCGCGCCTTCGAGACGCTTCTTTTGGCTGCCATTCATTGCGATGGCGCGTTGTCTCTCACTTGAATCCAATTCTTTCTTCATCTCCCCGCTCAATTCTAATCCGGATTAGTCGTTTATTGTTGCTTCATTGTTTCCATTGAAAACAATCGTACTAAATATGAACTAATTTTCCAGGCGGACTCAATGGATCGCCAAGGTGATGAATCCACCGCAAATGCGGATCACAATACCGATGAGCCAAACGATGAGGGACCTTCATCGACAGCGGTGAATGAAGAGAGTCAAACCATTTATGGATTGGTAATTAGTAAAGCAAAATGGAATTTGGCTTATTTTTTTTTATGTTCAGCCGCCTCCTTCAAATAAACCGGTGTATCCCGTGATGCCAACGAGATACATTCCTCCAAGAGGCAACACGAATCCATTGCTCAGACGCCGAGCGCTATTGAGTAGGCAGGGCACCGATCAACAGCAGCGACGCGTCCAACCGCGACTGACCATCGCAAGACCACCGGATCAGCCAAAATCGGCGATAGTCGAACCGGAGCCAACGGAACCGGAACCTTCAACGGAGCCGGAGTCGGAGCCGAACTCGTTCAATCAACACAGAAAGCCGCATGATGACGATGAGAGTGAGAAACGTTCAGAGAATGATGCTGCTCTCGAGAAATCGTCAGAGCCTGTCGAACAGGAAACGAAACCGGAAAACGAGGCAAAAACGAATGAGAATGGCAAACTTCTTGAAGAGGGAGAGGTATTTTTTAGTAATATATTGGAGAAAATATTAAGACAATCCGAATTTCAGTCGATGGAGGAACTCTCAAAGAATCTCAGAAAGGCTTTCATTTCTCAGTATATGGAGCAGAAATATCAAGAGCGTTTGAAGATGCAACCTGAGCCCATAAAAGATCACTACGTTACTGTGAAGGTGATTGAACAAGAAACTCGATCGCAACACCAAGTGCGTTCTCATGCTGCTGTCGAGGTAGCCAAATCTAAAGGATTCTGATGCCAACCTTTCATTATTTCAGGCAATGCTTTTGATCCAGGATCGCCAACAACGCTACAATGAGAACCATCAGCTGAGGGTAAAAAACAGAATCCTTCAATTTAAAAGAGTTTGGAATTTTAGGAGCAAGTACACTTTATGGATATGCATGCTGAAAGAGAAATCACTCGTTTGAGAGCGATGAACCGACGCCGGAAGATCAATCAACTCTACGAAGCGCCAAGAAAACCGCAGCGTAATGCACGTCTGCCGTCGTCGTCCTCGTTTCGACAAGTGTTCGAGGACGAGGACAGCATTACTTGGCGCCACTATAGAGTTCGCGTATGGTTATCGTGAAACCAACAGAATGTTGACAGTGGATTTAGGTGTTGTTCGATGAGTGGGCTGAAGAATTCCGACAGGACTTGTTGGATATGGAATTAGAGCCGGAGGTTTTGGATTTTCTTGAGAGCATCTTCGATCCGGAACGGGTCACGTTTCCACCGCTTCCAATTGCGGCACATCTTCCGGATAACACCAGATTGGTGAGATTGTCACTATCAAACTCATGTTTGATAAAATTGAATTGCTTTTAGGGAATTCCGTCAAGCATTCCGATCGCGCCAAAGGTGTTGCGCTATCTCAAAAACAAGCATATGCTTCTTCAAAAGGAGTTGCATGCTTTTTATCCTCCGGTGAAGGGTAATGGACATTCTCAAAACCATCAACTCCGAGGATTCAAGAACTCGGTACTAGCAATTTAATGATATTATTTTATGATTAGTGATGTTTCAGGAATTATACAGTCAGTGGCGTAAAGCTTATCGCCCGGATATTGAGGTCAGCGATACTGCCACGGATGTTCACAAGTTCTTAGAGAAAATCTTCGACATCAATTGGGTTGCCAACACCAAAGAAATCGAAGCTCAACGAGCCGCGGAAGCAGAAGCGGTAGTGGGTTTTAAACAAACACAATGGTCCAACAATATCAATATTATACAGCAGCCGGGACCATCGACAGGAGCGCTAACATCGCAACATTGGCGTGAGCCGTGCGTTGAAGTCACCAGCGCGTCGCGTCCGAAAGGCGATTTTTTGTCGATGAACGAACTTGACGCGATTGGTGTTCCAATCTCGGGCCTTCGCGGTGCGGGCACGAGAAGAAATCGCCCGTTGCGACTTTCTCGTGCCGCTCCGCAACCGCTTCGTGCGCATCCCGATCTTCAAGGATCGGCTGAAGATGAGCTGGGCAATGAGCAACAGGATGATGAGGAAGAAGGACCATCAGGAAGCTCGCAGCCAAAAAAGAAGCATCATCCCAAGAAGAAGGGAAAGAAAAATCGAAAGAAATAAGTGCATTTCGTTGTTGCGTGTGAGTTTGACCCTAAATTGATTATAGTGATACGGCCTTTTTCAGATATGACATTTACGCTATTCTTCAATACTTTTTCTGCTTCAGCACTGTTATTCCTAAGCTTTCTGGTATTTCTAGAACTAACATTTTCCGACCAATGCAATGGGAATATTTCGATGTAACTTCATTTTTAACCACTTGATTGTTTCGTATTAAATTTCTCCTATTTACCCAAAAAAAATTGAAAAATTCTCAAAATCCCCTCAAAAAAAAAATTAAAACCCTCAAAAACTCCAAAAAAATAAAAAAATCCAAAATCGAAAAAAAAATCAGAACCACGTTCACACAAATTTCGAAACTAGACATTTCAATTAAAAATTTTCGATTTTATAGACCTTATTTAATATATCATGATTCGCTCACAGTAGACTTTGGCGCAATTTTATTATCCACGTGGCTTGAATTACATCTCATCATACCACCAAGTCGAATTCAAACCCTGTTTAATGCCCCGCGAGCTAATTTGTTGCGCCTTGAACTGAAAATTATTTGTGGTTTATTGGATGTTTCCTTGATGAAATTTCTTCCCGTGACGCATCATTCCGTTTTCTAAGTAAAGAGAATCATTATTTCATGAATATCGCGTTGTGTGTGAACTTGCCGAACCATATATCTTGTTGAACCGGTCCCTTTCATGGTATTTCTTGATTTTGCCCATATCAATGTTTTTGCCGGACGGACCACATTCCTTTGAAGTATGTGTACTCATTCTTCATTTACATTCACTTGAGTATGGTAAATTCATATATTTTATATATGTTATTTGTGATTATTCTTGATATTATTATTGTGGTAGTTTCTGTTTTTATTGAGTTATTCGCCTTGAGTTTTCTATTCTTTCTATCTTATTATTATTCAATTGCTTTGGTTTATTTCGCTTATTTTTTATCACAATATTTTATTATTTTAAATAAATGGTACTCGGCGAGTTGAATCGATCATGATGATTGGTTTTTGGAGAGCACATGAAGTATATGGATGTTGCTGTTGTTCGATAATCTCGCAGACGGCTTTCTTCGTTGTTGGCTCTCTTTTTGCAGCGATGGCGGACGATCCTTCGACTTCTCCCGCACGACGAAGGCCCTCATTCGTTTGTCAGACTTTATAGGCCTAGTGTAGCGGTATAAGGAAAGTAAACGTTCTGATGATGTGAGCGACTGCTCCAGCATTAGAATCACTTGCGCCCACTGAATATACCAAACATGGTCGGATTTTGAAGGGAATCATACCTGTCGCTTCCATTCTTTCTCAGTCTCTGCTATTTTTTCATATGTTCTGGTCATCATGGCAATGAGAAGATTGAGAAGCATAACGGTTACAATCAATTCAAATAGCATGAAGCATATCTGAAAATAGGGTTTTGTTGAAATAACAAAAATATAAATACCTTTGCTTGAGGCGCTATACTCGATTTGCACTCGTTCAAATTTTTGTAGAGGGCTCCGAATTCGCCGACGCTCATTATAAACATTCGCATGACTGCTTCGGTCCCATCCTGCATTATATTCTCAAATCTGAAGAGTGGAATTGTATTTTGGAAACCTTGCAGATCAAATCAACTTTTCAACGTATTCATCATCATTTGTTAGATTGTGTTTCCTCTGATAGTCAATTTCAGCTCTTTCGCATGATTTGAAAATCACAAAGAAGGCCTGAGCAAATCCCATTAGAAAAAACGAGTAGATCAACAGGAAACGGAGCATGTCTCGAACAATGATCTTATAGACCATTAAGACGAATGGTCCGACAAATTTGAGACTTCTGAAATCTCCGATAAATCTTAAAATGTCTCAACAATTCTCAAAGAAACCTGCAATAGAATAGAAAATGAAGGGTGCTCATGAAAACAATGCAGACGACGAGAAAATTCTCGATGACTAGAAATTTTTCATGAACATCGCAGCCAAATCGAAATGGCAGCGTGCAAATGACAAGAATTTGGCAGCATTTGTGAAGCACCTTTTCAGGAAATGCGCTCTGAAAATTTTTTTTCAGTATAACCGATATGTTCACGACGCTGCTTTACAATCGTTGACCACCACCGTCGATATCCTGTTCTGTGGGCGTCGAGCATATCCTTAAAGGATCGTACCACAACGGCGACTAGACACAAAATCTCGCTGACCATTCTTATCTGAAATTCAATTCTATATTATTTCTCGTGCTATGAAATTCTCACTCGCTGCTTCGTCCCTTTTGAATAATCCCATAAATGACAATGAACTGGCAACGGTTGTTTCATTAAAGTTTTTTGAATGAATAAATGCTCTCTCAATGTTAACCCGGTGCTTAAAATGCTGCTGAAATTCGTATAATCCGCCTCAATCGGTTTGATGGGGTCTTCGACGTGCTGAAAAGCGATTGCTTCAAGATTTTTCTCAAGTTGGCCCCTCACCAATGGATGAGCGTCTCTTGTCATGAATGCGGTGTAGAACACCGCCAGAAAATAAATGTAGCCACTTAGCGAGCGAAACAATCTGAAATTTTCAGATATTTTAAATTCGAAATGTATCTACTAACTGTCTTTTCCCAAATGTTTGCCATTTACTATCCAAAATTTGTTCAATGAGACCATCGAAAAATTCTAAATGATCCACTTTGTCCTAAATTTTTCAACATTTTAGAGCTAAATAATGACAATAATACCCCATAGACCACATTGGCCAGTACAGAATTTGGGTTGAGTGAACCATCAGTCAGCTGGACTGTGTCCACATCATCCATTGGATATGCCTTGCACACTACTGGTCCGTATCGCCAAGAAATATCCATGTTGTATTCAAGAATTAAATCATATATCTGAAAATCCTACAGAATAATGACTTTCTCGAATTATGTCAGCACCTTTTTCTTCGCCAATCGCGCTGCTAAAGCAAGTGGGGTGAAGTTCAAGTTATTCCTTACATGGAGATTTGCTCCAAGCTCCATGGCCAACATAAACATTTCCTAAATATCGCCATAACCATTCATTATTTTTTCTCATGGATACCGGTAGGTCATGGATTACGGTAAGATGGAGTACTGTATTTCCATTCGTATCTGGCATGTTCGGATCCGCCTTCATCGCTCTGAGCAATCGAAAACAATCAAATTGATTGGTGCATGCCGCGAACGACAATGGGTATTCACCCCAATACATTTGCCTATAATGGTTTGATCTATTAGATTATTGCACTGCACAATGAATTACCCCGTGTATTTTGTACTTTGCACAAGATCCACCCATTCGTGCTCGAGCGAATCAGTCCGAGACGCTTTCTGATCATCGGCACAAAAAAATGAGCCATAGCATCTGGAAGAAAAATCATCAGCGGGGAAAACGCGGAACTCACTGACCTCTGATGCACGTCGGCACCCTTCTTGCAAAGAAAATAAACCATTTCCAAGTCTTCATTGACAATGGCTTGGTGCAAAGGAGATAAACCTAGAAAATCGGTAATGTCAGGTTGGTAATAATAAATTTATCAAAAACCATAATACTCCTCAGAAATGAAAATATCATTAACAATTTTCGGATATCGATAAACCATCTGTTTGACAAGTTCATTCATATCGGCAGTATTCAATAGCATACAAATATGTAGTAGATTTTCTCCAAGCCGTCCTGAAAATGAAATTTCAAAAAAAATTCATATGTAATTCCACCTCTCTGATCCATATCCCACACCAATTCGCGGTATTTAAAACTTCTTCTTCCTTTTATCATGCCACCATCAAGGACTTTTAATGCTTTGAGAAAATCGCCTGACGACAAAGCATCCTGATCGATGTGCTCTAATATATTCGGACCGCTTTTCCCGCGACCTTTTTTCCGTCGAATTGCACTCAACACCGCGTTCCTTTGCTTGTTTCGAATGGTTACTAATTGCGAAATTTGCACCAGCTTCCCCTTTCCGCCATTGTAAAGATAAGCTTTGACCTAAAAATATAGATGAATCAACTTTTCTCCAAAGCTAAACTCAATGTTTCTTTCTGCATTCATTGACATACTAAATTTTCTCCAAAAAAGGCGTTAGTTTTTTTCGTTTTCAATTTCGAGAAATCTCCGAGAAAAGCATCCAATTGGTAAAATGCACATTGACTAATGTGCTCCAAGTCAATTAATCAAAAGCTTTTAGCTATATGGTAAGATTAATGGAGCTTCGGAAAATTCGATAAATGCATTAAATTAAGAGTAGTACTTTGAACGTCAATTGCTGGTTGGAGGGATCTAGAACGTGCTAAAATTTCGAGTTTGAGCGCAATTTTTGAAAAATTGCATCATTTCATGTTCAAATCCATAGTTGAGGCAAGAAAATCCCTCCAACTATTATTATGCAGTATGCCTTAATAGAGCTGCCGACAATGTGACCTATTTTGTATTGTATCAAGGGTGTCAATCTCCGCTGATCACATGACTCAAAAATAGGTAACATTCTCGCTCACCGCCGTATCCAAATATTCCTCGAGGATACTATAATCGCCGGATGATCGCGCGTATTTGATCCACGGCGCCAATATCCCGCCGCCTTGCTCATCGATCAGCGAATAAAGGCTTGATGGGACATCGGATGAATTAAACGACATCAAAACGCGTTGATTCCCATTCAGACAATGAATAGATGAGGTCGTAATTGGAAGGCGGAATCGCGAGAAAAATGGCTACTATTTTCAACGACGAAACGCGTTTTAAGCCTTGGCCGCGCAATTTTCATCAATTTGTCTCATGAATAACGCGCTTTTCCAATTGTAATTAGCCGGCTTCGCAATGTGTTTCATCTAATTGTTTTTGTTTTGGTGTGGTGACCAACAAATTGATGGGAGAAAAAAAAACGAGAGAATAGTAAAGGTTTATTGAACCATTTAAATTATTTTTTATTGAGAAACAGTTTGTGTGCTATAATATTCTTGCGGGTTGAATTCGTCAGTTCTGAAATTTCACAGTGAGATTCTTATTTTCAATTTTCATTCCTACGGAAGTGGGACACCAATGTCAGCGAGAGAAGCCGTGGTAGCAGTAGATTGCTCCTTAATTCGATTAATGATGCATGACACAAATTTTCAGGATTACCGTTGGGGCTGCAATAACCATAAAAGCCAAAAGTAGAAGAATGACAATGACGTTGATGGCAGAGAGCATTTTTACGCGAATGACAAGAGCTTCACTTCTTCTCAATCTTTCTTCTGGTACCGCCCCCCAACAAATGCACAAAGATTATGGATTGAAAAAAAAGCGAACACTTGGCTCCAAATATTTATTACACACTGAAACTCGGCCGAGAGTAGCCTCTCCCCCAGCCAACATCAATAGCTTTTAATGTCGTCCTCAAACATATTGGACGCCTCATAAAACTCTTGAAAATCGAGATTATGTGCAGCAAGGTAGATGGCCAATTGCGCCTCGTACCACGCGAGAATATCCGGTCCGCCTCGATGGCCTTTCGCTTCGCATGTGAGATAGTATTGGTCTAGAAGGAGGCTCAACGTGGCAATGAAAATTATCTGAAAGCAGCGAAAATCAAAATAAACGAGTTGATGAATGACGTGAGGAAAGTGCCCTCCGACACAAATACCTTGACACCGAGCGCGAGTGTAACAAGGATTATGTCAGTGCCTTCCCACTTCAATAGTTGAATGTCTGAAATTTTTCGAAACGATCAACAATATTTTGAAGGCATTCGTTACTTGATCCGAAGATGTAGTGAATCGAATCAAGAATGACGGAATCACGATTGGCGCATATGAAATAAGCGACGCCAAAATATATGAGGAGGGCCAATAGGGATGCTGAAATGGAAGCTGATTTTGAAAGAAAAACTTTTAATCGTAAAACCAATCATAAATGCTACTACCACAGATACTGGTCTATTGAAGGCCAATACCAATCCGCGATCCGCCTAAATTGTCAATATGAACTTCACCCTATCAACTAGTAGTAGTAACCGATTTCTGGGAGTATCTTTCTTGAATTCCAGCTGACGATGGCTTCAGCCTGTTCTTATCAGCCATCAAATGATACCATGGAACTCGATTTACAGTGCATGTTACAGTTTTTTCAAAGCCTACAATTCCAAAAGCAAATTGAACAATTCAATTCCACGAGCCTTGATTTAGATATTTGGGCTTGAAGAAACTGTCGATTCTATCAACGATGAAGCAGTAGAAAATCACATAGAATGACAAATAAATGCAGCCATATGCTAGTGTATATTGCCTTAAATGGTAGTCAACTAAATATTAAACCATGTTTGGATAATTTTAAAAAAGAATAAATACCAAATCCACCGAAAAGGTGCATAACGTGAATGAAATTATAGTTCCCTTTGATGTTCATCGAAACCATTTTTTGCAACTGAGCTTTCACCGTAATTAATTTTTCAACAAGGTTGTACTTTGTGAAGTTCTATAAATCAAACATTGGGGGGAAATTTATTGAATCATGAGCACTTCAGGTTTGAGATCATTCGTAAAATCGGCAGCAATCACTTGCATTGCGTCCTGTACCGTTGGATACATTGGGTAGTAGCAGTTAACCAGCCATATAGAGGCGACAAAAATCATTGGAGTCTGAAATTTTTTTTCAAGATTCTTCATTTCCTCGTCGTCATTTTTTTCATATTCATCATCTATGGAATGTTAAAACATGTCAATCAAAACGGCCAACTTTTGGTCGCGAAAAATCTCGGCATTCGATTTGCGCTAGAATATTAAACTAATTTCTATACAACTTTGCATGGCATGGCATTCACTCTCCGCCCCAATGATTTGAGCAGGTGAATAATTCAGATTTGCTGCCAATTTCTGGACTTTGAGTTTGATGAATAGTTACCACTAAAAGATGCAAATGGCTCAGTGGTCCCGTTGTCGCGCCAATATTTTGATCCATATCGCGCTCATATGTGCGAGGCATTCTCTAAATATCTTTGGGTTGGAGCCAACACAATTCAATTAATTGAATAGTGTTCGCATTGAATATGGGGGAGGGGGTTTAACAAAGAAATTACTGAAACATAATGACGGAAAAAAAAATGGAAATGAAGCAGATAATTATATATTTGAATAAATGAGCAAATGAATTTTGCGTGACATTCAAAAGAGGCAATATTTTGAAATTTTCTATAATTCAATTCGCCTTATTAAATCGTGACGGCAAACTATAATATTGGATATGATTGGTTTTGAATGTCACGTCAAACTCAATCTCCATCAAAAAATGACTGACTTTGTGTTTAGGACGCGACATACATATATAAGCGAAAAATGGTTTATTAAAGTTACAGAAAAAAAGAATAACAATGAAATTCAATTCTTCTCGTTTTCATTTTCATCGTCGTTGGTTGCTACGATGCCAAGTTCGCATCCCGGCAACATTGTACGATTTTCCTCCTGAAATTCCGTTGAGAACCAATATAATTTCGGACTGTCATGGAAACCTTGAAACTCTTGAACGCTTGATATATCGCATACCACGAATAAGTGCACATAATGTATGAAAATGTAACAGTGAAGAGGGCGATACTAGTGACAATGGTTTGCGCTGAAATGGGAAGACCTTTTAAACTCTAATGCCAAGATTATAGTAATAATAACGGATTTGTAGTATTCAACGATCCATTATATTAATAACTAATATTCATTCAATGCAAATTGAATATAGAAGCTGCAGGAAAGATTATAGGTAATAATTGTGAGATTATTTGGAAATTATTGCAAGTCAAGTTAAAAAGAAAACTTTTAAACTTAAAAGAGCTTAAGAAACTTTTTTAATAGTTTTTGTTTCACTTTTAAATTTTAACTCTCCCACCCCACTCTTCTTATAATCAGCAATAATTCCAAAAATTGAATTTGATATCAGTTCGGTGTTCCACTTGCCCGCTGAACCAGAAATGGTATGCAAATATTCATGTCGGTTTGATATGATGACCCATCCCATAACACAAAGGGCGACCGTTACTTTCAAATGTCGGCAATTCCTTATTCGGCGCGCCGAGCTGCGCTCTTTGTTGCGCGCCAGCCCCCCCCCCCTCTCTTTTCCTTGCGCCACGCCGCGCCAAGGTACACATCATAAACATCGTTTGGTCTCTCTCTCCGTTCTTTTTTTTTATGTGTTACGGGTGGCGCGCTGTGAACCGTGTGATTTACAACGATTCGTCACCGATGACCATCATAATTGATGGGAAATATTGCGTCGTGGGGCGCTCGTCGTGTTCCCAAAAAAAAACGTAAAACCGTAAAACGTGGGAAATGTGGATTCCCGAAATGTTCAAATTTTACCACCTCTCCTCACCCTTCACCCATCTCTGGAAAAAAAATTGCTTGGGAGCGTGACGGAGAATGAGAATGTAAGGCTTCTTCTCGCCGAACTTATAATCATTCGCGTAAGCACACCATAATTCTCTATACATTTGAAATTGCACGCGGATTTCGAAAATTGCATATTCTACACACGATCATTACAAATGTGACGGTTCGTGCATTTTTGATGGCTCGACTCGATGGCCGGCCAATTTGTTGATTTTGAAACGTACTATCTTCGTCATCGGGATTCAAGTGATGCATTCCATAAAGCTCGCGGAGTGGCTGATTTTCCGCGTGATGCGTTCGAACAACATCGGTGGCGAAGCCAAAAGTGCAGAAAAATATTATAACGACGATTAAGAAAGCGGAAAGAGCCCCCTAAAAACAGAATTTAGAAAAAATGGGAACATTGAATAAAACGTTTACATGAATGAATAAGAATGGGACGAGGAACATCGGCTTCTCAAGAAACACACCGTAAATGAGAATCGTGCTATAAACCGTATAGAAGAAGCAGAAAATGGAAATCCATTGTTTGTCGATGCCAAAGAATAAGACATTCAACGCGGAGACCACTAGGCAAATGCCGAAGAAGACAACGGCGAAAAATTTGGCGGCTGTCTGAAACGGAATTGCCCGATAGCGAAATTCTTTTTTTTTTCTTTTAATAGAGAATACCGTGGCGTGAAAATGTCCGCAGCACAGATAGAAATCAGGATTTGGGCGGATGAGACCGTTGGGCGAATAGCTTCGCGTAACGCTCATCCCCGCGCAAAAAAATTGACAATGGCGTTGAAACCTTCATACTTTGCCATCCGCGTTGTTTGCATTACTCGCAAATCAATACCGCTACTTCAACGGTTTTGTGCTATTTTTTTTGCCATTCTCTCACATTTTTGTGCTCGGCAAACTCCTTTCGAATAGTTTTGAGCGCCTGGCCAACACGACACGGACTCCATTGTTCTTATCAATCTACACTGATAAAAGCATTTAATAGATAATGAATAGTTTGAGGTCAACTATTTGCTTTCATGTGTATGTACGTACAATGTCACGGTGATTTAAAAATGGCGAAAGTTTGCATTATTGATTATATGCATAGATAAATACTATAGTTTCGCCAAATAGGGCGTAAAAGTGAATTGCAATTTCCTGAAGCTTAATTAATTGCATTGAGCTTTGATGATGAAGTTAATTACATTTATGACCTATACATTTTCAAAGTGGCGCAAATTGCTTCTCATTCGAACTCTTAATTTATTCAATCGAATCCGCGCACGCGCGCGCCGTCCGCATCACTCAGTTTCTCGAATGCAACATGTTTAATTCAATTCCTCGTAAATAAATCCATGAAGGCTGACAACTACTGCATTGCGCGTTTCCAATTAGTAATCGTACACCTCCTTCATTACGCAATCAAATCAGTCCTGCCTTCTTCAGTTTCCGATGACAGCAGCGTTTTGGGCGAATTAATCACAAGTTCCGATCGCTTACCCTTCCCCTCTTCTTCGTCGGACCCAATTATCTCAAGAGCCGATCCCTCTCACGCGCAGCCCGCATATACACACACACATATAATTTTTGGGGGGCAAAGCCAGGCAATGCAAAAGGAAGGTCAACGTTCGAGTGGCCCGGGTGGTTCACCATTAATGGTGTGGCTGGTTTTGGTGAAGGTTGGTGCCACTCGTCTGCTCGCTTAATTTGGCACACTTTAGCGAGAGCGAATCTTGATGTGGAGAGCAAAGGGTGCAAGTGCTCAGCACCCTCCACCCTCACATTCGTTCCGCCGACCATCAATGTCCATGTGAGAGCTCAACGCGAGCAAAAAGCCGTGCCGAATGCCTTCAATTCTCCAATCCGCTCGTCGATACGCATTCACAAAGCTGCCAGGTGGCCTCCGAAGACCTATACGACGCCGCGTGCACATTAAAGGATTAAGCGGGAACTAATTACTGGTGTCGGCATTGTACGTTATATCCATGAGGATCGCCGCCGCATTTGTGCCGGATGCAAAATAGAATCGGAAAAAGGTCACCTGCGGATTAACTAAGCTGGTCCGCATTCAATGGCTTCCTCCCTTCTCGTATAGTAGTACTAATATGAATTGTGGGCAATTTTCAATTTTTGTCCAGGACAGAATTTTTCGTATTCACTATACAAATTTTCGAGAGAGGACTTTCTCAATGGTTTCCGGTACATTAATAGCAGCGCATCAAGATGTTATCGGCATATTCTCCATTGTCGCAGTCGGAATGTCGATTATGCAAATTTGTCTCGTCGAAGAGGGGGGGACTCAATTCTGCACTATGTTGTTTTCCGCTCGCCATCTCCCTTCCTTCGGCTTTCCGTTTCGCTGACGACTAACTAACTAACGTATGGTGGCATCTTCTTCTCTCCCGCCCGCGGAGGTTTTGAACATTTGTTCGCTCAACGTCCGAACGGATCGCCGCCCTCACATCCTCATTGACGATGGAAAAAATGTTATATTGAGCGAGACGTGTCAACAGAATTGACAAGATGAGCAGATTCCGGACATGAAAAATGCATTGCCTCCGTCGATTCCCTCGCCTTTTTTTTTAATTAAATATTTCGATCTAATATCAAATTCCATTGATAACCATATCATCACCCTTCGCCCTCTCTCCTTTCCAGTTTCCGTTTAGAAATGGCTGATACGAAGTCTGGAGATCATTCATTGTTACGGGTACATGCATTTCATATCGCTGTAATCCCGTAAATGAATAACCTATAGACAACGACCAAGATTCGTTGTTTTTGGGTTGATATTGACTTACCGCATCCATTGGAAAAAATGTGTCAGCCGGCGGTCTCTGAACCATTTTCATTACGGGTGCAGCTAGAATTCGCTTAGTGCATACCCTAATGGAATGGTCCAAAGACCGCCGGCCGGCCATGCACCGCGCCTTCCATGGACCATTCTCATTACGGGTACAAGCATTTGATCGAAGCATGAACACGTAAATGGAATGACCCATGGATGGCGCGGCGCAATGCGAGCTCGCCAGCTGCTTCGGCAATGAACGTTACGGGTACATGCTCTTGATATGGTGCACACGCGACGTCATTACCAGAGCAGCGCCGGCGATGCTCGGAATATGAATACAGAGGCTGGCAGCTGAGACGAGAATAGAAGGAATGCGTATGATCGGCAAGCGTCCAACGCACACTGAATGACCGCTGGCTAGCTAGGCGCCGCCCTGCACGTGTGGCGTTCGCCACGCCCCCTCGATTTTGCCGACGGCGCGCCGCTTTCCCCGTCCGCCTCCGACGAGACGTATTGTGTCTCGTGCCGCGTGCTGTCAGAGACGCAGTGTAAAAGGTCACGCCAGCCGTGTGTTTTCGGCGTCGTATGTCGAGTTGGAGGAAAGGATATAGAAACGTGGAGAGGGAGGTGAGGGGAGAGGAGAGGGAGGGAGGGTGGTTGAGGAAGGCGAGGGCCAGACAACCGCCAAGAACACCCTGCACCACGCGGCACACGCGCTCCACCAAACCAATAGTCTCTAGCAAAAGTGAACGGACGACCCCGCGTATTGCCACGCATACACAATACGCGTCCAATTCCACAAAAACTTTTTTTTTCCTTCATGCCCCTGAATCTCTCTCTCACCGTGCTGGCGATTGTGTGAGAGGAGAGGGGACGCTCAGGATTATGAAAACTGTTGAATGATAGGACGAAGTGGTGAATTTGATGAAACGCAGTTGGCGGCTTACAAAAGGATTAGCATAATTGTGGCGAATCGACACAATACATCAGTTGGCGAAAATTTTTCAATGTAAAATTTGCTTGTAATATGTTTTAATAGGAAATTTTCTAAAATTTAATGATTGACAATACGAGAGGGATAAACAACCAGCCGGCGTTTTACATACATATATATATATATATATATATATATATATATATATATATATATATATATATATCTGGCGACATTGGCTGGAAAACAACAAGCTGTGAGCAAACATAAGCTTAAATTTTGATAAACAAACCTAAAATTTAGGTAAACAATGTTTGTTTGTTTTTTTTTTTTTGCTAAATAACTGAAGCATACCTTTTCAATATGAGATTTCACATTGAATTTCAGATGATCATAAGACAACCTTGGAATTCACATGACCATTGAAAATTTCAATGTTTACCGTGAGTGATTAATTAGAAAGCAACCATATGATTCATTCATTTATGTATGATTAAAATTGGCGGCACCGTTGTAGATAGGTTTGAAGAAGACGTTGGGACATTTTTTAAAACGTTCTTTTAGAAATGATTTTTAGAGAATTTTAGCATTAATTATTTTCTATTTATGGTAAGTTTTTCTATTTCTAGGATTTCCAATGATACATTGATGTTGTGAGACAATATTGAATCGATCTTGAATTACTATTGGAGCAAATGTTCGTCTCCCGAGACATTTACAAACATCAGATATTTCTCTCGAACTTGCTCGCAGCATTTTCTTGCCAGATAAAAAAATCATAGTGAACTTTTCGCCAAAGTGCTTTTTGTTGTGTACACACAACGTTCGTTGCCGAGCGTTTCTTGAAAATTATCCGTAATTATGTGTAATGGGAAGGAGGGTGGCGAACGACAAAAATCTCGGAACCACATTCAGAATAATTGCCTCGATTTTCGCGTTCGCCCATTATATTAGCTTGCTCCGTCGAACGCCGGCTGGCACACATTCGAACAGAAGTAAAATTGATATTCATTTTCTGGTTGAAATTAATGGAGGAAAGACGAATACTAAAAGGATCAACCAACGGATGAGTGATGCTCTCGCATTAAATGCTAGAAGATGAAGCTTGGTGCTGGGTGTCCGCGAGGTTCAACGATGGGATTATGTTTACAACGCGATGATCAATAACCACCAACAGAGAGATTAAAATTGTCGTTGGCTCGGTGTAAAATTTGCTTTGAAAATACAAATTTCATTGTGGAAATTGTATTTGTTGGGTGTGAGCAATTCTAGCCGAATAATGCTAAAAATGAGACTGACATTAGAAAAAATGGAGTTGATTGAATTTAATTCTGTCCTGGAAACCGGCAAGGTTTTTATCAGTAAAAAATGCATCGGATAGACATTTCAACCTATATTGTGCTATTAGTTGTCTAATTTATAACAAGATGTTTGATTTTTTTGTAGAGTTACAGCATTTTCTTTGATATACAATTGGAATCTTATTTGCTAGCCTTGAAAGCTGAAATTTTAAGCACAATCATTTCCTGTGGCATATTTTTATCATACAGAGTTGATTTGCACATTTACAAGGTTTATAATCTCTTATCAACTTGACTAATCATTGTAGACTCATTATCAAAACATTTAGTTATCAGCGGTACTTTGTGATTTCAAATTTATAATGGCAAAACTTTCAAAATAGATAATTGAATGTTCGCAACAATTTGGACTAAAAATTATTAATGGGATTATCAATATTTGTTAATGTGTAATAGATTTTTCGTTAAATATTTGGTACTTATTTAAAAATAAAACCTGAAAAATCAGAAAAGTTTTTGGCATTTTCAATCGGCGTTTGTTTTGTTAAAAATTTGTGCAAAAAACTATTCAGTCCGTATTTTGAAATATTTCGAAATGACTTTAACATTTTGTGTTAAAAAAAAAACCAAAATGAATTTTGAAGGCATTTTTTAAAATTTCAAATACACAAAATAAATATTGATCAGACATTTTTTCATTTGATAATCCTTAATAAAAATGTTTAAATTTCAATTTTTTTTAAAGAAATTTTAATAATTAGTAACAGTTTTATCATATACATATTTTTCATTTTTGGTGTCTTCTATTTTGATATTGACTTTTGAAATAATAGTAAATTATACGCAAATAAGTTTTAAGCTTTAATTTTTTCCGACATTTGAATTGTGTGCGAATTCTTGAATTTTGAAATTTATTGTTAAAAAATAGATAATTAATTTTTTATTCTTTTTTGGCAAAACTGCGTCAGTTTAAAAAACTGCGTCAATTATTTGTCGAACAGAATTTTTCTAAAAGGTAAGCATGTAGGAGATATCAATGGGTATAAAAAATTGATAAATCATTTTATTACGCTGGCTCATACTATTTCTCTACTATACAATATTCATCAATTTTAACGTTTGAAAATTATATGCATTATTGAATTGATAAGCGATCAAATCGTTTGAAAAGTGCAATACTCTTAAAAATGCACTAAGGTTTATCTTCTTTCTCTTATCAAATGAACGCAAATTGCCAAAAATGAAATGACAAAAATCGAATTTCATTGCGAAATTTTTTGGTTTTAAAATTTTAAACTTGACAAACAGGACGATCAAATTTCAACAGAATCCATACAATACCGATGTTTAAAATGAGAGAGATGTGAAAATGTTTGAAAGAAAATTAAACTTCTCATAATTGTATTCTATAATGTCAGAAAACGAGGTTTTAGTGTTTTCAAAGTTGACAACAAATAACATGAAGCATCTATATCAATTAGCAAATTGAGCAATTATATAGCTCACAGAGTGATTGTCCTCCGATGGATAATTTTCCTCTTTTCACTTGCATATTACGAAATATATGTATGTCTGAATTTGGTAAAGAGCAACTAACTTGCATATTTATAAGATGGTAAGGCTCAGGGTTGTAAAATAAGTTGTAAAATAATCATCCCTTTTTATACTCCTCTAAATTTTTAATATTCATAAGATTTTTAAATAGTATCATGTATTACACATCCTGAGAATCTATAAAACCTGATCTAAAACAACCTCCCTATGCCACCTCGCCAAGAAGAAAAACTCAATTTTTCGAAATAGTTGGAAGAAATTAACATTTACGCTCAGAGTCGTTAACTTGCAAATCTGGAACAAAAAAAAAATGAAATTCTGTCTTGAAATTGTCGAATTCACCAAAGGCACTCAATTCAGTTGAATTTTTGTTTCTCAAAAATTTAAGTCAAAAGCTGACTTTTTTTCCAGATGTGCAATTCCAGTAAATTCATTCAACACAGCCAAAATTTGTATTTTAACACTCAAAACTTCTTATAAATTACTTATTGGTGTTGGCCAAGCACGGCTAGATTCAATAAAATTAGCAAGATATCAACTGCTGAGATTAAAGTTTATATTTTTGTGGCCAGCTATATCTGCAAAACGTGCTGCGGACAATTTCGAGTCCGCAGTCTGACCTGTTCTGAACACATGACAGGTCAATTGAATACTAACTGAGGCTCATAAGTTCATTTTCAATAGACTGAAAGCAAAACTAATTGAGTTTGTCTGAAACAATTTCAGATTTTCAGATTTGCTATTTTTCACACATTTGAGAACGAAATTTTTTGCTTTTAGGTTTTCAAACGTGCTGAACCTACCAAAGGTACTCAATTCAGCAGAATTTTACAAATTTTTGCCCAAAAATTTAAGTAAAAAGCTGACTTTTTTTCCAGATGTGTAATTCCAGTAAATTCATTCAACACAGCCAAAATTTGTATTTTAACACTCAAAACATCTTATAAATTACTTATTGGTGTTGGCCAAGCACGGCTAGATTCAATAAAATTAGCAAGATATCAACTGCTGAGATTAAAGTTTATATTTTTGTGGCCAGCTATATCTGCAAAACATGCTGCGGACAATTTCGAGTCCGCAGTCTGACCTGTTCTGAACACATGACAGGTCAATTGAATACTAACTGAGGCTCATAAGTTCATTTTCAATAGACTGAAAGCAAAACTAATTGAGTTTGTCTGAAAAATTTCCAGATTTTCAGATTTTTTATTTTTTACACATCTGAGGGCGAAATTTTCAGCTTTTGGGTTTTCTAACGTGCTGAATCCACAAAAGACACTTAATTCAGCTGAACTTTTCAAATTTTTGCCCAAAAATTTAATTGAGTTTGTCTGAAACAATTTCAGATTTTCAGATTTTTTATTTTTTACATATTTTAGAAAATTTTTGATAGAACTTTTCGCTTCGCTTAAAACTTCAAGCACAGAAGTTGAGAAACGTATTGCAAAGTGCTAAACTGTACTTTATATTCTGAAAATATTCCCCGTGCTATTATTAACATCTGCCAAAACGGAAGGTCCTCGACAATTACTACGTATAAGCAGAGATGAACAAGTTAAAACCATAACCAAAATATTTTCGCTGTCAACAGTCTCGTTTCTTTCTCCCATAAAAGGTTTACAACATTCGCAACGTTCTGATTGGCTGGCCAGGTGTACTGTGAGTCTCCGCCCACGGCCTATAAAAGGCGACGTACATGACACCTTAGTCAGTTTATACTCTTTCTGCCTTCCTCATTTTTTCTTCGCACCACAACCCCGACCTCTTTTATGGTTCATTATGCCTCGTGAGCTCACTCGAGAAGAATGCCGCGACGTCTTAACGGCTATATTATTCAGTCCGATTCATCCAGATTTTGATACGTTGCTGAACCGTATCAATGAGATTCTTGGAAATCATGGTAATGACGTGCGCATTCCACCACGTTTCTCTAATCCGATTGACTTTGCTATCGCCACTTATAACAATCAAACTGTTCTCATGCCGGCATATTATGTGTTTGACCATCGGGGCATCGAATCACTTTTTGAGTACCGACACAGAAATGCTCGGTTGATTGATGGATACGTTATTCGTAACGATTTTAATAGGTATCAACTTCTGGGTCTTGAGTGGGAACTTATTAACGATTATTTATATTCTTTGCGTTTTCCAAATCCTGTTCGCTCAATGAATGCTTCTACAATTGTAGTCCTCCTTGAATATTCACTTCATTTCATGCAGTAAGCATTGAAGTTTTACTCAATCAATTTTCATTAACTTCCCAATTATGCATCTCCATTATTTTTTTTTACTATTATTCGTTCAGTGTTCTTTCATTTTCTTCTCTTTAATCTTGCAACTGATTTAATTTCTCCCCCTGCTTTGACTAATGTGAGTTGGACCTTGGTTATGGGCTAAGCATGGCATAGCGTCGTAGACGGTCCCATCTGATCTCCCTATGCCTCCTCGCCGAGTGTGTAAGCTCAATTTTCGAAGCAGTTAAATCAGCAATCAATATTTTTGCAAATTAGACCTTTTTAATTAACAAGGTCTCATTAGAAATACTATATATATTCACTCTAAATCAAAAATTTTCATGTAATTCTTGTTTTGTTTCTAAAGTCCCATTTGAACTACGAATTTCGAACATTTTCGGTAATTAAAATTTTATAATCGAAATTCACAAAAAAAAAAAAAACAAAACAATGGCGAGGGAATTCAGCTTACAACGACAAAAATGGTCGATTGTAACTGTTCTCTAATCATGAATTGTTTTTTTTTTCTTCGGTGTTGAAGCACGATAATGATTGATAACGTGATATTTATAAATTTGAAGAAAGTTGGAATAATGTGAAAACAACACTTCTATATTTACTTTTAATTTTTATTAATTTTTTGTACTTTGAACATAATTTGAGCAAAGCTTTGAATTTAACCTTTGGTAGAAACTAGCTTCAGAATTCGCAAAAGGGTTATATTGTTCACATTTTTTGGCGGCTGAATGTTAATATAATGCTTTAATTCCTTATTTGGTTTTATTGGAAAAAAAGAAGAGTCAAAAGAAAGTCAATGATTTCTCAATGCTTTTATATATTAATTATTGAATAATCGGTTATTGACAAAAGAATTTCTGATAAATTTGGGACAAAACGTTGAATTTACTCTGTGAAATTCATATATTAATAATATAATTGGAATAAATAATGTTAAAATTTGAATTTTTAGTTTTCGGGAGACTATTCTTTAAATTTTTAGGTAGATTATAATTAATTTTTTATTCTCAAGTGAAATACGAGATCGAATCAAAATTTCACTGAAAAAAATTTACTAATTGATTTACCTTGTGGAAAATATGATAACTTGAAGTATGAGTAAGGCTAAGATTAAAAAAAACGAGCCCCCTCGTAATATTTGAATTTTCCTCCAATCATCAAACAATGTTCAACGGCTATGAATCATCAGACATTCGCTAATTCTGATTGGAGCGAATTTTCCTCAGTCACCGTACGCTTTAGTCATCATTTTTAATTGCTTTTTTCCGTTAGAACTTTCTAGAATGAACCGATTTGTATCAATTTCCTGTCATTTTCTGTCAAAAATGTTAGATTTCTATAATTCTGCCCCTTTTATTTTAAAGTCTTCACACCAGTTAATTCCAATTTCTTTAATATACAGCTTCTAAACAAATATTTTACTAATGAATCTATGCATTACGAAACAATTGATTTGCCACAATTTTTGTGCTACGGCGGCATTTTTGAAATTTTACGCTTACTTCTCTTTTGAGAATATCTTTCCGCCTAACCTATATCAGAATGAAGGGAAAATGTTGATTGACTGGCATATCCTTATGACATTTTGATTTATTGTGTTTCTTTGGAGCTAAAATCTGTTTAGGCTTTAGCTACTTGCATGCTCTAGAACCCCCACAATAACGCGCTAATTTTCATTGCTTGCTGGCAACCCCCATACCTTGCCTATCAAAATTCGAAATTTTTATTATTCCTTGTTTGACAACACTTTTCAGAAATCTGCTATGATCACTAAAGATAAAAAGCGAAATAAGCGAGCAGAGTCAAGAGTGGCAAGAATTTTGTTTCTGGAAAACCAAATTTCAAGCTTATCTTCAGAATATTCGCGTTGTTCTTAACGGTGATGCGGGCATCACATTGCAGAATAGTCGGCGATGGATGCGAAAACCGGAAATTTCAGCAGCGAACAGTATTGGTATTCTGACTATAAATTAGTGCATAAATATTATAGGAATTTCAGTGGAACATGTAGAAGGAGAAGAGCTAGCCAATGTGCCCGAATTTTCAGAAATTAAGGAGGAGGAGGTGGTAGATAAAAAATCTCAGATTGATATTCCCTCCAAATCTGGAACAGTTGAAGACCGAATTGAGAAGTTGTCCTTGAAGGAAAAGGTAGGGAGATTTAAATCCAACGTCTAACATTTATATTATGTACAGTATTATGTTTCGCAAGACTATTTCAAAGAAGAAGACATAATATTATGCGAAAAGCGTGCTTTCGTGCCAAGATCGCAATTGAAGCTGAACTGGTTTGTGCCACAAAGAATGGTGACAAAATTCAGCAATGTTTTGAGTATATTTACATTCTTTCTTGTAGGAAGAGTGGGGAAACTTTGGTGAAATAGTTGTCTTCGAGCAAGACAGCGTTGTGGAGAATATAGTTCTTCAAAAGGATATCAAGAAGCTGGTAAACAAGGTTCTAGCGAGTTCGAGACCATCGACATCGGACGACACAAAACCGGTTTGATTGACGCAAAAAAATTGAAATTTGAATTTAAAATCAAAATTTCAAAAATTGATGAATACATATTAGAAAAATTTGCAAATGAGTATAATCGTCGTTCAGTACGCAAGTTGATTTACGCGTGCGTCTTTCGAAATGGTCTCGCCACGTGTCAATACTTATTTTGGTGTTTTTACGTCAGCTATTTGATTTTTTTCGTTGGCTTTATTCTCTTTTATTTCAAACCTAATTCTAATAAAAAAATTATTAAACCGGACCCTAAAATGAAAAAAAAATATATAGTCCGTGTGAGACCACGCATCCCGTAGGCGTACAGTAGTCGTCTTAGGCCGACTTTAACATTATACTATTGAAACAAATTTAAAGAAGTTCTTTTTATGAATTACAATCTTGTAGAATGTTTTGTTTCTTTAACTTGAGAAAATTCTAACACGAGGCTCTGACCCATTATGTAAATTGCCTGCTTTGAAAAAATTTGTGCTCATTTTTATAAAAGCACCATTTTTATGATGTCCATCTACATTGAACTCATGAAAGCCTTAACTTCAAGGGAGATTAAATTGACTTCAGGTGAGTGAGAATGAAATTGCCGTTCAGCTACACGTTGAGCGAGATATTCGAAATTCTGCAGCTTCCAACATTTCCTTGTTGGTTCGTTCAAAATTCTTTTAAGAAATTCTCTCAACACGTGTGTATTCAGAATGCTATCAAAAAAGTGAACATGGGCACCGTTCGATTTGCTGTTGACGCGGCAAATCAAAAAACATTCATGATTTTTCACAAATCATCATTGATTCGATTGGAAAATAATATGGAAGATTTGCAAGCTCCACAAACCAAGGTAAAATAGTTTAAAGCAAAAGCTGTAATATTTCTAGCCATTTTCTAGTTTCCCTACCCAGTTGAGGAGCGTTTTTGGTTGAATTGCTTCGCCAATTTGGAGCAATTTGTTGAATTCACCGTTACGGTAAACTGCTATTTCGAAAATTTGACACATTCAATTATGTTTAAGATCAAACATCATTTCCATTTGGAATTTGCTCTTCACGTATTACACCAACATTTCAAAGATGTTAAATTCAAAAGCCAAACGGGCGAGCAAGATTTGGCGGCGCGCAATCCATTGAAAATGGATAGTGTAAGATTTGAAATCATTTTTGTGAAACTACTCGATTTTTAAGATTCTCATTTCAACTCCACTGTCCCGACGAACAAATTCAAAGTATATCGAACGAATTTTGAAAAATAATAATATCGATTTTTTGAAAATTGAAGTGTCGAAGCCAATTGCCCTAATGTAAGTGACTTTACTTAAATTGTCTGGGGTAGCACTTGGATTTTTTTTTCAGAGCAAAACATGATGCTAAAAAACTAGTCTATAATTGCATAAGTCAATGGATCGACGATGGGGTTAATAATGACAAAAAGCTCGAGGTTTGAAATTTGGTAAAAAATTTGTTCATTGCGAAATGTGACCAGGCGGTTGTGAGCAAAATGACGCGTTGCGGAAAACTAGTAAAAAGGGGACAAGCGACACACATTCACACCATTGTGCACTTTCAAGGAGCAGAAAATCCGGAATGCTCAGATGCGCTGAACGCTTTGCGTCAAAATATCCCAATTTTAAAGAAGGAAAATCAATTGACGGTATTGATTTCAATTATTCAGTTATTCAACCAAAATTAATTGAGTTGCGTTTTTATCCAACATTCATCAAGCAAATGCAAGTTGGCTATAATATTCGATCAATACTGAAATACGAAGTTCAAAAATTGGAAGAAGATTTGAGAGCAACTATGAAGGTTGGATTTAACTTAAAAACAGATATACTTGAAATTTTGAATGATGATTTCAGACTAGATGGGAATATCCAGAAACCCACTACGTGCATGTTTTCGACACGGCCGATTTTTTCATAGGAATTAAAGGATGGAATGAAGCGTGAGCACAATACTTTCCATTCTGGGGTTAATGAAAAATAATTCAGAATTGTGAATGATGCTTTTGAAAAGCTAAAATCAATCTTTTGCCCAGTTGTCTACGATTGCGTTGCTGAAGGCACCCCAAAACTACTGCGAGGGTATTTCAGCAGCTTCTCTTTTCAAATATGTTCTTCTTTCGATTGTTCAGATCTGGACCAGTTTACGTAGCGTACATCTCCAATTTGTACCAAAACCGAGTTGTGATCAGACCATGCCCAAAATTGAATTGTCTCGAAATTGTTGGGCAGAAGATGTATATGAGCACGGTGATTGAGCAATTGAAGATGTTTCCCAATGTCGGCAATTTCAAAATGGTGACGATGATTCCCATCGCTCCGCCATACTTCAACACAGAGATACTGGAAATCTTCGAGAATAGAAAATTTGTTGACTTTATGGAATTTTTGGAATTCAATATCGAGAAGAGCACAATCTCGGGACATTATCAGTTCCAAGGGACATTCCAAGCGTATGATGCGCTTTTGAAGGTTCTGATTGGTCTCAATAAAGCGGTTTGTGAAAAGCAAATTGCTTCAATTTATATCAATCAATTCAGATATTCAATAAAATCTTCGTGAAAAAGCCAGAAGCCGGTGTTGTTTTGGATGCGAAGAAGCTGGTTGATAATTATCGCTTATATAATTCATCGCCAAAACAAGCCAAGCAGTAAATGGCTCCACCTAGTACCATTTTCAGAAATTCAATCTTTTCCATTCACTTTCCAATTCAACTTTTTGTGCTTATTTAAATTCTGCTTAATTTTTTTGTTGCATGACACACTCGAACTTTTTTAAATTGAATTCTGACTGGTGATGATTCTACCCCTTCATGTTTCAGTTCCAGCCTGTTTAACACTTCACCCTGTTGCCAGCGTGCCCATTAAAAAAAGGGATACCAGAATTTTTCCTTTCAATGATTTGTAGGTCAGACGCGTTGCGGTTCGCGTGCGGACCCTTTAATTAGACTTATTTTATATCTTGCCCTTTATTTCTTACAAATTCTGTGATATCTCTTGCAATAGAATTTGGCTCTGGGTCTTCAAGACTATACTCAGCACAATGAACAAAATCTTAAAAGAAATTTAAAAAAAAATGAAAAAAAAATGGAGCCGCACCGCGTCTGGCTACATTGAATAATTATGATTCTTTTGGGAAACAAAATATAACTTTGCTTTTTTTTAAATTATTAAACAGCAACACTGAAATTTGCCGTGTTTTAATCTCTTAAATACTTTTGAAACGTTTTTTTTTTCAGTTTGCAGGTTCCTAAATAATAAAAAATAAACTTGCTTTAATTTTGTATACTATTTTTTTTTGTTGAAAAATGGTTATTTTTGATATATTTAATCTCTTCGAAAATTTTTCATGCTGTGCAAACACCGAGGAAAGTTTCTGCACCGAGAAATGGTGTAAAAAAGTTCAACAACATCAAACAAGCAAAATGAAGCAGAAAATTCCAAAAATTTACAGTCGTAAGTAGAAAGAAAGACAAAACTTTAACAGTTTATGCTTAAAGCCAACCTTAACAACATGAGTTTTGAACTTTGAACATTGAACCTTGATCTTGTATTGAACGCTTTTACAAAATATATAAACAGAAACATTCCCATCCAAAAAGCATTGTTCAAAAAGCAAAGATCTTGAACTTATATTTTTTGAAGCATTACTTAAAAATTGTGCCAATTATAAATTACGGGAAAACCCTTTCGTAAAAGATTGGGTCCAGCAAGTTGCAACCTTTCATATATTCATTATTTTTTATTTAAAAAAAAATTACAAAAGCGTTCGATTCAATTGCTGCCAATCCGGCTCTTTCGGTTGGCTTATTTGGCCCAATTTCGAATCGAAGAAGAAATCTCCCCAAAAAACGCATTCTCTGAAAATTTGCCGCCGTGCATTTTTTTATGAAAGCCACAAATAATACTTACAGTCCTTTTCCGCACGTCTCATTGATAGTCTCCTCGACCCATGTGGTAAATCCGAGCTCATTGCAGCTATGCTTAATGACATATTTGAAGTCAAGACCCTATAATTATTTGGAAAATTTTATAGCAGAAAATTGGTGAAATACCCTTGAAAAATACTCCTCTTCATATATGGCCACTTTGACAATTTGCTCCTTATAAGGAGCATATGATGAGCCATTAGTCTGTCCCAAGTAATCGTCAGGAGTTCTTAAAAGCTAGAATTTCAGAAAACGATAATATAGAAAAAAAACTTACATACTATCCAATTCCCACATGTGAATTTTATAGTACCACGTTCTGTTGAGATTACAATTCATTCGATAAAGAAATGTGACATTGTACGATTCATTGCAATAGCATTTTTTCAATTCATAGACTTGGAGCAAAAATGGCGCAAATAAAATTGTTGGTAATAATAATATAAGAACAGCAGTGCACCTCATTCTTGAGAGGTGAATGTGGGTGAACTATTTCGACACAGTCGAAATGCTGTCATGACAGCTGTGAGATCAGTTGTCGGTTTTGATAATTTATTAATATCGAAAAAAATTCGCTTGAAAAATTGGTGCTGGCTGAGAGGAGTCGAAAATCTCGGTTAGAAACTGAGTTTTGTCATACTTTCAAACATGTGGTCGACGCAAGCAGGGTGAAATTAATATGTGGGTTTGAAACACTGCTTCCACAGAACTCGAAATTTGAAGGAAGCATTGATAAGCAAAATTATGTTACTTTCTTTCAGATGTGAATTCCGGTAATTATAAATGTCACACAATTTGTAGTTGAAAGAACGACTTATTCAAAAAAGTTTAAAGACGGTGCATTTTTTTCATATTTCTATTATGTTAATGAAAACTTCGTTCCGATTATTGCTGGAAATTTCAAATACTCCATATTTCCTCAAAAAACCAACGAACACATTTGTTTCAGTGAATTGAAGGCATTTATATTCACAATACTTCTTTTAAATGTATATTTGAAAAACGCTTAATATCACGTTGCTCGATTTGAGCCTTTAAATCAAGGGAGGCCTTGTTGTTGTTTTTTTTAATTGTTATTTATTTTAAAAGCGAAATGAAAAATATATACATTTGTTAGTTATTTTAAAAACAAGCAATAATTTGAAAATGAATATGGAACTATCTAGAACACATTATTTCCGTAAGCGGCTCTTCCGCATCTCACGCTGTTAATATCAGCTAATTTCTTCACGTCATATCCAAGATTCGGTCCAAAGCTGCGTTCCTTCAAAAGGGACTTTGCTCACTATCAGGACTCGAACAACAAACATATTGAATTTGCTCTTCGAGAATACTTTTCGGAGCTTTTCGGTGACAATGCCGAGAGCCCGACCGTCGTAATCAATTGTGAAGAAAAAACTAGCGGCGGAATTCAGGTATGTGTTTTTTTTTTTGAAAAATATGTTTTAGGGTGGTGTAATCGGGAATGTTTCGAATGAGGGAAACGTTTTGGGGCAAGTTCTACGTAGAGGTGCACATGGACGTGTATCCATTTAATCAAAACGCATATTTGCTTAAAAATTTTGATATATAAATTGCTTTGAATTGATCAATCTTTCGCCAAAAGTTCATTTTGTGACGAATGTTCATCAGTTTATAATTGTCAGATTTCTCCGGAACTGTTTCGGAGAATACTTGTATTGAAGGGTTTGCACTCAGCAAATTACGGAATTGATGTCAACGGGAAATTGAGCATTATTGATTTCAAACTATATTTAATGTTACATTTTTATTAGTTGTACTATTTTCATTTAGGTCGGCGACAAATATGGGAAGGCAGAGAAATATTGAGCAGGCGAAAACGGCGGAACGGCAGCGCGTCAATGTTTTGAATCACGGCAGCTCGAATCGACGATAACAGTCGCTGTCGATTCCATATTCCGACAGAAACAGCTCTTTCGCAAGAAAGGAATCATTGTAACAAATTCGCAAAAATATCGATTATATTTCTACCTCGTTGTAATTCTATAACGGAATCGATAAATACTGTGCCACTAAAAAATTTGTGATTTTATAGTGTAAAATATATTTGCACGAACATTTAAAAAGTTATATTTGTATTTATTTCTTGATTATAATAAAGAAACGACGGATATAGGAATCGGTAAAAAATATGTAGGCATTGGCATGACTGTTTTCAGCTCTTCCAGATCATCGACGGGAGTTTCTCTGTCACTTCCCTTTTAGTCAAATCGCTCCATTTCAAATGGTGTTTAAAATTAAAGAAAAGGTCTTGGTGCGCTGTGTGCACCTTTAACCTATTGTGCTCGTTAATCTACACCTTTAATTTTGCTCCAAGACCACTTCAATGGTTTTTTTTGCATTTAGCCAATATTCTGCACTTAAACAACACCCCCGACAATACTCATTATTAAATTAGAAAAATAAATAAATTGATGTAGTTTGTTTATTATTTTTTTTCGGTAACAAATATTCAAGTTTCGGAAATTAAATGCCATATCTCTCATGCGATTTCCTTCTTTTAATTGTATGTTACGTTGTTTCGAAATATTTGCGAGAAGTGGAGATAACATTTGAAAAAAATTGTAAGGACGTTGTGATGCCCATAATTTAGCGTAAATCGACAACAAGCGTCTCGCTGTCTGCCGCGCTCTCTCCCAGTGTTCACACTATATGCGTGTATGTGTGTATGTGTATTGCGAAATAGTATAAGGTGTGAATTTCGAAATGTTTCGAAATTCATTTTTGCACTAATAGCGATGGTATGGCCGTTACGGCTGCGGCCATCTAGATCTCTAACAATCTACTGCCTCACATTCTCTAACACCAAAAAATGGGAATATTGCGAAATATTGAAGAAAAAACGGTGAAAACGTTTTGATGCCCATGATTTAGCGTAAATCGACAACCAACCTCTAATTGTCTGCTTATATGCCCTTCAAACATCAGTAACGGAGACGAAAATAACGACAACCATCATTGATAAGCCGTTCGATTGAAAATGTGTTAATGAAAGAAGAAACAGAAAGTTATTTTAATTATGGAGGAAATGACGTGATTTTTGTGAGCTGATTTTGATTGCAATCATTGATTCTGAACAATGGCGAATTTCTGACAACTATTTGAAATTTTCAACAGCGTTTAAAAAAAAATGACACAAGGATAGATTTTCAACGCTACATCTGCTTTCTGCGGTCAGTATCAAGTCAAGAACAGACGTGTGAATAATGGAATAATTGAAATTTGAATATTTTGTTATAAACACGATTCTAAATGGCGGAATATAAGAGCGTTTTATTTCGAGGGGACCAATTAATTGGCAGCGGGCAGCATTTAAAATTTTCAAATTCGCCTCCCTGACTATATACGATCAATCAAAAAATAACCCCTCTCTTCGTTTTTCTCATTGAGATATAAAATTTTGGCAGTACAATTGCACCTGCATCTTCGAAGAAATAATTGCCATATCGTCTATATTCAGCCCTTCTAATGCTTGAAAATCAAGACTCAATCCAGTAGCTCTATGAATTGAGTTTGAAGTGATATTTTCAACCCCCAAATTTGGCATTTCAGTGTGTTGTGATTATAAACTTGTTTTTAGCTGCCTGCCAAAAAATTTGGTTTCAGGTGATTTTTCAATTAGATTCTTTTTGTGTGATTGTTTCCAAAAAAGGTTAAAAAAACAAAAAGACTGACTTTTGCTTATCATTATCACAAAATATATTCCCATCTTTTCTGATAAGCTGATTGGGAACTTGCCGAATTTTATCCATTCCAAATAAAAACAAAGTTGAAATTTGCCATAGTAAAGCTCCTTCATTCCGAGTGTTATCAGCGTGTAGGCACTTCCGAGAAGTTTAATTTATAAGCGCAGGGTAGTAAATTGATGCGCTGATGCATTTTGGTTTATTTCGAGACTTGCTCTTTGGTTTTCCTAAATGGAAAATTAGGCGATCTTGAAATTTTGCTTAAAATTGTTCTCGAATATTATGCGTAAGGATCTCCCCCACCCCCACGATTTTCCGGGTTGCAGACAATTTTTGTGAAGCAGTCAAACAAATCTTACCAAATACCCTTCAAAAACAATCCAATTAAGACGAAGCCGCATTCTCCGGCACGTTTTTGATTCGCTCCTCAACCAAAAATTAAACGACATGTTAGGATTTCAATAAAAAAACAAAACAAAACGAATCGCGGGACAAAAAGGCCCCATTACAATCGCGTCGGTGACGCGACGTTTAATTTTGTCGGGAGGCCACCGAACAAATTCACACAATATTTATTGTCTTTCTTGACGCAAAATTCAATTCGAATATTGCACGAAAATGCCTATAGACGGCACAATAACCGGCCATCTGTGTTCTTTTTTGTCCCTCAAAATCACTTGATCCCATTAGAGCAAAATAAAAAGGGTTGAGCCACAAGCAGATGGACGCCACGTGCTGGCTCTATTGTGTCAACTTTGGTCTTGCGCAAATTCCATTTGAATCCCATAAATTCCAACACCACCTAATTAAAAATCACCTAAGATTTACTAGATAAAATTTAAAGCAATTTTAAAGAATACAAACCGAAATTGACACTTCCCCGTAATTTTCTCTGTCGACAATCTCTAATATCCATAGATGGCCAGACGATGGAAAATTGTGAGAAATATTCATTTTTCCGTGTAGCCACCACCCATAAAAACGGCATTGTCTTGTATTCCGCGATATTTTTTGAACGTTTTCCAATGGTTTTATATGAATTTTTAGAATGAAAAATTCAAATTGATTGTCAAAATCTCATCTCCTTGCTTCTTCCAAATTTTGTAGACAATGAACGGTGTAGAAATGAAATATGCATTTCAACGTCACCGCATTGATATGAATATTGTAGCAAGAAACAATTCCGACTAGCGAAATATTGATCCCAAACATTCGCCCAATGTTTTTCCGTTCTGCTATCTCAATTTTGTCTCGTTGTTGTGATAAATAGAGGAAGAGGGTGCATTTTAAAGAAATGCGCCGAAATTGTTCGAAATGAGTAGAGGCATTAGCATGCACCTCTTATCAACACGCACTTACTCATTGGTTAGTAAACCTCTTGGATACGTTAATTCTCTCCGCAAAAGCATACAGAATCCAACGCATTTCATCTATCTTCTTTCATTTTCATTCTTATCTTTCTCTTAAAACATTGCAGCTCACTTTTTTTTCCATAATAAGCTCGAACTACAGTAGGGACTACTAGATGATATATATTGTCGAAGTCAAACGACTTGACGAAATTTTAAAAACTATTGGCTATGTGCCAATGCGTCTCGAGTCAGTGAGAAGTACTGCGTACATTGCATTATAGTGTACGTGCATTTAATATTCAGTCAACGAAAAATTGAAATCTACACTCATTTCGCCAATTTTGAAGGCCCCGCCTCCCTTCAGTCGTATGACATCAATAATATATATAAATGTATATGAGACTGTAGGAAATATTTCCCTCCGATTCGCGCCCGCCCCTTTCTGGTATGATTTATGACTCATAATTTTCTCGGCCGCATGTCGCTCGCTCGAAGTTGGTGCTCCTGTATCGCGCCTCTCATTTATTCATGTTGCACCCCATCTCTCGCCCGATCGGCGAGACGCTCCACCCCAAAATTCGACAATTGTTTAGCTGTAAGGTATTGCGCGTTGTTTTTCATAAACGCACGCGCGCTCATTCTCCTCACCACGACGCTGCCCGTTTTTTTTCGAATTCTCCATATTTTCTAGAAATTTTAAACAAATCATCCGTGTGAATGAGGACTTCCCTAGAAGAGAATGTCTGATCGTATTGAGGTCCAAAATCGAAACAAAATCAATTTCCAATATTCATTTTTCCGCTCGCGGGCCCTTTTCCCCTTTCCCAGGCATTTTTTTTTTCGTTGCGTCAACCATTAAACGCGGCAGCGTATGAATGGTAGCGGCAAAATTATGACGCATTCGTTTTCCTCACTTCCAATATTCAAAAAAAAAAGATTTTCGATGGAAATAAAGGGGGGTGGTTTGCCGGTAGATGATTCCAGTCATTTCCAAATATGTATGTTTTTCGAGTAGGTCTCCTTTGTTTTCCAGAAAACCGCACTTATGTTGTTATTCAAAAGAACAAAGAAAAAATGTTTTATTGCGGCCGATCGTTGTTTGCACGGTAAAACCTAATCATCGTCGATTTGCAAATCGAATCAAGGCGTTAATTGCACCGTGCGCTCCATTCGATCAACGTTCGTGTCCAAGCAATCCCACAAGTGTTTGATTCTCACGATCGATGAAGAATGGTGTTTTGCTCGTACACAAATTGAATCATCTAGTTAATTGCTCGGTGATCCATTCTATCAGCAACATCAATTTTCCACACTTGTTCGATTCACACGATAAATGAGCAAAAGAAAATGTTATGTTCGTACGCAAGGCGCACGCATGCCATTAATTTTATGTGATTTTTTTAATGTGGAGAGCCAATATTTTCTACCGTTCAGATCAATGATGAAAAATAATTATTTTTAACAGTTTGTAGTTTTTGTTTTCCTATAATATTCGAAAAATCGGGATGGATAGAAATTTAAATAGTGACGGCGGTAATTCCAAAATTTTCAAGTATGTGGTACTAATGACAAATCCTACCTAAGGCATTTGGAATGGATCCAACTTTAGATAATTGGAAGAGGGATGGAATGAGACAGATGAATCAAGTGTTCGATTCTCGTCTAAAATTGTTTTTGCTGACCTAGGGCGTCAAAAAATATTTTTTTTGTGACGCTGGCATTTAAAAACTACAAATTTTCTAATTTTATACAATTTGGTAAAAAAAATATAAATTTCAACATTAACTTCATCACCAATGTGACGCTCGATGATACGTTCCAAATTAATTGACCCAATTTTTGAATGCCCGCCCCATATATTCATTTTAAAGGTTTCATCTGAATGACTTTTTGTACATCTCATTAGAACAGTGAGGAATCGTTGAGATAATGTACAACGGCAATGAGGGTAATCATGGGGCCGCCCAAAATAATATGGTAATTCTTTTGTATCGTCTCATGCTTCATGAGCTTGCAGGCGCCGAATGGTTTTCCGGGACATTGGCAGCAAAATATGTATCCACCAGAAAATCAAATGGTATTTCAAAAATTGATATTTAATATATTATTAACTGAATTTCAGCGGCAACATCCATATCAGGGAGCTGAACAGGCCCATTACCAACGAATGCAAATCCAACATCAGCAGCAGCAACAGCAGCAACATCAGCAGCTGCAACAGCAACATCAACAGCTGCAACAGCAGCAGCAGCAGCATCAGCATCAGCATCAGCAGCAGCAGCAGCATCAGCACCAGCAGCAGAATCAGCATCAGCAGCAGCAGAATCAGCATCAGCAGCAGCAGCAGCATCAACATATGAATCAAACTGGGATCAATCAATACCACTTTGTAAGTGAATTTAAGTTCTCGATTTTCCTAATAGATGTATCGGCGACTGCTGTACGCGGATAGATTGACGTGGATGCTCCTTTCTTTTGGTCTCGCACGGACTATCGGTTCGATAATTTTTTAATCTAACGACGTTAGAAATTCCAAGAAATGCCAAACTCACCAAGAAAAAATAAATCTTTTACGTGAAAACAGCAAAATAAGCGTTCACACGTGGCAAAGCGCTTGCGCGTAAATCTACCCGCGTGCAGCACTCGTCGGAGGCCTACTATAAACTATTTTATTTAATTGCCATTGACAAAATTGAAATTGCAGCAACAACAGCAATACCACGGCATGGCTGGCGGCAATTACGCCCAAACCATGGAGCAACGCCACGCTGCAATGCTCCAATATCGGCACAATCCACAAATGCTTCATACTGATAGTCGTCATTACCAAATGCGAAATGTAAGAATTTCTTTTAGAATGAGCTTTATGATCTTGGTTAAATTTTCAATATTCTTCAAAAAAAATTGTGGAAACTTTTATTTGTTTTGCTCACTTCCAGTAATTTGAATTTCAAAACATTTGGGTGAGTAGAAAGATGACGGTCGGGATTTCGAGAGATTCTGATACCACCTGCATCAAGCAGCCCTGATAGTTCAATCCGATCGCATTATCCCGGATCTTTGCCTGATCTGATTGCTTAGGGTACTGGTTTGGTCTGGAAGGTCTATTCCAACACAACTACAGTACAATTAGAAACAAATACCTCCTCAAAAATTTTGATTTGGGTAAAAATATTTTCTGTCAACCAAGAATATTGGTATGGCTGATCCGAGCCTGGCGAAAGACGTCGTGACCGCTTGGGGATCTGGGCAATGTCTTTTCGAAACCGGTCTTTCGGTCTGGGTTAGTGGCATGGCTTAACTTTTGTTAATCTGCCGCCCTGGTGGAACATCCAATGCGTCACCAATATACTTGAAATAGTTGACAAGATCAACGAATTTTCAGCAGCAACAATTTCCGGCAATGGGTGGTTTCTACCAAGGATATCAAAATGAGTATATGCGAAGACGAATGAATCAAATGCAGCAATACGGCCAGATTGCTCGAAATCGTCAATTTCCACAACAACCGGTTAGCAGAGTTTTCAATAATGAAGTTCTCATTTTGAGTTGGAGAGAAATGATAACTCACATTTTGGATAGTCATTGTCATATTCATTTCGCTTTTTATTCCAGCACCAACTGCATAACCCATATTACGCTAACACAAAAGAAAATGGTGTGCAAGGTTTTGCGCCACATTTTCAGCAGCAAGCTCAACCGCCGCATGCATATCCGCATGTCGCTCCGGCACCCTATCAAACTGCACAACAACTGGTAGGCATTTTGTTGCCTTTTCAATAAGTCGAGCACTAGTAACAATATTTTTTTTAAGCAGCAGAATTTCGAATATGAGCTGCGTTCCGCGTTCTACAATAGAAACCAGGGTACTGGACTTGAGTATAACCGTCAAATAAATGATGGGCAACGCACCATGCTTGATAACACCGGAAATACAGCACCGAAAGCTCAGACGACGGTAAAGTTTGATTAATATCGCTGCAGCTTGAATTCTAGATTTACAGTACAATTACGGTAATGTGTTTTTCAGATGTATCAACCGTATTATGGGAATAACAATGCACAAGGATATCAAATGGTTCAAGAACAGCAAATGCAGCAACAAGTGGGATATCAGGTGCCAACAGGATTCCATCAAAATGAAACCGAAATTGTGAGTAACATTCTCAATTAATTTTAACTATCTGATGGCATTTCAGGCAAGTAATAACACGAACAACCCGCAGATGTTTCAGCAGCAAAGCGTAATTGCCATATTGTGATTCTAAACTGATTGGAATAATTCAGATGCCTGTGTTTCAAGAAGCTCATCAACCATATTCATTCGCCCAACAGGAACGCATCAACTCCGAATTTGGAGCCAGTCATTTGCAGGACGCTTCACAGCAGCAAAATGAATTAGAACATGGAGCCATTCCAGTGCCTTCCTCCCAACAACAGCAATTCATAGAATCAACCACGCTGAGTTGCTCACAGGCTCCCACTTCATCTGCGGTACTAATTATTTATTGATTAACTATTTTCCAATTACAGACGACAAAGCGACCTTTATATGAAAAGAAGATTTTGGATGACAAAAGCGACAAAAAAGAATATGAGGTAATGCAATAACACTTAAAACTAAACAATTTGAAAAAATTATGTTATATATTGTCGGAGGCAAACGACTTGACAAAGTTTTAAAAATTATTGGCTATGTGCCAATGCGTCTCGACACTGTGAGAAGTACTGCGTACATTGCATTATAGTGTACGTGCATTTAATATTCAGTCAACGAAAAATTGAAATCTACACTCATTTCGCGAATTTGAAGGCCCCGCCTCCCTTCAGTTGTTTAACGCCGACAAAATTATGAATCAATATTTACAACGAATTCCGTTAAAGATGAATGTAAATCTTGAAATTGCGCTTGAAATAATTCACGATGATCTAATGGGAAAAATGGCCCAAAACATGGAAAGACTTTCGAAGGTATGAGTTTACAAGCTCGATTTTGATATTTTTTTGTTAAACCTGAATTTTGAAATTCGAACTCATTTTCAGGAAAACGGAATGCCAAGCGTAGCTAATTATTCGCAGAATTGGACGAAGGACGGTAGCAAAGAAATGAATAATGTTGCAGCCAACAAGGTAGCCAATCTTCGATCTCTTTCCCTTTTTAAATGAAATATTAAGGTCATTCCACCTCCGGACTTGTCACCACAAAGGTTCGATGATAGCTTAACTCGAGCACCGGAATCTGTTGTTCCATTGGAAAATGCTGGTTTATCGAAACATGAGAATTCAAACATTGGAATCAATACAGTCTCTAACGAAGCCAATTCTTGGTTTTATGGAAATTGTGAAGTAGGGAAAATTGAAAAAAAGAACAACTCAAAATAACAAGATTTAACAATTGTTTTCTGCTTACAGAAGAAGAGTACCAATGAGGCGGGAGAAGCGAACATTGGAAAAGATGATCAGAAGTATGAGAGATCTGCCGTTAACGTCGATGAAATCTTGCAAGCTTGTGAAGAACACAGTGAGAGTGACTTTTCTAATGAGTTGAAGGCGAATGATGATGTGGTTATGGTGAGGAATAGCAAGAAAATATATGAAATAATGAAACTTGAAATGAATACAGAATGTGAGCAAAAATGAATGTCATGAGAAGGATGACGGTGAAAACCAGGCAGATGAACAGCAATATTATCAAAATGTGTCCGGAAATCATGACTGCGCTGAACCTGAGACGATTTTGGTTTATAAAAGAAATAGTCAAGCATTTAGGAAACTACTATGTATTTATAGGAAACGGCTGAACACGATTCTGCACTGAGATATGAGAAAGAGGACGAACATAATCGAAATATTCAGGAAATCGTTGAGGTAGAATGAATTTCTTTTCGATTTTTTAAATCTGAAAGAAATAAAATGAAAACCCTTATAGGAGTTGAAAAAAGCAGAAAAATCGTGGCTCGAGATTCAAAATAATGGGAAATTATTGCTAGATTCAAGCGTTAAGGTCAGCCAAAACAAAAGTCTGTTTTCAAAGATTGAAAATTTCAGATAAATGATGAGAGTGTCGAGAGGGCAGCTATTAACGATGATCCACAAGCAACTCAGGATAATAATGATGAAACTAGTGAATCAATTGCGTTTGAAAAGGAATTGTCCAATGATCACGAATCCTGTGAATCAGGAACACCTAAATCGCAATTGAAGGAGACAGCTAATGAAGAGGTTCACTCTTCTTTGGAGGAGGGATCAAAAGATGAGGATCACGAGGTGAGAAATAGGAAAAGCAAAGGAAAGTTTAATTATTACGACCAAATGTGTGAAAAGCCAACACATCAGACGGTCTGGCCGGCACGAGCCAAACCAAATAATATCGGAGGTGAAAAATGATTGTCTTTCTAACAAGTTTCATTATTTCATATATTGTAACATCACTAATTTATTATAGATTACTATTTATTTCCTATATTTATTGTTTTCTTAATTAATTTCGGTTGGGGGCTAGCCCGAGTCAATCCGAGATCAGGCCAGGCCAGTCCTGCATTCCAGACCCGCCAAGCCGGCTCGAACCAATGACACGGGGTGTATTCTTTCCCATTTCAATTCAATGCAATGACTTAAAATTTAGCGGTAAAAATTATTCTTAGTTTTTTAGAAATAGCTACGATAGTTCCAAAAATTTTGAGAAAAACGAGCCGATTAGAATTCCCCGGCATATACACACTGATTTAAGCCTAATAGAAGAAGCCACGTGGATTCGTAGTTATTTTCATGAAAAACTATGATCCGATAGAAGATTATTTTAGGAAGCAGAAGAAACAGAGGATGCACCAGAGATGAATGAGAAACAAGGAGAAGTAGAACAAATTGCTCAAAACATTTCTGAAGTAATCAAGAAAACCCAATTAAAATGTTAATTATCTATTTGAATTGTTATAGAATGAAAACGTAATCGAAGATATTCCGATTATTTGCGATGACTCAAGCAACTCAGTTGAATCGGAAAATCCCGATATTGAGGATCAAAGTGTTGGCGAAGCGAACATTGACACAAAAGAGGATCGTGTAGAAGAACAAGAAAAACAGTGGACTATTAATGATTCCAGCGAGGTAATATGCATTCCTTCTTGTAATTTTTATTTTCACACGATTTGAAAAACAATAATTCTGATAAGCAATTCGTTGTAGGAGTTCTGCGCTATGGTAGAAGAGAAGCCACAGGAATGTCAAGAGGATAGAGCTGCTTTTCACAATCACAACGAATTTGCTGCTGACCAAGTTAACCATAATGACGATGTCCCTTTTAACAGCACCGAAACGGAAAAGAGTATTGAAGCTTTTCTCTCCAAAAATCTTGAAAGTGGAATATTTATCGAGCCAGTTCAAGCACAATTGCAAGCGAATAGGAAACGCTCGATGCAGGTAGACCTTTTCTTCAAAGAAGTTTCTAAGCGATTATTTTACTTAAAAAATGATAAAAATTTAATTTTTTATAGGACACGTCGTTTGATGACGCACTATTAGAAAAATCGAAAAGCGATGCACAGATCACAGCCGAAGGTCGATTGGTAATTAGCTTTATTGATTACAGGAATGTTTTCTTAAATTTTAAAACAATTCTTATAGGAGCAGACAAACGAAATTCAGCCATCGCACAAGGTTCTTAAATTGGAGACAAACTCGGATGGGCCGATTATTTGCATTTCGAATGCCCCCATTCCGCAAGCCGAATCTCCAAATCAATATATTGGTGTCCCTCATTCTGACGTCATTGGATCGTCGGATTTGAACGTGGGACTCGAATCTCCCAGTTGGGAAAATGATTCCGAAAATGACCAATTAGAAAAATCGGTATGGCTGATTTCATCCCAAATAATTATAATAATCGTATCCAAAACACATAATCCTCTTGTCCATATCGAGATATTAAATTCATGAGCATAATTACAGAATAACTTCACAGAATCTTAGTATTACTACCCACAATTTTTAATGGACACATTTAAAAAAAACTCCCGTTTTGCATTATTCCTGTAAAAAAGCTATGATTGAAAATGAATAATAGGAAATAACTCAAAATGGTTTTTACAGAGTCATGACGACCAACAAGAAGAGCAACTCGCTGTTGAAGTTGTTGTTGAGGTAAATCTTATTCATTTACAACTTGTTGTGCTTGTAAACACAATGAAAACTTTTAAGTAGTCTGATAAAACCCTTATAGGAGTTGTGCGACAACGTGGAAAAAGCCGAAGAATCGTGGCTCGAGATCCGAAATAATGGCAAATTATTGCTGGATTCAAACGATAAGGTCAGCCACAACAAAAGACTGTTTTCAAAGATTGAAAATTTCAGATAAATGATGAGAGTGTCGAGAGGGCAGCTATTAACGATGATCCACAAACAATCCAGGATAATAATGACGAACCTAGTGAATCAATTGCGTTTGAAAAGGAATTGTCCATTAATTGCGAATCCTGGGAAGCAGGAACACCAAAATTGCAATCGGAGACATCTAAGGAAGAGGTTCACTTGTCGGAGGTGAAGAATTACTGTTTTATAACAAGGCTGATTCAAGAACAAGTGAAAATAAAAAGATTTAACAATTGTTGCCTGTTTACAGAAGGAGAGTACCAATGAGGCGGGAGAAGAAAACGTTGGAAAGGATGATCAGAAGGATGAGAGATCTGAGGTTAAAGTCGATGAAATCATGCAAGCTCGTGAAGGACAGAATGACGGTGAAAACCAAGCAGATGAGCAACATACCCAAATAGTTTCTGCACTGAGATATGAGAAAGAGGAAGAACATAATCGAGATGTTCACGAGATCGTTGAGGTGAATTACATTTCCTGTCGATTTTTTGAGCTCGATAAAAAATAGATTTAAAAGATATATAAAGGAAAACCATTGTAGGAGTTATGCGACAACGTGGAAAAAGCAGAAGAATCGTGGCTCGAGATTCAAAATACTGGAAAATTATTGCTGGATTCAAGCGATAAAGTCGTCCAAAACTAAAGTCTGCTTTCAAAAAAAATGAAAATTTCAGAATAATGATGAAAGTGTCGAGATGGCAGCTATTAACGATGATTCACAAGCAACTCAGGATAATGATGATGAAACTAGTGAATCAATTGAGTCTAAAAATGAATTGTCCAATGATCACGAATCCTGTGAATCAGGAACACCTAAATCGCAATTGGAGACATCTAATGAAGAGATTCACTCTTCTTTGGAGGAGGCATCAAAAGATGAGGATCACGAGGTGAGAAATAGGAAAAGTAAAGGAAAGTTTAATTATTACGACCAAATGTGTGAAAAGCCAACACATCAGACCGTCTGGCCGGCACGAGCCAAGCCAAATAATATCGGAGGTGAAAAATGACTGTCTTTCTAACAAAGCTGATTCAAGAATAACTTAAAATAAAAAGATGAAACAATTGATATCTGTTTACAGAAGGAGAGTACCAATAAAGGAAGAGAAGCAAACGTTGATCAGAAGGATGAGAGATCTGACGTTAAGGTCGATGAAACCCTGCAAGCTCGTGAAGAACACAGTGAGAGTGACTGTTCTAATGAATTGAAGGAGGATGATGATGTGGTTATGGTGAGGAATAGCAAGAAAATATATGAAATAATGAAACTTGAAATGAATACAGAATGTGAGCAAAAATGAATGTCATGAGAAGGATGACGGTGAAAACCAGGCAGATGAACAGCAATATTATCAAAATGTGTCCGGAAATCATGACTGCGCTGAACCTGAGACGATTTTGGTTTATAAAAGAAATAGTCAAGCATTTAGGAAACTATTATGTATTTATAGGAAACGGCTGAACACGATTCTGCACTGAGATATGAGAAAGAAGAAGAACATAATCGAGATGTTCAGGAGATCGTTGAGGTAACCTTGGTGATTTTTTACGCTCAAAAAAATTTAAAACTTATAAAAAGAGAACCATTGTAGGAGTTGTGCGACAACGTGGAAAAAGCAGAAAATTCACGATTCGAGATCCCCAATAATGAAAAATTATTTCTGGATTCAAGCGATAAGGCGATCTTGCCAAATTTGAGTGAAAATGAGAGTCAAGAAAAGGATGACACTGAAAATCAAGCAGATGAACATATTCAAAATGTTTCCGGTCATCATGATTGCGCTGAACTGGACGAGAATGATGATATGGACAAGGTGAGGATTGGCAATAAAAGAAATTACAAATTGTGTTGATTTGAAATAATCCAAACTCGCCATGATAAAAAATGTCACAGATGAAATCGGAAAGGCAATCGATGGATAATCATGAGAACTGTGAAAAAAGTGAACCAACACCGAAATCGCAATTGGAGAAAACATCAAAGGAAGAGGACAATTTGGAAATGGTGAGAAATTAAAAAATCAAAACATAGATTAATTGTTACCAGTCTAATTAACGAGACCAATGTCGTGGATTCATAGTTACTTTTATATTAAAAAAACTATTGTTCAATTGATAATTATTTTAGGAAGCAAAAGAAACAGAGGATGCACCAGAGATGAATGAGAAACAAGGAGAAGTAGAACAAATTGCTCAAAACATTTTTGAAGTAATCAAGAAAACCCAATTAAAATATTACTTATCTATTTGAATTGTTATAGAATGAAAACGTAATCGAAGATATATTTATTTGCTATGACTCAAACAACTCAGTTGAATCGAGCGTTAAGGTCAGCCAAAACAAAAGTCTGTTTTCAAAGATTGAAAATTTCAGATAAATGATGTGAGTGTCGAGATGGCAGCTATTAACGATGATCCACAAGCAACTCAGGATAATAATGATGAAACTAGTGAATCAATTGAGTCTAAAAAGAAATTGTCCGATGATCACGAATCCCGTGAAGCAGGAACACCTAAATCGCAATTGAAGGAGACAGCTAATGAAAAGGTTCACTCTTCTTTGGAGGAGGCATCAAAAGATGAGGATCACGAGGTGAGAAATAGGAAAAGCAAAGGAAAGTTTAATTATTACGACCAAATGTGTGAAAAGCCAACACATCAGACGGTCTGGCCGGCACGAGCCAAACCAAATAATATCGGAGGTGAAAAATGATTGTCTTTCTAACAAGTTTCATTATTTCATATATTGTAACATCACTAATTTATTATAGATTACTATTTATTTCCTATATTTATTGTTTTCTTAATTAATTTCGGTTGGGGGCTAGCCCGAGTCAATCCGAGATCAGGCCAGGCCAGTCCTGCATTCCAGACCCGCCAAGCCGGCTCGAACCAATGACACGGGGTGTATTCTTTCCCATTTCAATTCAATGCAATGACATAAAATTTAGCGGTAAAAATTATTCTTAGTTTTTTAGAAATAGCTACGATAGTTCCAAAAATTTTGAGAAAAACGAGCCGATTAGAATTCCCCGGCATATACACACTGATTTAAGCATAATAGAAGAAGCCACGTGGATTCGTAGTTATTTTCATGAAAAACTATGATCCGATAGAAGATTATTTTAGGAAGCAGAAGAAACAGAGGATGCACCAGAGATGAATGAGAAACAAGGAGAAGTAGAACAAATTGCTCAAACCATTTTTGAAGTAATCAAGAAAACCCAATTAAAATATTAATTATCTATTTGAATTGTTATAGAATGAAAACGTAATCGAAGATATTCCGATTATTTGCGATGACTCAAGCAACTCAGTTGAATCGGAAAATCCCGATATTGAGGATCAAAGTGTTGGCGAAGCGAACATTGACACAAAAGAGGATCGTGTAGAAGAACAAGAAAAACAGTGGACTATTAATGATTCCAGCGAGGTAATATGCATTCCTTCTTGTAATTTTTATTTTCACACGATTTGAAAAACAATAATTCTGATAAGCAATTCGTTGTAGGAGTTCTGCGCTATGGTAGAAGAGAAGCCACAGGAATGTCAAGAGGATAGAGCTGCTTTTCACAATCACAACGAATTTGCTGCTGACCAAGTTAACCATAATGACGATGTCCCTTTTAACAGCACCGAAACGGAAAAGAGTATTGAAGCTTTTCTCTCCAAAAATCTTGAAAGTGGAATATTTATCGAGCCAGTTCAAGCACAATTGCAAGCGAATAGGAAACGCTCGATGCAGGTAGACCTTTTCTTCAAAGAAGTTTCTAAGCGATTATTTTACTTAAAAAATGATAAAAATTTAATTTTTTATAGGACACGTCGTTTGATGACGCACTATTAGAAAAATCGAAAAGCGATGCACAGATCACAGCCGAAGGTCGATTGGTAATTAGCTTTATTGATTACAGGAATGTTTTCTTAAATTTTAAAACAATTCTTATAGGAGCAGACAAACGAAATTCAGCCATCGCACAAGGTTCTTAAATTGGAGACAAACTCGGATGGGCCGATTATTTGCATTTCGAATGCCCCCATTCCGCAAGCCGAATCTCCAAATCAATATATTGGTGTCCCTCATTCTGACGTCATTGGATCGTCGGATTTGAACGTGGGACTCGAATCTCCCAGTTGGGAAAATGATTCCGAAAATGACCAATTAGAAAAATCGGTATGGCTGATTTCATCCCAAATAATTATAATAATCGTATCCAAAACACATAATCCTCTTGTCCATATCGAGATATTAAATTCATGAGCATAATTACAGAATAACTTCACAGAATCTTAGTATTACTACCCACAATTTTTAATGGACACATTTAAAAAAAACTCCCGTTTTGCATTATTCCTGTAAAAAAGCTATGATTGAAAATGAATAATAGGAAATAACTCAAAATGGTTTTTACAGAGTCATGACGACCAACAAGAAGAGCAACTCGCTGTTGAAGTTGTTGTTGAGGTAAATCTTATTCATTTACAACTTGTTGTGCTTGTAAACACAATGAAAACTTTTAAGTAGTCTGATAAAACCCTTATAGGAGTTGTGCGACAACGTGGAAAAAGCCGAAGAATCGTGGCTCGAGATCCGAAATAATGGCAAATTATTGCTGGATTCAAACGATAAGGTCAGCCACAACAAAAGACTGTTTTCAAAGATTGAAAATTTCAGATAAATGATGAGAGTGTCGAGAGGGCAGCTATTAACGATGATCCACAAACAATCCAGGATAATAATGACGAACCTAGTGAATCAATTGCGTTTGAAAAGGAATTGTCCATTAATTGCGAATCCTGGGAAGCAGGAACACCAAAATTGCAATCGGAGACATCTAAGGAAGAGGTTCACTTGTCGGAGGTGAAGAATTACTGTTTTATAACAAGGCTGATTCAAGAACAAGTGAAAATAAAAAGATTTAACAATTGTTGCCTGTTTACAGAAGGAGAGTACCAATGAGGCGGGAGAAGAAAACGTTGGAAAGGATGATCAGAAGGATGAGAGATCTGAGGTTAAAGTCGATGAAATCATGCAAGCTCGTGAAGGACAGAATGACGGTGAAAACCAAGCAGATGAGCAACATACCCAAATAGTTTCTGCACTGAGATATGAGAAAGAGGAAGAACATAATCGAGATGTTCACGAGATCGTTGAGGTGAATTACATTTCCTGTCGATTTTTTGAGCTCGATAAAAAATAGATTTAAAAGATATATAAAGGAAAACCATTGTAGGAGTTATGCGACAACGTGGAAAAAGCAGAAGAATCGTGGCTCGAGATTCAAAATACTGGAAAATTATTGCTGGATTCAAGCGATAAAGTCGTCCAAAACTAAAGTCTGCTTTCAAAAAAAATGAAAATTTCAGAATAATGATGAAAGTGTCGAGATGGCAGCTATTAACGATGATTCACAAGCAACTCAGGATAATGATGATGAAACTAGTGAATCAATTGAGTCTAAAAATGAATTGTCCAATGATCACGAATCCTGTGAATCAGGAACACCTAAATCGCAATTGGAGACATCTAATGAAGAGATTCACTCTTCTTTGGAGGAGGCATCAAAAGATGAGGATCACGAGGTGAGAAATAGGAAAAGTAAAGGAAAGTTTAATTATTACGACCAAATGTGTGAAAAGCCAACACATCAGACCGTCTGGCCGGCACGAGCCAAGCCAAATAATATCGGAGGTGAAAAATGACTGTCTTTCTAACAAAGCTGATTCAAGAATAACTTAAAATAAAAAGATGAAACAATTGATATCTGTTTACAGAAGGAGAGTACCAATAAAGGAAGAGAAGCAAACGTTGATCAGAAGGATGAGAGATCTGACGTTAAGGTCGATGAAACCCTGCAAGCTCGTGAAGAACACAGTGAGAGTGACTGTTCTAATGAATTGAAGGAGGATGATGATGTGGTTATGGTGAGGAATAGCAAGAAAATATATGAAATAATGAAACTTGAAATGAATACAGAATGTGAGCAAAAATGAATGTCATGAGAAGGATGACGGTGAAAACCAGGCAGATGAACAGCAATATTATCAAAATGTGTCCGGAAATCATGACTGCGCTGAACCTGAGACGATTTTGGTTTATAAAAGAAATAGTCAAGCATTTAGGAAACTATTATGTATTTATAGGAAACGGCTGAACACGATTCTGCACTGAGATATGAGAAAGAAGAAGAACATAATCGAGATGTTCAGGAGATCGTTGAGGTAACCTTGGTGATTTTTTACGCTCAAAAAAATTTAAAACTTATAAAAAAGAGAACCATTGTAGGAGTTGTGCGACAACGTGGAAAAAGCAGAAAATTCACGATTCGAGATCCCCAATAATGAAAAATTATTTCTGGATTCAAGCGATAAGGCGATCTTGCCAAATTTGAGTGAAAATGAGAGTCAAGAAAAGGATGACACTGAAAATCAAGCAGATGAACATATTCAAAATGTTTCCGGTCATCATGATTGCGCTGAACTGGACGAGAATGATGATATGGACAAGGTGAGGATTGGCAATAAAAGAAATTACAAATTGTGTTGATTTGAAATAATCCAAACTCGCCATGATAAAAAATGTCACAGATGAAATCGGAAAGGCAATCGATGGATAATCATGAGAACTGTGAAAAAAGTGAACCAACACCGAAATCGCAATTGGAGAAAACATCAAAGGAAGAGGACAATTTGGAAATGGTGAGAAATTAAAAAATCAAAACATAGATTAATTGTTACCAGTCTAATTAACGAGACCAATGTCGTGGATTCATAGTTACTTTTATATTAAAAAAACTATTGTTCAATTGATAATTATTTTAGGAAGCAAAAGAAACAGAGGATGCACCAGAGATGAATGAGAAACAAGGAGAAGTAGAACAAATTGCTCAAAACATTTTTGAAGTAATCAAGAAAACCCAATTAAAATATTACTTATCTATTTGAATTGTTATAGAATGAAAACGTAATCGAAGATATATTTATTTGCTATGACTCAAACAACTCAGTTGAATCGAGCGTTAAGGTCAGCCAAAACAAAAGTCTGTTTTCAAAGATTGAAAATTTCAGATAAATGATGTGAGTGTCGAGATGGCAGCTATTAACGATGATCCACAAGCAACTCAGGATAATAATGATGAAACTAGTGAATCAATTGAGTCTAAAAAGAAATTGTCCGATGATCACGAATCCCGTGAAGCAGGAACACCTAAATCGCAATTGAAGGAGACAGCTAATGAAAAGGTTCACTCTTCTTTGGAGGAGGCATCAAAAGATGAGGATCACGAGGTGAGAAATAGGAAAAGCAAAGGAAAGTTTAATTATTACGACCAAATGTGTGAAAAGCCAACACATCAGACGGTCTGGCCGGCACGAGCCAAACCAAATAATATCGGAGGTGAAAAATGATTGTCTTTCTAACAAGTTTCATTATTTCATATATTGTAACATCACTAATTTATTATAGATTACTATTTATTTCCTATATTTATTGTTTTCTTAATTAATTTCGGTTGGGGGCTAGCCCGAGTCAATCCGAGATCAGGCCAGGCCAGTCCTGCATTCCAGACCCGCCAAGCCGGCTCGAACCAATGACACGGGGTGTATTCTTTCCCATTTCAATTCAATGCAATGACATAAAATTTAGCGGTAAAAATTATTCTTAGTTTTTTAGAAATAGCTACGATAGTTCCAAAAATTTTGAGAAAAACGAGCCGATTAGAATTCCCCGGCATATACACACTGATTTAAGCATAATAGAAGAAGCCACGTGGATTCGTAGTTATTTTCATGAAAAACTATGATCCGATAGAAGATTATTTTAGGAAGCAGAAGAAACAGAGGATGCACCAGAGATGAATGAGAAACAAGGAGAAGTAGAACAAATTGCTCAAACCATTTTTGAAGTAATCAAGAAAACCCAATTAAAATATTAATTATCTATTTGAATTGTTATAGAATGAAAACGTAATCGAAGATATTCCGATTATTTGCTATGACTCACGAGAAAAACAATGGACTATTAAAGATTCCAGCGAGGTAATATGCATTCCTTTTTGTAATTTGTTAAAAAATTAAGAATATAATAATTCTGAAAAGAAAAATTAATATTCGTTTTAGAAATTATGCTTGGAAGAAGACTCTCGGGAATGTCAGCAATTCGCCGGTGATCAGATACCTGCGGATACCCTTTCCGAACACGTGGTTGCGGAAAACAACATGGAAGCTTTTCTCGCTAAGAATAGCGATAATGGACAATTTATGGAGTCAATGCCAGAACAATTAAAACGTCGAAAACGTTTGATTGAGGTAGATATTTTTATTCAACAGAAAAAAAAAACTCGATATCATTGGATATGTAAAGGTTATAAAATTTTTAATTTTCTTTAGGAAGATTCGATGTACGAGCCGCAATCAAAACGCGTGACACAGAATCCTTCCACAAGTTCCGAGAGTCGAGTGATTAGTGCTCAAGATGAATCGGTAAACAAATTCTGTTTTTAAGATTTGAAACTATTATTTTAGGAAAAATCGCTTATTGATGCAACATCGGACCTTGATGAACAGCATCAGGGAATATTGAAAGTAGAGACAGTTTCAGAAATGCAGAATCCTCTTCTACTTCTTAAGTCTCCGGATGTTGACTTCCCTAGAGCATCGCCAAAATCGGTATTTTTCTTAGACTTTTTAACCCCAAAGAATAAAAATGTATTGAACTATGTTAGAAAAAAAAAACTTAAATTTTATTCTCCAATTATAAAAACCATTGTCAGAAGTATTTTTAAATTTGAGAAAAGACTATTATGAATACAATGACGCGTCTTTTTAGGAAAAGAAGAACGATGAGGATTTGCTGTCAAAGTATAACGTAATACAGGTTGATGCGGACATTCAAATACTAGAGGAACCGGGATCTTCAAATTCAAAGACTACTGGCTCAGTCAAACAGGTATTTTTTAAGTTTGAATTATCTCGAAAAAGAAGCTTAAAAAAGTTTGTATGTGGGTTTACTAAAATAAACAAGTATTGTTGAAAAATGACAAATGTATCCAGGTGTCGTAGGATCCTGCGTATTGTACGCAATGCTAAGAGACAGTTACCGTAATCCTCACAGCGATTTACGGGGACTTTTTTTTTAAATTTTGCATATTCATTTTTATTATTTTTTGCTCAATTTTCATTTGCTCATTTTATTTCCCTTCGAAATTTTTATTTAAATTTTGCAGAATCCGAGTTTAATAATTCATTTAGCAGAATAAGCACTTTTAAACGATACATATTTTTTTGGTAAAAACAGCAGAGATTTAAAAGAAAACATTTTTGACCTTAATAAAATTATTTATTCGTGTTTTGCTTTTTGGACGCGTTTCTATTATTTTGTCTTTGTATTCTTCATTTTCAAAATAATTTTTAGTAAGACAAAATCTTCACAAATTCCCAACTTAACTGGACAAATAGAAAAATGCATATTCTGAAAAATAAATAATTAAACTCGGTTTCTACAGGTTTTAAATAAAAGATTTCCATAGAAAATAAGAAAATACAGCAAAAAATTGAAAAAAAATTATTAAAAAAAAACTCCGTAAATAACTGCGAGGATTACGGTAACTGGCTCAACGCATTGCGCACAACGCAGGATTTCACGACACCTGGATACATTTGTCATTTCTCAACAATAATATGTATATTCTGAACTACCGTACTTTGTACATTCGATATGGTTTTAATAGTTCTTGATTAGACTAAGAGCCAAATTATAAGTGGATTACGGTAGTTCACTCATCATCACTCATCACCGCACCATCCAATAACATTTTCAACATTTTTAATCGATGTGATTTTTACAGAGACAAAAAAGGCCAAGACCACCTAGAAGCCAGATAGTCTTGCGAAAACGACACCCAGTTCAATATGTACAAGATGCTCCTGCCTTCAGATTGGTAATTTTTTAATTGCATATTTTAATTCATCACTCATTACTCTGATTATAGCGAAAAAATCGCAAGTCTGCCAGCTCAAGCTCCGCTGAGGCACAAAGCAAGAACAATAATAAGTCTGATGTAAGTTTTAAATAGAGTAACTGTGTCCCCCTCCCGCTTGCAATTTGAAATGTGAACGAATGGCTTTGAAAATCGTTTTAGAATACACGATAACCCAAATGAAAATTGAAATTTCCTAACCCACCATTTTGTTGTTTCATTTTGAAATTAAGACTAATTCAATTTTTCTTTGATTTTTTTTCCAATTCCCTGAAAATAACCACGCTGCTTGTGTGATTTTATTAGTTGTTCTTTGTTTCTTGAAAATTTAGCTAAATAATAATCTTTATAGCTGTATTTCGAACGCTGAAAACAGGGGAAACTTGACAAAAGCGCCCTCCCCCAGATCGCGCTTTCTCACTCATCTTTTTATTGTACCTTTGTAGAGGATTCCTACTGCCTGAATAATTTCTCTGTTTTATTAATGCCTTTCTATTTTGACATTTTATTTTCTGCTAACCTCACGATTCAGCTTTTCACATATTGATCGAAGCCAAATAAAGCTACCTTTTTATTTATATTTCCGTAGAAACTATATGTCAACATGGCTAATTTTATTAAAAAAATCATTTTTTGTATGATTGCTCGAACAAAGTTTTTTTTTCTATTCAACATTCAAACTTTCATTATTAATATTCAAAATTGCACACTAAATTCGCACGTTATTTTGTACATCAGAAAAAAGAGATTTAATCAAAAGAAAACGCGAAGTTTGTAAAAACTGAAATCAAAATTGGACAGAAGAACTACCGTACTTAGTTTTTAATAGATCAAAAACTGCTAATAATTATAAGTTGCCAATTATTTCGAAAATCAGCTCATTTTCAAATTATGAGCTCATGTCAATTTCTAAGGCGGATAATGTCGATCATGAATTCATATAGAAAATTTTCACATCAAAGTAAGTCAGTAGAAAATGTCCTGTGAAACTTACAACTAGTAAAAACGTAATTTCCATTTAAGGAAGATGACGTAATTATTGGAAGCGATGAGCCGAACTCGCAAGCAGCGAATCCGTCGAGTTCAGAAACGGTGAGATTTGCACAATTTCAACAAAACGTTTGAATTTCCTTGGTTTTCAGCTAGACCGAAATAATGTTGAGAGTGTGATAAATGTATCGCCTTCGGGACTCAAGGCATCGCTAATTTTTGTTTTCATAAAATTAGACAACTGGTTTATTGAATTTCAGTTAACTCGCATTACGCCAAGAACAGCGGCTGAGAAGCGACGAAATGATGAGATATTGGACAGAAGAATAGAGCCAGCGAGAATAGCTCATTTTGGAATTGTAAGCAGTTCAATTGATGAACTTTTATTTCAAAAAATATTTAAAGACATTTCTATCAAGATATGGAAGATTTTGAATTATAACCTTTTCGTTTTCAAGTTAAAATATTACCATCGCGAAAAATAAGCACCCGATTTGCAGTTAGTTAGCTTCGCCGGTTTTCAAGGGTACGGTACACGAGATCCCACTGTTAAAATCTGAATTCATTTATCGCCTTCGAAAAAGTGCGATGTATACGCAAGATGCTCGTTTTTTTTTGGCGATGGTGATAATTTAATTTTTATGAAAGATTATGTGAATGCCTATGACGGAAAGAATTTTTTTCAATCTCATCAACAAAAATAATTTTTTATTTCCAGCAACATCTCCAAGGATGCTCGATTCCTGAACCACCCATCTATATTGATAGCTTTTGCTTGGATAGTGTTAATCATCGTCCTCAAAAAAGGAAGAGAAATATGCAAATGAGGACTGTGCAAAAAAAGAATTCCCAAAATGAAGTTCCGGTAGCGTCCAGGAGTGAGAGCAGCTCTTCTGAAGCTGTGAATACAATTCATCGAATATTATCGCATAATGTACGTTTTATTGTATTCGATATTTTAAAAAAGCACAATTTTCTTGAAATTCAAATTCTTGCAAATGCATTACAATATAGGAAATTTTTGAAATTCTTGGTGCAATATGACTTAACAAAATTTTCCGGTTTTCAGCAAAATTCGAATCCTCAAGAATGCACAGTCCTCGTTCCGATGTTTCCTGAAAGACATGTAAGCAATCACGGTGAAGGTTTTCGGTTCCTTCATTTGCCAATACAAAAAAAAAACCATATTTTGGCTTTCTAGGGACATTCCACATGGAAGGATGAAATTTCGCATTGTTATCCTTTTACTCTAGAAATATTTTAAGCATTTTGTTTATATCCTCTATCTAATTTTTACGGCAAACAAACGTGAATCGGGGGAAAATATTAATGAGCTAAACTTCGCAGTGTGAATGATTTTTATATAGGCGTCCTTAACGCACTGCCGCCAATTTGTCGATTACGGCGAATAATAGTTATCCCAGCGCAGTTGTGTGTGCTTTCAAGCTAAACATGATTCGGACCATTGGCACGTGCCGGCCCTGTCTGACCCGAATCAAAGAGATTGAAAAGAGGTGGTTGTGTGACTGATTCCACGCGGTAAAATTATTAATTGATTAACTTTTTGGGCTACATTTCTAGATTTCAAAACGTCATTCAAAATTGAAGATGTGAGCAGTTAACTGATTTTCAGCAGAACCTGCAGGCATCTACAACAATGCTGGTTCGTAACACAATTTTCCCACAACGTGCTTATTCTAGCAGTCCTATTGCCGATCCAGAAGAATATCAGAGAGTTTTGCAAATGTGGGCTGCGCGGAGTGATTCTGAGCCTGTGAATGGAGCCCATGGCCGAGTTATTGTGTTAAATGTACGTGTTTTATTTGAGTTAAAATTGGTCTTAAAATACAATTTCTTTCGAATTTGTTTTATTTCAACGAATTTGATTTTAAAAAAATCAACTGCGTCAGTTTTTTTTGAAGATTTTTAAGATAACTGTTTTCAAAATTAAAAATGTAAAAAGTTGATATCCTTTTTGGCTTTTTTTTGTTTATTTATTTTTAAGCTATAAATTAATTAAAAAAAAAACATTTTTCAGCAATATCCAAATGATCAGAATGATGAAGAAGCATCACCCGCACCTCCGGCAAACAATTCGCCATCCCAATCGGAAGCCGACGAGAGTTCAGACTTATCTGCTGAAGCACTAGCTGATATCGCGAGATGTGTGTTTTGAGAAAGAAATACAAAAATAGTACGCCAAAATACACCTAATTTGTTGATTAATATTATTATTTTGAAGCAGGTGATGAAGTAAAAACAAATTAAATTGGTTTCTACAAGTGCAATACAACGCGTCGCAATATTCCATTCCATTCAGCGGCTTACTAATATAATTTTTCATTTCTTGGTGATGGTCATATAAACTTTTTCTTCCTGTCTCAAATTATTTATTAGACTACATAATCTACACAAAGCGTGAATATATATTTTACAATTCAGACTATTAATTGAACATTGCGGATTCGTATGTGATACAGGAAAATTCTTGAATGGCTAAGGGTTTAAAGAAGTTTTGAGTATATTTAAATAGAAGTTGGACAAAACTGCTTCAAAGGAAAGTTTTGGTGAGTAAGCATTCAATAAAATCATTCTTCAATTAGGAATTAGGAAAATTAATTCACAAAATAAATAAATAGAGCTTAGAATCACGAGAAACACAACAAATCATGAAGAAGTTTGAACAAATAATTTAGAATTATAAAAATCATTGTTAACAAAGATTATTCGATTATGAATAAAGATATATGATCGATATCATTTGGTTGTTATAAAAATAATGTGCCAGTTTGTTGCAATTGCAGAATTTTATTACAATTTGCCTTTTTTAGAATATTAAGCAAAAATTAGTATATATTAGAGATTTGTGTTAATAAAACTCAAGAAATAAGGGTGCATTTTGTAATTCTACCATACTCAAAGGGTCGTGAAAACCGGAAGAAAGATGGATTTTTGAAATGTTGGATCGGACTAGACATAGGTTTCTTGGCGATAGATAACATGCGGCTCGAAGCAATCTGAAAAATAATAGCACATTAATTCTGTAAGTTAGAAATGTCAAACATTTTGTTAACATTTTTATGTTACATTTTTAGCGTTTGATTAGTCACGAGCCGATTGGGTTGATTGACGCTTGGAAGTCATGCGTCGCATGAATTGCATCAAGTTTTCGATTCTCTTATTTCTCTTCTTCTTGTTAGTACACTCCTGAACGCATTGCTAATTAGTAAAGGCTTTCAGTTAGTGACAAACATGTTCAGTGGCGCTAACATTGAATGAGCGCGATGTAGTTGCACCTGAAAGAAATTGGGTTAAGCTTGTCCACCCCATGGGGAGAGGCGGGATTTCAAATCACTCCTGAATCGGTAAATGGATCGTGGAAATGGAATATGCAGAACATTCCAGAAAACTGGTTAATTGTTGGAAAAGAGGAAAAAAATTTGAAAAATGAATGCATGCTGTGCACAACCATATAGAACCCACTATCATCCTCCATCATTTCCGATAGCGTCGTCGATTCATCTAATTGATTAGAAAAAAGTTGGTTAACAGAAGCTCATGCAGAACATAGAAATGAATCGAAAATAAAAACCTACAGTCAAACACTACTGATGGTGTGGTGGCCGCAAAACTTTCTCTTGATGATTGTGTATCTGCTGGAAATGATTGCGATAGATGCAGGAAAGGTGGTGTGAAAGAATGAAGGAAAAATTGAAGGTGAATGATTTTTGGCGTTCCATGACACCCTTGAAAATTATTACCATTGGTTGACGTTGACGGCTTCTCCTTATCCAATGCATCATCTGAAACGCTTAACGCGTTCAAAGAAAGTTTATGCTCACGAATTCCAGTCATAAGGGAGACATTATCTGAAACAAGCTCTATCTGTAACACTCGTAATCACTTCTATTTCAAACCTGCTTCGTACTCATCATAAGTCTCAAAGTTGATGTTGGATGGTGTGGATGAAGTCGACTTACGAATTGGCAAATTCTTGGTGGTCACCTGAACCCATTGATGTTCGACGCCTTCATCGATATATTCTGATTACCTCATCAAAGTACTTGCGGAGAGTGCTATCGGTTTCCGCAGAGAATGGGTTTGGCGAGTAGATTTGTTGGTAGACCTGTGCATGGTTCTGGTAGTTGCGATCAATGATACCCTTGCTTCCAGTGCCGATGAAAACGGCGCGATCGCTGACCGATGATGGACCAATTTGATCACCAGAGTCCGTCTGGAATAACTAAGAGCTACCTCGTCTACAATTTTCGAATCGAACCTTCAAAACGAGAGATATGTCTTCATTGACCGCGTCAAGAATTTGGCTCTTTGGCCCAGCGCTAGTGGTTCCCAAGCGACTATTCTCCTAAAGATCTTTTATAGTTAATTGGAAATATTTCTTATTGAACCACCTTGATCGTGTTTCTCTTTTCCTTGAACTCTTTTGGGTTCGACGAAGCTGGACTGAATTGATGAGCCCCACTAATCTTAATTGGTGTTCCGCCGGCGCTTGTAGAGGATCCATCCGAAACCCATTTGGTAACCTTCTTCGGACGATCAGAACCGTATTCAACAACTTCAACCTTTTGATATGTGTTTGGGCTGTTAAGCCAACGAGCTCGCTCCTGCTCTTTTCGAAGCAACGCCATCTTATGAGCCGTCAACTTTTGAAGGCATGATTCATCGACCTCAAACAGTGAAATCGATTAGTTCAATCAAATTCGCACCAATCCAACCTTTCCGAAAGCCGAGGCGCTCGGCGGAACCGCAACATCGCTATTGCTCTTCGGTGTCGACGTCGACGGCTCAGCCGATTTTAGGCGCAAAAATGGCTGCTTGTAGATATGGCCGGTTTTGAAGTTGGCGTAATCGAGAACGCTCATCCACGACTCCCACTCAAGCTCGCCGAGATTCCACTCAGTACCGTACTCTCCAGTTTTCTTAGCATTTCTCGCTGAAAATGAGAAAATACAACGAATGGGAATATTTTTTTTGCAATGGCCTACGGTAAAAAATGGATTCCTCGTAGACTTTTGCGACTTCTTCATCGGACGGAATCACGAGATTTTCGATTCCAGCGCGTGAAGCACGCACCTGAATGTTATTGTTTCGTTTAATAAAATTTGCAGAAAATTTGACAAATCAATGCTGAAATAATATATGCGAAAAACCTGATGTTCACAGGCAATTGTCAATGTATTCATTAGTAATGCGGCTTCTTCAATACTTCCGCCAATCACCAAACATCCTCCATTTCTCGTGAAAGATACCTCAAATAAATGAAGCAATTCCATTTCGGAATCAAATTCAAATTATCAATTAATTGAACATAGGAGAAGTGAAACAATAAGCGGTTTTCATGACAGCAGAAATATTGAAGAAATCGCCATGCTTAGCAATTTTTGATGGCGCAACCTGAATCTCGCAAGCCGCCGCAGTATTCTGAGCAAGAAACATCGCGTGCTCAATCGTTTCGCCGATCACAACAAATCCTTGGTTTTGGATAACCGCAATCTGAAATCAAAGCATGTCGAAGCGCGAATAATTGAAAAACAATAGTGTAGAAGTCACAATCACGGGTGCAATAAGATATTGGACAATATCTACATACATGTTTCGTTCCCAACAACTTGACGAATCGATCCAACGCGGAATCCGAAATGCATTCCTAAATACCAAAATTCATCTGTGAAGCATGCGTGCTCAATGCGATTACATTGATGTGATAGTTGTGGTACGAAACAGGTCCGATGATCATCGCCTCCTGGCACAATGGCAACAGTCCGCATTTCATGCTGGCGACAGCCGAAACCACCGGCGAATGCATATGAATGATGCATTTCGCGTCTTTGCGCGCCTTATAGATCGCCGAATGAAGAAGAAACAATGGCTGAATTTTTTTCATACAATATACTAGTAATTTGGAGTTTTCTGAATTTCACGAAATTCTGCAAAATTGCTTCACCGCCCCGACATTTCAAATTATTCATGGAGTTTGTTTCTCATCTATTAACCCCATTCATTTTCCCATATTTGGCATAAAATTCGCTTCATTAAAATGAAACAGCGTATTGAAACCTCATTAATGCCCACTTGAGTTAATAGGAAAAAAATTTGATTGTTCTATTGAAATTGGGTATACGGTAGCTTCGAAAAAATAATTGCAGCGATGATATGCTGTTTGGCTTGATGATCTTTCAATCTCTTATAATTCTACTGCTAGAAATACGGTAGAAATTCACCTTGTTGATTCCGGTCTTTGAAGAGCCATAGTCCAAAATCACCCCTTCGACATCCATCTTGACAAGCGAGCTTGATGTTATTTCATGGTACAAGAGCCCATAAGGATTCGCCAGATAATCGTCATGTTGGTCTTCAATTCGGTACTAAAAATGATCGGATGAGATCGGATTCCGAATTTTCTGCATTTTTTACAGTTATCATGTTGTAAATCCCTTGAGCCCAATGGAACAAGTCAGCCAAGCGAAACAAGCAGGCCAACTTGTTGCGTTCCATTTTCTCGAGTTTGGAATAGCCTTCGTTTCCGCGCAAGTCCGCAATGGGAATCGGGTTTCCAGCAATTCGACCTAAACAATTTTCGAAACCAATATTCACCGAAACATTATTTGCAAACCATAGGCATGAAGATTGGTGATGGAAAACATTTTCGGATTGATCGTCAATTCGGCGAGACGTTGAAGCGTGATGAGATGGTCCGGATCCGACAGAGAAGAATCGCACTCCTACAAAGACAACAAAAAAAATTAACGAGTGCGTCCTATGCATTGAAAAAAGAAGCAAACAAAAACACGAGGGCATTGTTTCATGATTAATTCAATGACATGATGATCGTGAGAAAACGGAAATGAATAGAGGAGACCTCTGATTCATTATATCCGCATGAGAAGCTTTAAACAATCATTTGGCTACAATATATTTTTTCATTTTTTTTTCTACTTATTTCGCGGAAATAATAATTGATGCGTCCCATTCCCGAATCGGCGATTAAATTGATGAAAAAACAATGTGTTTTGTTGCACTATTCCAAGAATTGTCATGCGCAGAAACAATTATTGCAAAAAGGCCCCTAATTTCAATTAAATTGATTCCAATCAACCAACTGCTGAAGAAATAATTGGATAAACGGATGCCATTTAATCTTTGAAATTTTTGTTATTTCAACTCATTTTGAAATGAGTCCCGCAGGTTTTATGCCTATTCGAATTCTGGAGCCTTCCTAGAAGATGACGTCAAAACGTTTTTGTTGATTAAACAATGTGGTTTTGCATACATCTTTAGCAAAATGCTCAATGTTATACAGCTTTCATTGAAAAAAAATTGTTTCAACCCCCTTATTTGGCAAATAAGCTTGTACACTTGATTAATTGTCATGGTTTTATTTTGAAAGATTTGCAAGAATTATTGGAAAATTGAGCGGATTAAAGCGAGTTTCGCTTATCGGGGAATTATTAAACAAAAAACATTGCTTATGTACTGAAATAACGTAGATTTATGGCTATATGGCTTCACTGCGTTTTGAATATCACTTGGGCAATTTTCTTAAAAACCTTATGGCGGGACCAATTTTTTCCTCTTCGCTGAGCCTAAACACTCGATATTTTCTTTTTTTGCGTTGCCCAACAAAAATCGTTTGCAAGAAAAGTGCGAGGCGTTGCGCGCCACATTTCCATTTTTATGAAAATGTCGTAAGCTTATTAAAAATTCGATTGTGGCGAGCACGTGGCGCGAGCACGTCGCAATCGCTATGGAAGCTCGATGCAACAAACAACAATGTTTGTAATTTTCTGTCGGCCGGCTTCTGGTTGCCAGACAGTGCAATAAACCAGCTATTTTGGAGATGAGGACATTTTTCCGCAAGTCTGAAACCCGGGGGGTGAACAAAACGATTATGAGCGCTTGTGCAAGAAGGAAGCTTCTCATCGCATGAAGTGTGAACCCAAGCAAGGTGTCAAGTTTCAAATAAAAAGCTCGAGGCGAAACTCAGCAGTGACCGAAATACACTTGAAAATGTGACTTTTTGATATTCCCGCTAGTCAGAGGGATTTCGACTTTTAGCGATTGCCCCATAATTATGAAAATGCCAACTTTAAAGCTTTTTGTTTTTCGGATGCTATTATTGACTTCTGGTTTTCAATTGATCTTAGGAACTTTTCTGATTTCATTCCTACCGTAATCGCGCTAGTCTTTGACTTGCATAATCGAATCAAGCTGATTATCATAATCCATATTTCTCAATTGAGGTTCCAGGATTTAAAAAGAATTAAGATAACTGAAACAGACACAATTGCTGACCCAAGTTTTATGAGATCACACTATATCGTAGAAGCTCTTTGTAGAAGTCTATCTTATACTGTATGCAATCTCAATGGACGAGTTTTTCAAGAAATTTCCTACAGATAACTAACCTTGGATGCAGCCATTGGGAGACTTGGAGATTTTGGGTTTTATTCAACCGACCGCTACTCGCCAAATATGAAGCGAATAATGGCGGTGCAAGGGAGGGGGGGGGGAGTTAAAGACAGGGCTCGTTTTAAGCCCGCCCACTTTATGCGATCATTTTGCTTTATGAGCTACGATAGGCTGACAGACATCAGCAGACAAGCATATTTAATGGGCGTGGTCACGTTTTGCAAGTTGGTGACGAACAATGAAATTGCGGGGTGGATTACGGTAGACATTCCAAAGGTCATTTGGTTCACATTTTAGAAATGTGCACCAAAAAGAACGAGAGTAGTATTTTTGAAGAGGTATTGAAAAATAGCTCAAATTTTTGTGAACCGTTGGTCAAAAGTACGGATTCCAGATTGAAACAAAAAATGCTGAAACCGCGAAAAAGTAAAGAAATTTACCTGCCGGATAACATCTTCAAGCTCTTGACAAAATGATTTTGATTCAAGTATTTCCTGCACGCGTTTTCGTCTTTCCATCTCGCACAAATCCTCCTGAAATTCGCGCATTATTATTGGCTTCCTCTTCATCTTTTCTGCCCCCCCCCGTCAATTTTAAGCTGATTAGAAAATGCCAATTCGACTAATCCGTTGCTCGAAACGCTTACACACCTTGATGACCGCCGGCCGCTGAAGGTCCTTGATGTAGTCTGGATCATCCGGATCGGGCAGCAACGGACGTTCGCGCTCTTTTCGCTCGCTCATGGTGATGATTACCTGAGGGATCATGTGAATATTGAAATAATTGTAGCAACAAATGTGACGACAACAAAATTTGCAAGAAGTGAATAATCCGCTAGTTGCATCATCTAGACGTTTTCAAATTAGACATGAAACAAGGAACTGAATTTTATAAGAAGCATCCATGAACATATTTCAAAATTTTTTTCCAAACATTTTTCAAAGGAAAAACTTCAAACATGTTGCAATATATGATACAAAATTGAGGAAAATAATTCCAATTTGAAAAAAAAGAAAGCCGAGAATTTCAAGAAAGATTATTAATTTCAGATTGGAGATGTGCAGCTTATATTACGAATATTGTATATTTTAACGTATATAATTTTAAAGACAATTATTGTAATTATGAAAACAATAAAGATGGCTTTGAGGTACATTCTTGACGAGAGAAACTGAAGAAGCGCAAAAATAATCAAATAAAACAGTGGTTTGGAAAACCGTATTACACGAAATGTCGGTATATGTCTTTGCCGAAATAATAAAAAATGGGAGAAGCGCAGCGAAAAATGTATATTTCTCCGACGTCACCATTGAAATCAATATGCAAACATCATACCATTTTTTGGCCCGGATTTTATTGCTGTATATTTTCTGCTAATTTTTTTGCCCCGAAAAGATGAACAATGTAATGCATTTGCTTCAAGGGCAATAGAAGTTGGGAAAATATGTATGCAAAAAAAGACATGTCTATAGTGTGGACACTTTCAAAGCATTTTCAATAAGGCTCAACAACAATAACAAATTGCGAGTAAATGAGCGATAATTATGGAAAAAAATGAAACTCTGAGAGCTTATAAGAATATTATTAAAAATGTGCGAAAATTTGCGGGGATCATTCTATTCAAATCATTGCGCAATTGAAAGATCCCGTCTATTAAAATTGGAAGAAAAAGAAGGCGATGAAAAAAAAGAAGATGGACAGAAGTCAACTGTTGCGTATCCGTTTCACACCGTCCAACTTGGAAAAATACGTTTTCAAGGTCAAAATGGCGATAACGCAACAAATAGGTTTTTTCGGGAAAAAAACACACACGCATTGTGAAGATGGGATGAGGTTTTTTGCACTTTTACATGAATGTTTGGACCCCCCCCCTCCCCTAGAGAAAAATGGGAAAGCGGACCAAACTTCAACTAATTTAATAAAAATTATTCATTGATATCTTGTTTTTTTTTTGGTAAAGTGAAACACTATGACATTTTTCTAAATAGTGGCAAAAAATGTTGGATTTGAGCACAATCGACACTGATGACAAAATGTGTGCAGTTGCAGAAAACATGAAAATTGAAGGAGATGAAGAAGACGCTGAAGAAGTGCCTCGTGAATGTATTCAAATTAAATTCGCTCCAACATTGTTGCAAAAGCCATTTCGAGTGCGAGTTATTTTCGGGATGCGACCAAACCAAAATCTTTTGCACACGCAAATCTCGAATTGGTAGAATGCAATAGGTGATTCTACTTGGCGCGCAACGATAAAACACACACACTTCATGTCGGTTCACCATATATCATAAACCATGAGAATCGTCCATCTTCTACTATTTTTTTTGTCTGCAGATCACCTAGTTTGCATAACCCATATAATTAGCATAAGGAGCAAGTATTAACAAGCTCGCAACAAATTTATTCTTCAAAATGTCTATGACTGTTCAAGAAAACATTTGATTAGAAATTGTGCAGAACCCAATTTTTCGTTGCAAATGTTCCATTGTGGGCTTGGATTGAATTATCGGCGGCGCATTTTCAGTGTTCGCAGTAATATTTTCTAAATTTCAATGACGAAATTTTGAATGCGTGGGATTTGGAATTTCAATTAATTTGAAATTTTCGGTTTTTTAGGTTATTCAACTAATATCATTAAAATAATTAAAGAATAACGAAAAACCTTTGGGAGCCTGGAGAAGACAACTGGATGTTCTTGATGGGTCTGAACTCTAATTTGCTATTGAGAATTGCACGGCTTTCATAATCTTAGAACACTGAGAACATTTTCAATTTGAAGCTTCAAATATGCAGAAGAAAAAACGGAAAAAAAAAGAAGGAAGAAGCTGTTGTTCGCCCATTGAACAAACACCATCCCTTAATTGACTCTATCCCTCTCTCTCTCTCTCTTTCTCTTTACGTTCCATGATTAATGCGACCCTTCATCATATAACTGGTGACAAAGCTTCATACACTCTTAATCAAATGAGTGAGCTCTTTCACACACATAGACGCAAAAAAAAGAGAAGGATGGATAAATGAATAAAAAGTGTAAAGGGTTTCAAAATAGATGAAAAAAAAGTGGCTTATTTTGCAGGAAAACGTCGAAACTAATTTGGGCACTCGAGCTCCAGCTCACCCGCTGTGACAGTCCGGAGGTCAATTGAATACGTAATCGCGCACCCAATTTTTGATAAATGAATCAACTTACGGTGGTTTTTGCCATTTTCCTAACATCTGCTTCTTCGGTCAATTGATTTCGGGAAGACATAAGCGCGTTTGAATCGACTTCAAGAGAAAAAAAAACCGCAAAATCAAGGCATAAAAATTTTTTCTCCTAATTGCTAGGTCCGAAGCAGAATTTTAAGATATTTGTGGGTCGAAACAACAATAATAACATTACTAGGCATCATTTGCATTAAATGCCGCACTAACAAAGAACAAAAGGCACAGTATGCATAATTTAGTGGACGGGCCGAATTTCGGATCATCTGCGTGGAAACAACGCGCAAAATAAAAATCTATTAGGCGCGACACAAAGTTGCGGGTCTGCTGACAAAGGAAAAACGAGGGAGGAAAAAAGCGAAAAAAAAGAAGTGCCGACGGGAGGCAAAAAATGTCGTTTCTTGAAGAATAGCGAATATCTGAGTCGAAAAAGGTTTTCATCATCGAGCCCATCATCATCATCATTGTGATCGAATAGAGATGGAGAGAAAATTGTCGTGATGAAAAGGAGAAGCCATTTTTTTACTGGAATGCGTCTTTTTTCATTTCTTGCATAAAAATTGAGCTATATTTGTAATTATTGGAAAATGCGACGGAGCCTGCAAAAAAAAGAGGAAGAATTAACGGATAGCAACATCGCACTTTTTTTCTAGACATTCCGTCCATTTTTTGGTTCGGACTCTTCTTTTTTTTTGCTAAAAAATTATTTATTCGTGTTTGCGGTATTCCCGAATGTGCAATATATAATTTCAATTTCCGAATCGGAGTCCAGAAATTCACAAATCTGTCTGTAGGTGGATTTTTCCAATTTCCGAAACCGCAATAAATTTTTGAATTTCCGTTACTCTGGTGCAATTTTTTCCGTTAATCGTCTTTCTAGCTTACAGGATGCCCATAAGTAGCAATTTTCGTAAAATCAAAAATTCAAGCATTGAGAATTATTACCTATATTAAGGTTGCAATTTATGAAACCTTGTGCCATTTGCAAGAAATTTCTGAACTTTATGCTTAACATTAAACCTAATTACTGCTTACGGGTTTTGTCCCGATTTTTGAGCGGTTGTTTGCAAAACCTGAACACTTTGTTCGTTCCCAAACATTGAACCCTTGATAATTTCATCAAAGTTTTTTTTGCAGTGCTTGCTGATTAACAGCTTCAAATTTGTGCGCTTAATTAAATCTGCGTGTCTTTTTTTGGATTCAAGGTAGACCGTAATCCAATCTGCCAATTTGTGAAAAAACCGCCACAATTGAATTTTTTCGAGTGTTGCACAAATCAGTAAAAGTTTGGACCTCAAGCTGTTACTATGAATAAACGGAAGGTAAATGAAAAATCGGTCGAGTGGAATAAGTATGTACCTTGTTGGATCACAAAATAGCCCCTATTTTCAATTTCATTCTTTGATCGAAAAATAAAATAAAAATGATGAATCCGAGACTACGGTATGCTGAGCCAACGAGGTCCCCAATGAGCACTTTTATTGGGTGGCTCGTTCATTTAATTGCACGTTGCGTTCGCGAGCCAAGAAAAAACTATGCACCAGAGGTGGAGAAGAGGGCTCTTGAAAATCCAATTGCTGATACCGTATTCCGAAAAACGTCATTTGTTTGCTCGGCCAATTTTTAATTAAATTCACTGACATCAAGTTTTGATTGAATATGTTTTGTTTTGCGAAGGGCATTCTTTTTTGCAGAAAACATATTATGAGCGGGCTTCCTCTGCCAAGATAGATTTCCTTTCGCGAATCGGTCCAGACAGGTAATTATATTTTTTCGGGCTCGGGCTCAAAGGGGCGGGGGGCGGATGTTTACTCGTTTTGCACGATCGCATGCCCTCCAAATGGGCCATCACAATAACAATTTTGCAAAATGATTAATTCTGAAAAATTGCGAATGAGGGGGCGGAAATTTAAGCCAAATTTATCTGAGATCAACATTGAGACGAAATTTTGAGCATTGCTAAACATTTCTTAAAAGTTGCTTAAAATTAATATGATCTTAAAGATTCCTAAAATTTTACATTACTTTTTGCAAATTTTTGAGAGAAAAATTCTCACAAAGACTAGAAGGAACTAGTTTTTCGCAATCTGCATTTGATTTTTAGGGTTTCTTTTCAATTTTTAAATATATTCTACATAGTATCAGTTATTTAATGAGTAAAATATTCTATGAAATTTCATAATAATTTCAGTGTGCATATTTCAACCAATTGAATTTTTCCAATTAAGTATACCTGGGGCTCAATACTGCCACTGTTTAGTTCGTTGGGTTTACGGAATTTTTTTTTTAGATTGGCTTGAGAATCTGAACTGTGGTTGACCACACATCAAAGCATTCGTTGCATGATTGTTTTTCAAATGCACATCTCTAAATAATTCCTAAGAAAAAAATCGCTGATTCATTCATGTTCGGTAATCTATTTTGAGAAAAATGCGCGCTAATTAGTCATATGTCAAAATTGAACCCTACCGGCGTCAATTTGCAATACTCGCATTTCGTCGACAAAATTCTATATACGGTATTCGCCTTCGTATAATCTGATAATCCTAGAGGGGTTTACATGAATAAACGGGATTTGAAGCGAAAAGAAAAAGATTATAAACTGATATCACTATTACAACTAGACAATTGCAAAAATTGAGGCTGCCCAAAAATGTATTCGTAGTAGTTGTGCACTAGGCACTTAATGAGCCAGGATAAAACGCAGATGGGTGCGAAATTTGAGGGAAAAAGCTTCTAATAGAATTACATTGCCGAATTGTTGAAACAGATGCGAAAAATATGCGACAATTTTTATGCAGATTATACATAAGTGTCGGGTCCATCTTTTTGCATGACAAATCGGCGTGGTCCCCAAGAGTACGAATGTCTATTGTTTTACATGTTGTTTAGCTTTTTATGACCACTGCTTCCTAAAGCCTCTCTTCCCTCTTTTCAATACTTCTCTCGCGGTTCCTCAATATGTCCTTCGACTTCTGTGATTTTCTGATTTCCATTGAGACAATAGAAAGATAATCTCTCGATGGACTTTCAAAAGAGGACAATAGGCTTTAGAAATAACAAGTTCATTTTTTCAAGCAAATATATTGCGCTGGCATTTCGTTGAAAAATGTTAAGCTCGAAAGTCGAGGTGTTTTGTTTTCTCGGCATCATTCGGTGAGATATGAACTAGTAAAGCAAAGGAAAGGAATTTTAAAAGTTGTCAGAGATGAATTAATATGAAAACCAGGAAGTTCGTTTGAAAGTTGTGCACAAGCGATGCTCCAAGTTGCACACATAATGAAATTATTCGAAGGTTTTGAAGCTGATATTTGTGATAAATTAAATTGCCGAGGACGATGAATAAAAAAATGAAGGAATAAAGGTTCCAAATCTGCCACAACATTCTTTTTTTTAAAAGTGAACATGTTGCTTCTGATTTTAAGAAGCCGAATCAGTTATATATCAGAGTGGAAATAAAAATTGAACAAGAAGGCTGTGGAAAATTGAAAAATCTAAAATTATTTAAGAATTTAAAGCAATTAAACTAATATTTGGAAAAAATATGAAAAAAAGTTGTTTAGACATTTACAGGCACATAATTGAATAGCTTCCATTTTAGACTGAAATTTTTTTTCCAACGAGTGAAGTTTTAAAATTTTTTCAGGCATATTTCAAATGTTCAGATCCCTTCCGACGTCAGTTTCCATTTACGAATTTTAATTTTAATTTTTTAAACAAAATTTTGTGCAAATTCCATCATTTGGCAATTTTTCTCAGTGTTTGAGTTCATTCTATAAAACTTGCGATCATTCAAATCAGGGCTTCCAGAGAAATGCTCATCTCTACGAGACCCAAGACGGCAATTCAAATGATAAATCAATGACACGCCGAATGTGTCGGTCCATGACAATACATATTTATATTTTTCAGTTTTGCACGTTACATCACAGACCTGTCCTCAAAGGTTAAACTATTTGAATAATCCGTGGTAAACGTTCAATGTCTGCGAGAAGAAATGTGGCAACAGTGATATCACTAAAGAACAGAAGGACAGAATTATCGATACCGGAAACATGTAACTGTGATTCATTGTAGGAATAAATCCAAATATGTGGTTGATAATTCAGATTGTATGTAGCTTTAAATTTCAGCCAATTTGGATTATAATGACACATTGGGTACATTATTAGTGTGCTGGTTCTTAGAAACAGCATATCCATATTTGGTTCATAATGTTCATTCAAGCGATGACGATAATAGTAGAAAGAATTAAATTCGCGAAAAAATGATGTTGTCACTTCTATTTTTGGAATTGAACTCAGCTTTTCGTTGGATCAATTCCAGGATTATTTTTTATAATACCGTATTTCTCAGGACCAATATCGAAATTAGTTTTTATTTGCATAAATATCGCGTTGAATTATAATTGTTTTCAATATTACAGTGATTGGAATAATTCTGAGGGTTGAATCATGCAATTAAAAAACAGTTAATTAGATAAATGTGTTTAAATACGCATTTATGAGGTTAATTGATAATTTTTTTTTTCTCGTTTCAAAATTTTTTTTTGAAATTTCTTTAATCGTGAAGTGTTTAAGATTAAAATTTTATTGAAATCTCTTTCAGAATATTTTCATCTATATATACATGTATGTTATTTTCATCCGATTTTAAGCTTTTTTGAGCATCTACCAATTTCCTTGCTTCTATTAACGGGCAAGTTGCAACTTAAAGTCTCAATATAATCTGAAATCGCTGAAAACTGAACTTAATTCCTTAATTACAATGTCCAGTTAAAAAAATTCAATTCACTTCTCAACATTTTTTACCTAACTCAAATCTTGCTGATATTTTATTCGCTCTGTTTTTCGTCGCGTAGACAAATCCGATGCCGATGAGCCGGCATGCAGAAACAGTAGTCGTTGAAGGGAGAGCTCAAAAGCGGTTTAACGTGCTCCGATTTTAATTTTTTTTTTCAATTCCTCTCTTCGACTTTCGCTATTATTTTGATTATCATTATCAATATCATCACGAGGAGGAGGAGGATGATGCTGGGCGTGGCCTCGAAATAATCCTTGGCATGGGAATAACTAAGTCCTACCTTCAAATATTCGCCTCATTTTTTTAATAACCCCATCGTCGCCGGCGGCTGTTTAACAACAATGTGCCCCTCTGGAGTGACATGCTTAGTATTATTCCTTCTATCGGCTCAATTTGCCATGCCATGCTTCTTGAATTCCTGCCCATATCGTAGATATGGAAGAACCTTGCAGTGTGCTAGTTGCGGTAAGCATTCACCAACCAATTATTTGAAACTTCATTATTTCCATTTAGGACCCATGTACCAAGGAGTGTGTGTTAATGAAGGACGTTGCTGCACCCATGAGGCATGCTACGTTTCCACGGAATGCACGTTTAGCTCGGTCTGTCCGGAGCTTTTCTGCAAGGTAACCACAAAAACGAAGAATTCGCGAGATTTCGAATTTCGAACATTTCAGATTGACCGAAACCCGGGATACTGTGTGAAGGACGGAATTTGCTGCACATCAGGTCAATTTGGCGATTTCGCTGAAAAAAAACAAAATTGTTGATATTCTTTCAGGCGGATGCCAGCCAAGCGAAATGTGCTAGACGCCTCCCAAAAACAGATTAACACAATAATTCTGTGTTTGATTTGATAAACATTTGCTGTTAGATTCATCCAAATACATACGTTCAATTGATTTCTTAATCGTATATGTTTTGAATAAAGTCGTACAGGTAAACATAACAAGTGGTTCAATTGGGAAAATGAATGCTTATCCAAATACTACACAGTATGCAATATGTCTTGCAAGAGAGTACTTGACTATTGAAATTGTTGAAATTTTGCAAAAAAGCTTTTTGAATACTAAAATTCAATTAGGGTTGATTGGTGACATCTTGTGGGAAAACAATTATGCATAGTTTGAGCAAACAAGGCAAACTTCGAGGGATCTATATTAATCTTTATATAAATTTTGCTATCGTCTCGCACGGACTAACTGGTTTTTGATTTCTCTGATATTAGGAATTCAAAGAAATGATATACTCGTCAAGAAAAATAAAAAAAATTCACGTGAAAATGTAGTAACAAGCCTTCACGTTTGTTGGGACCATTTTGAAAGCCGTTCTCCCCGTCCCCAGACGCCGACTATACCAAAATTAACCATGTAAAATGGCCAACTGATTCTTCTTAAAATGCGGGTTTTTGTAGCACACAAGCATTAATTTGAGAATGAAATACTAGAAAAATATCATATTTTCTCATTTATTTACATTGAACGCACGTTAGAAAAAATCAACAATTACTTATAAAGCAAAAGCTAAAATAAGATTACACATTTACCAAAAAAGAAAAAGAAAGAAAGAAATTCCGTTCGGCAACTATTGTGGCGTACACATCAAAATATTTTGAAACAATATGAGAACACTCGTCGGCGATAATGAAGATTTTCTTACGATTCTCATGGTCTAGCATTGAGCGTAGTTTATTTAGATAGAGAGAGAAAAATTTTAGTCATCCACAAACCATTGTGAATCATTACTACGAAAAGCACCAGATATGAAATATGGCATTTTGAACGAAACAATATTCTTTTTGTTCGATTAAGACGAAAATAGATGAGGAGAATGAACCTAGATGGTCTGGAACGAGAAAGATGAGGACAAAAGATTCACCGTGTTGTTTGAAAGGGTATGGTAATGGAAGGGAGGGAAAATGAAACTGAAGACGAAGAAAATATGATAAAATTGAATCGATAGTTATGATTTGGATTTCGATGGAACCAAATCGGATTGTTGCAAGACCCATTGATGCGTTCGATGATTGGCTAATTGAGGATTGCCGCCGGATGCCGGTGTCCTTTTGCGACGCGCCGCTGCGTTCTCAACACCAGCCGATTTCGGTTTGCGGCTCGGTGATGAGCTCGTGGCGCGCGACATCTTACGCGACTCGTCGCATGGCGGAAGCGGCGGCGGAATATCCGGTGGCTTCGGGCGACCCTGAAACTCATTTTGAGAAGCATTAAGGTTTGCGAGATTTGTTTCATAGAAATTTAAAGAAAAAATGCAACCAACCGTATTCGAAGAATTCAAATGTCCTTCCTCCATCAAATCCAGCGAATTCATCTGCTCACGGATTCGATGTTCACGCTCGCGCTTTCTGCGTCGCTCGTTTCGTCGGGCTTCGCGCTCCAATAAATATCGCTGATGGTCGACTTGTTTCGCAAGAATATTTGTCAAGCACACCGAAATGCACTGGAAAAATTAATACTGCACTCCAAAAAAAAATATTAATAAATTTACCACAGGGATGATGAGAAGGGCGACGAAGGCGCCGATATGAACCGCGTGCGATTCAAACACGCCGCGAAGTGGTTGAAGGCATCCTCTGGTGTAGATATCATGCTCCAATTCCGCTGGACGCTTCGTCAAAGCGTTCTGCCAGCATTCCAGTGATCGCATCGCCGGTAGAAGAGGATTTGATGAACCAGCCGCTTCCGATATAACCGATTTACGACAACATGAGAATGGGACGCCGCACTTTTCCGGTTGCGGATTCGATTGCGTACAATTAAATTGGTAACTCATATTCCAGTCCCGATAACCTTGAGCAATTGATGATACCCCGCAACATTGAAGCTGAAATATTGGAATATTCAATTTAATAAAAGCCAAGCTTCATACATTCTCCTGCAATGAGTCCATGATTTCAGCAACATTTCTATTCGAATGGTAGTTCTTGATGGCATAGAATAACAACGAATGTGCCGAGAATCCTTCAGTTGTATCATTGTAGAATAGTATAAATACTAAGAATGTGGTTATCACAACGAAGATGTATGAGAGAAAGACACATAGAGCAAACTGAAAATTGTGCCTTTGATAAGAAAAAAAAAAGACATCTGAGACGAGTTTACTTACACTTTTCAATAAGAAAATATTGTCGCGCAGAGCGCCCATTGAGCCAAGGAATGATACGATACATATTGAAAGACCTGCAAAGCAAATTGATTGAAGGGGGTGAATTCGGATATTTTCGAGTTATTACCAAACACGCTTATCAGAATCGCTGGATTAAGAATCACATCGACTAATTTGACTTCTCTGAAATCCTTGACGAACAAATATACCCCAAGTGCTAGAATCGCCACGCCAACAAGCTGTAATTAATTATTGAGTAGGTGAATGGAAAACGCGCTAATCAAATGATTCCTACCCCTCCCCTTTTTCGTTTCCGCCACGCCAGGCGCTCATCGGCACACCATATGTAAATTAAGTGGCAAGGAGAAGAGGTCATTGGCAATTAACGCAACGTGTTTGGCAAACACTCGGCACAGAGCCAATTTCCATTTTCGGAGCCGCTAATGCACTTATTCGAAATTTCTCGAGTGTCAATTTGAAATTCGAACACTTGACGGTCATTTCGTTGAAAATAGTCCCCAAATTTTCAGGGTCCACAGGTACATGGCGCGCGCCCAACGCGTAAACACCAAATGAGCCATGACTAAGTGGTTTGAAGCGGCGGCCGGCCGCGGCAAAAACACGAAATTTTTGTTGGGCATGGGAAATTCGGGGCATTTCGCCGGCACACACCGACGATCGCGCAACAATAGGGTACAACCGACAGTTGGGAGGGGTGCGCACGTTCCGTTTTTTTTGTCATCCAACGAAATAAATATCACAAAAGGGCAGCTGCGAATTCGGCCTTGATTCGGTACCATCTACGGCAGGTTTCATCACACAATGTCTTTGATTGCGATTTCGAAACAACACTTGAAAATGTCGTCAACCTCTCATTTTTTTCATTGAGATTTCTAAAGTTCTTACTAATTGGTTTAATTATTCTGAATAAAATTATTGTTCAAGCTACCATGATTGACCTTCAATGTCAATTTTCAAAATTATTACAACAAGTGTCAAGTACACTTTTGAAGCGATATTTCAAAAGGCCCAAGACACTTTGAAACAGAATTGTCGTTCCATATTAGCAAAAGTGATGAAAAAGAAATTAGCTGTTTGCAGATAATTTATGCATGTATGTACATGTTGTTACTTCCTCCCCTCCTAGCTTCTAACAGGTTTTTAGCATTTCTTGAATGAAAATCGCGGAGAAACGATTACGAAAATGCAAATCACACATTTCCTGGCATCGAGCTGGCGCCGACGACGTAATATCTCGACTTCAAATCAGTTTGGGAGAATCGTCTACTCCAGCGCTCCGGAAACTCAATTTTGCGAGTGCATTTCGACGTACGCATCTGATTTAGACAATACTACGCGAAAACTGCTATACAAGAGTGTTGTGAATTTTTTTGGGAACACCTTCAAGAGTTTGGAAAGAAAACAACGCGCTGAAAAACTAATTTTTGGCTAGCGAAATCCTATTTAAAAATTGAGGTAGGCAAGTTTTGTACATTTTCTTCAAACCAAAAGAACAAAAGCAACCGTGTTTACCTTGAATCTGACCTTTCGCCTTCCCCTTACCCATCAAACGAGCTTCAAAAAAAAGAAGGAAAAAAGAAATTGACTTACAAAAACGAGCGAATTCAGGAAGAACACCAGCCATTTCAGGCATGACGAGATTTCCTGTCGTGGTTTTCGCTGTTTGACGGTGCGAACAGCAACACGCTGCGGCTCACCGGAGCCCATCAGCAGACACTGTTCCCAATCGCACGAAGACGCGCTGGAAAAAAATATTCGGTAAATGGTTGGATAGAAAATGGTTTTCAATGGAACATTCGTTCAATAATGGAATGAGGGAGATGTTGCTTCAAATAAAATGCAGATGTACCAAAATACAAATTTTTGGGATTACAAAAGCGGAGTGAGGAAGAGCGATGTCGTCGTTGAGGGGGGGGGATGCTGAGCCACTGAACCGTGATTAATGTGGTCCGACCAGAAACACGTCTAATCCGAAAAGGGTGGATTGGGAGGGGGGGGGGATGGTGAAGAATGGAGAATGCGCAGGGTGGCGGGTGGGGCCAGAAGGCATTGCGCGAATGAAAGGCGAGAGAAACAGAGGTGGATCGTGCGTACATGGAATACTAAACATGCCACCGACGACATACTCCTGCTACCTGCACAAAAATACTAGTCATCTGTCAATTAAGATGAGCAGATGTGCGCGAGCAACATCTTGAGAGTTGTTGGTGCCTAATTGGTGCGCGACAACAGGTTGAACGAGTGGGGAATGGAGGATGGAAGCGGCGATAGGGCGAATGTAGGCCTGAGGAAGGGAGGGAGGAGGGAACTTGCCCCAAACTGACTGGCATTGAACGCCGCCAATTTTCAACGGTGGGAAAACCGCGCGTTGAGGATTTTGGAGGAAATCAAGCGTCATAAACGGATTCCTTTATGGGATTCAAGCAAGTTTCAATAATTTTCCAATGTCGTTGATAGTGATTGAATTAAAATCAACGAAATCGTGAATTTGAGGAACCCTACTTGTTATTATATTGGTAGTATAAATTTCAACTTCTGAAAAATTATAATCAGATATTAATAGGCAATATTAAGAGGCCCCACACAAACTCGTTGATAGTTAATTGGGCAAGTTGCACACTTGGTACCAAAAAAAGTGTCCTTGAAAAACGAACGATGGTAATGAGCTCAATTTGCAATTGCATGGAACACCACCAGCAATCGAAAATGATTGGTAATTTACCATGTAAATGCATACATATACAATTGGAAAATCGTTACAGAAATTGAGTCAGGCGAAAAAAAGATTGTCGAAGAGATAATAAAATGAAAGACAAAGAAGGAACTCGTAAAAAAAATTGGCGGGGCGAAGAATAAGTGACAAAATGTCGTGTCTGGGAGACGAGGGGAAGGGGTCGCCAAAAAATTGCGCGAATGCAACACCACAAAAACAACGCGCACCTAATGGAGGTCAATTGTTGTAGCGGCTACGTGACCATCTCGAGTTTTTTGATAATAATCTCACAAAAAGAAACTCATATCAAAGAGATTCTTTGGTTTTTTTTTGTGGAATACCCAAAAGTTGGTCGATCAAGTCGCTGCGTAATATCTATTTGATTTACACCCGACGCCAACTTCTCAAATTTCAACAATTCGGGTCGTGGGTTTTTTTTTCTAGTGCGGTCGCAATTATACAATGATGATGAGGGGGAGGGGGGGCGATGATGAACCGGAAAATGGTACGCGATTGTAATTATCTCTTGAGAATCATGAGAATACGCATAATTATGCCCTACGTCGGCTAGCCAATAACCAATTCAATGCTCGACACAAAAAAAAAAACAGAAATCAACGATAAAATGTGATGTAGGTCATGTGTCGGAAAACGCGTGAGGAGGAGTGGTGGGAGAAGATTTAAATATTGCACAAAACCTAATTATTCGGAATGTTCGGCTCCGCGAAGAAAAATGAGAAAAAATTTAAACCCCCCCCCCTTCCAACAACTTGTGACTTCAAATTGACTGACAAGTAATATCTTTGTTTTTTGACATTTTCTATACGAAAAGAGGTCCAATAGAGAATTGTTTTGCTTTGCCAAAATTGGTTTTGAAAAACCAAAAATTGTTGGACTCTAAAATAACTTGAAAACCTTTTATACTAGATCATTTATAGTATGAAAAACGTTTGGATAGTCGAGATTTAATTAATTAATTTTTTGATTTGTCTTCGTCTGCCATTAATAGAAAAAAAATGGGAGACAAATCGTTTTTTTTTGTTTGACGCAAAAATCGTAAAGCGATCCATATTGGTCTAGTGGGTTTTGGGCGAAACAAATAAAATTGAGGAATATTGTGATTCGAGAGCGGAAAAAGCGGGCGAGCCAAAACCAATTTCTCGTCTCGATGTCGAACACAATAATTGCAGGAAATGAGTTTGGTGTCGCACGGTGGTCAGCCGGCGGTGCGGTGCGAAGCAATTAAAAGGCGCTGCACGACGATTTCCAGATGTGAATTAGAAGAAGCACGATAAACCAAAAACACAAACACTCACGGCTTTAATACGTCCCTTCTCGAGCTCGATATCCTATAGGGCATCTCATTCAGGCAACAAGCCAGCTCAACGTAGTAAGTAATCGAATATTGATGACAGTATCGCCAATCAGAGTATTTTTATCAACGGTGTATTGAACACTTGAATCAACGGGCGGTAGCTTGACATCAACTCTTCTCAAATAGAGGTCACCCCAGTGTGCGTGAGTGTGTGAGTGTGTATATACGCTGTCTGTATGTGTGTTGTGAGAAATAGCCTGACTGTCCGACTAGCTGGCGACCAGATCAAGGGCTAGTTGGCTTTCCGACCACTGGCCCAATAAAATTTATTCGCTATTATACTCTTTTCGAAATGAGATAGACGATTTTGCGGATGAGTTGCCGGTAAAGAGATAATGACACTGGAAGAGAGTACGGTCCTGCTAATCATCTAACAAATCATTTTGTTAATTGAGTCGGCCCCATTGATAACATGGTCAAGATTTTCGTAATATGCCACTGAGGTCAATGAAAAGCGATGAAAAACGCTTGAAGATGAGAACTTTTCCGGACAATTATATACGCGAAAGAGAAAATCGTCAGGAAAAAATGATTTTTGGAAATTGGGAAAATTGTTTGAATAAAAATAGTTGAGTCATTGGAAATTATTTTTTTAATCAAATTAGATTTTTAAAAAGGCTGAAAGAAAGCCTATAATAAAGGAAACTTATTTTGAATTAAATCATCAGATTCGAATTAAGAAGCCCTGATCTTTGGGAACTGGGATTCTCATCAAAATTTAGACTAATTTAAAAAAATTGCAACTAAACATCGCCACTTTAATTTTTTTTCCATTAGGGGCAAGGAAATAAAGTTTGCAACAAATGATATTATCATGGCAACATCCTTATGTATTTAGAGAAATTGAAAAAAAACACGCATTGGAAAACCGCAACTAGAAAACCAGTCTCGAGGAAGGCATCCAGGAAGCAATGGAATCAGAAAAGTTTGATTGATAACGTACCGCCTTCTACTTCCTATTATCAATGTCAGCCAATTTTTCAGAGTAGCCGAAACGCGAGAAAAAAAAAAGGACATAAACATACACACAACGAGATGAAAAGAGAAAATTGAGGTACTACATACTAGTAGCACCACCTTTAGAATAATTGGTCGAAACGAGAGTAGGAACAAGCAGGTACCGGCGACAACCCCTTTACGAACGACACACTCACAAAAAAAAATTGTGGAAAAGAAAAAAGGAGATGTTGATGAAGAAGACAGCGGCGCGACGAACAGGCATTAGCCTCCGACCGGTGTGCGACATATGGAAATCGGAATCGCAAGGTTATTGGTGTTTCGAGCAGCGTCGGCAATGTTTGATTGAATTATGAATTTTGAAATGGCAAAGGTCGAGAGGAGGTGACTTCCTAATGGATTTCCACATGCAACAGTATTTCAAGGTTGCCTGAGAAAGCAATTATAATTTTTATAAATGGTTTTTCATAAAGAATGCTTTTAATTGTTGATAGTTCGGGTTTTGATGACGTTTTGAATAGCTAAGGTCTTGTCACGAAAACGAGAATGAGAGTTGGAATTGATAAGAATCTAGTGAGTTTTCAATTCCCCTTAGTATATCGACATCTATCTTGAAGCTGACATGTTCTTATATGGAATCTACCTTTGGCCTTCAAAGTAATCTAAAAATTGGTTTGGTTAGCTACGGCAGAAAGCAGTGAAGATTCACAAGACACATCAGGAATTTTCTAGTGTCGGTTCCAAACTGAAAGCTTTTATTCCTCGTTTTCAACATTTTTCCCCCCGATGATGTCTGCGAAAACATTTCAGTCTCACTGTCCGAATTCACTTCTGATCGTTTGATTTGACTTTAAGAAAAAAAAAACAAAACGTCGACTTACCAATACGTTGACACTGATAGACTATCGCAATAATCCATAGAAAGTCGATACGCAAACCCAATTTGGAAGAATTGCAAGAAATGAATGCAAAAAAAGGGCACAGGAAGACCACCTACTGTGAAATGGAGATTGACAGCAGTCACAAAAAAAGAAAGAAGGAATTTCGGTGGGGTTTTATCGGCCTCGAAACATGAAATATGGACATCCAATGGGATTCATTAACACACTCCGCTCAAGGTTTTTTTTTTTCAAAGTTTCGAATCGCCACTTCAAATCCATCCATATTATTTGCAAACGGATGGTGAAGTAATTGAGAGTGTTATAGAATTGAGAAGATGAGAAAAAGTTACCATAGACACAATTCATTTATATTGTGCGAAACGAAACGTACGGACGCTTTGACAAATTGCAATTAAACGGAACCCATCTTCGGCTCCGATGTCAAGTATTGAAGGATTAAGCGTACCCAAGAGGGCATAGGAGAAAGAAGAAGAAGAAGAAGAAGCTTCTAACACAATTTTAAGTCGGGAATAATTTCGTTTAGCTTCGCAAAATGGCTATAAATTAATGATGATGATTGGCGCTTTGGTGGTGAGTTGGTGGCATTGTCAATGAGGTTAAAAACATGAGTGCTTTGAATAATTAATTTATAATATTCATGTAGCCTTTCCTAGAGATTAGAATACAAATTAATGCAAATTATTTGTGATTGATGTCTTTTTTGAAAGCAAAAAATGCGCTAAAAAGGAATTTGTGAATTCCATGAAAGAAAAAAAGTTAT